TTGTCGAATGCATTACTAATAATGTGAAGTGCGAGGATGAAAGAGTTAGAATTCAGAAACTTTACTCAAGAGAAGATCCTTTCCTGCATTTGCATGCATGTCTTTAAAAAGAGTTCATATTGAAGGAGTTTCTTCTTTTTAGTTTTTAGAAGTAGTTGTAGATGATTAACTAACTTGTAAAGCTCATATAGCATGAGTAGCACCAGTCTTTATGGACGACTTTAAAACTGATGTGTGTTTCTGAGGTTGAAGTGTTAGTAGTGATATAATTGCGTTTTAACAGCCCTACTTTTCCTATTGTCGGGTCAAGTAAGGTTACTCTTCTCCCTGCTCCATTTGATACATGAACTGTGCTAAAAATTGTGGATTTTTTTCTTCTTTTTTAATCATAAATTCTTACGTTGCCATGATTGGAACAAACAAAAAATGAAAGATTATCTTTAAGTAGACATGAATTAAAAGCCACATTATTACAGAAGGACAGTCTTTGGGTCCCAACTCTAGTTCCATGCCTTTAGATGCTGCAGTTTTGGTCAGAATCTCTAAATGGAGATAAATGTAGACAAAGATAAATGTATAACAACTATAGATAATCAGCTGAACACCAGGAATCTCAACTGGCCTCAAATTTAACCTGATGTGGAGTTTGAATTCTTAGTATTCAGCAATCAATAGTGGACAGAATTTCAGATTCCTCCAAGTTTCTATGAATTTTGTAGGTTTATACATTGTGTGACCTACATCAAAAGACTGGTTTCACCTTTTGCCGTTGATAATGAGCAACCGCCAGGAAGATCTGTGTAAGTGAAACAACATAAATAACAGCTGGTGACACGTCTTAACCTCTTTGGCAGCACTGCTGTGATAAATGTGCCGACAAGTTGATGTTTTTGTGTTGTTAAGAATTTATGCACCATGTCGCCCCTCACATGACAAGTTCAACCAGTGAGCTTGTTCTGTCTGCTGTGTCTGCAATACTGACGGGTAGGATACGGGTCCAGGGTGGGGGTGGGAAAGGATTTACAACGGAAGGAAGCTGTTGTCCTCGGGGAATGATTTTTACCTTTGACCTAGATAAAGGCAGGCAGGAAGAGGCAAATGTTTGAGAAATGCAAGAGCACTTTCCCGTACATTACCTGGTTGCTCTGAATGCGGTAGAACTGCTGCACCGTGTTTGTCACCTTCTGACAAACGTGTTCAAAGACCGACTTTGTGAAGAGGATGACAGCATGATGACGATTACGTAAACACAATAAAAAAGTACATTTTAATGACAGTGCATGCCTTTGTTACTGAGAACGAGATATAACCCTGTGTGTGTTTTTCTCTGTGTGTTAAAGGTCCAGTTTGATGATCTCACCCACTTTCAAACCCCTCTTTGCGTCATCTCTCTTTCATCTGAGTGGTGTTAACTTAGAGGTGTATTATCAGACATGAGCAAACAGTCCTTTGTGCTCCTGAAACACGTGAAGAAACATGTGGAAGGTGGATTGCAAAGGTTGATTGCATCTAGACAAACTTTCTCATCAAACCTGTCATGTGGATGATCACATGAATCAGTATGGATACGAAGGCAGGACTGAAAGGACTGTACTGAACCTAAAGATGGTGCCTCTGGTTCAGCCTACTTGTTCTGAGCAAACACAGTAGTTAAGTGGGATATTGACCCCACTGATAAGCTATCAGCCGGCATTCCTGTGTAGATGTGCAATCAGGGTCAGCGACGAATATCGAGACTCTAGGATTGGCGGCAGGTCATAAATTCTCTCAGAGTGACGCATGAAGAGACAGAAAGACAACTCATTAGAGAGACTTGATACCCCAAAGAACAGAGGGTCCAAGGTCCAGTGATTCAACTTTTACTCCCACTAATTGCAGTCTTCCATCAATACTTCCTCCTTTTGACAGTTATTGGTGTCACGAAACGCTCAAAAGACAAAAAAGGATCCAGAAATAAAAATGCAAGTGAATGTTCTGTTTTTATGAGGATATTATATTTCTTTTTTTTTAACCACAACCTGTATCTCACTACCAACAGACTAGCACAAAACACACAAACTAGTAACACATGCATATTTGTATTTAACAAGATGAAGTGCACGAGTCAGAAGACAAAGAAGAGAGTGGTTGTTGTTGTGTGCAAAAGAATTTGTATTGATACATACTTTTAGTTGGTAAAACCTTGAGAGATTGAGGATCAAACTCATCATGCATTTTTGTGGCTTCTTGTCATTGAGGGCCACCATCACTTCACCAGCAAAAGGGATGAGCAAGGTAGCACTTCAGTCTATAATCTGACTTTGAGATATTCCTATCTCTATACAGTGTCCCTCTGAAGATACTGACATGTTCATGTGCCACATTGAATAGTTAAGAAAGCCATCCTCTGGCAACACAAGCCAAATAGTCCAAAAACATATAAGCCCTGCCTCTAACAAGACAAATAGCCAATTATGGTTTTGGATTTAAGGCTGGCACCAGGGGTTGCCAATCAGATATCAGTGGGAGCTCATGCCAACCTTGGCCACACCCCTGCAGTTGCAGGGCACTGATTATGCAGAGGATGGCACATATGCAAAGACAGACATCAGAATAGGCTCAATTATAAGATAAGAGGAGAACTTTTTTGATCCCCAAAAGGAAATTCAGTGTTTATAATTTATCATTAATTCACTACTCATCTATCTTTAAAGCTTTCATTACAGAAGCTTCATAAAATACCTGTTTTTTTTTCTTGTCAGATAATACCTCTAACTAATGTAACTTCTTAAAGATGTGTTTGAAATGTGTTGCGTTACACTATGAAAACCAATAAAGATTGGAAGAGTAGTGGATTTGTAGCAGCTCCAGATGCACTGCTGCACAAAGTGCCAAGTGCTGCATGAAGCCAAAAGAGCTAGACTAATTAACCCTGATTTTCTGCCTGCTTACCTCTAATACTTCATGTCAGGTAAATGTACAGCCACTTGATTTTGCATCTTGCAGACTTAATGGTTCAAATAAAGACTTCAAATGTGAAGCAGAGTTGATGTACCCATCAAGTAAAGTGGGTTCAGTATCTGGGGCAGCTGAGGCTCATAGAGTCAGCTGGAAGGTAGGGGGCTCTGGACAAGAGTGTACTTTCACAATTTACCCCACATGTCTCAGAATATCCCTGCATAGAGCATGTTACCTATACACACTGCGATGTGTTTTCCTGCACTAATGAGTGTTCGTCACCATTAACATTGACCTAAATTGACCAATTGTTGTAGAAAGGTGGTGGAAAGGAGGTGACTCTGGAAACATGGGTAATGAGGTTCCTCCCAGTGAAGTAGAGCATGACATCACCATGGCCATATCAATGTGACGCCTTTCACAGAGGTTCATTAACATTCCTCTCGTTCCAAAGCCTTTGTCATAACAGAAAACAAATCTGGAGCTTGGCCAGTACATGCTGGGATTGGCTGATACCCCTGTGATCCCCCACCACTTTCTCACAGCTGGTATCAAAAAATGGATGATGCCATGTCGGAGTGAAAGAAGAACACAAAGAAAACTGTCAATGCGTGATAATTTTCCTTCTATTACAGCTACTTCTGCTGATAATAGTTATACTATCAGGTAAAATGTCTTTGTATGATTATCAGGATTTTATCAATGAGTGCTTCTTGTCCTACCTGAAATGATATTGATTTTTAGTGAGACATATTCTGCTTCAGTTGTGTTCAGGAGGGGAATCAATATGACGTCATTAGGTTAAAGTGAACCACTGTGGTCAATATCGCCCTCTAGTGGATAGAAATAGAGCTACACTATGAAACTATGTAAAAAAAATTTGCTTGCTGTGAACGGCACTGTCAAACTCACTAGGAGTTCATATGTTTGAAATATTGAAATAGATATGATCATCAGGACAAAAACAGATCTTGGGGTACTCCATGTTCAAAGACAGCTGTTTTTTGTGTGTGAATGTATAAGAAAACAGTTTGTGGTTTTGCCTATACTGCTGAAAACATTTATCCTGAAAAACAGAGAGACAAATTAGACGTGAATATAAAGATGGATTTTATTCAATTTTATATTTCCACCTTTGTTTTTAACAGACTTAGAATTTTGCCATCTGTCACTTGCACTGAGAGTGTTTTGAGCAAGGGTCTCAATGTTACGAGGAGTGCTAAATAAGAAAAAAGATAAATAGAATAATAATGACAACAACAGTAATAATGATGATAATAATAATTCAACTTAATATTATTGTTAAAATTAAAAATGTATTATAATTAGATACATATAATTTCAATTTGAAATAATAATAATATTAATAATAAAAATGATAATGATTATTATAATAATTATAAAAATACTACTACTACTTAATAATAATAATAATAATAATAATAATAATAATAATAATAATAATAGAAATGATGTTGATGATGTATGATGATGATGATGACAATAATAATAATAGTTGTAATACTACTACTTCTACTACTACTACTACTACTAGTTATAATAATAATAATAATAATAATAATAATAATAATAATAATAATAATAATAATAATAATAATAATAATAATAATAATAATAATAATAATTGAACCCTATTTTAAGTTGTGACAAGCAATAGAACATCAATGTTCCTTAATATTTAAAACTGCATTTTGAATTATAAAATGCAGGGATACTAAAAGGGATACCGGCTCTTTGATTAGAATCGATTAATAGTATAAATTTATGAAAAACACTCCTATTGGGGCATTACTTCAAAAAGATAAATGTTAGAATAATATGCGTACTCGTCTGTTATCAGCTTCCTGTAGTAATTGACCATTTCCAGAAGATGGCAGTTATGCGGCACGACAAATGTCCGCTACAATATAACCAGAAGAAGAAAAATAGAACCAAGGAATGTGTACTCTGGTCCACAGTTTACAGAAAACCAAAAGTGAGCTATTGTAGTCCAGTCCAGTTTATAGCAGGAGAAAAAGAATAGCAACAAAACTCCAGTCCCCAGTTTACTGTTTACTCGGCGTTTCTCAAGTTTCACTTCGACGCGTGTTCTGCCCCGTCTCCTTTGTGTTGTCAGGCAGAAAGACACACCAGTCAGGGTGGCGTGTGTCCTGATTCACAGGCACCCCCATCAGCTACCGGAATAAAACAATAGTCTATCTTTTTTTACTGTTGTGAAACGGAAAGGTGCCATTTATTTTCACCGTTTTGCAACAATGTCGGTGGGAGTGGAGTCTGGATTCTCGAGTGAGGAGGTCTTAAACAGCCGCTTTCCTCTCCATCGGGCTTGCAGGGATGGAGATGTCGGTGCCTTGTGTTCGCTCCTTCAGTGCACCTCAGACCCGGCTGACCTCACCGTGGAGGACACCTTCTACGGCTGGACGCCCATACACTGGGCAGCTCATTTCGGAAAGGTATTAAAACCATTATGGGTATATATTTTTCTGACGCCCGAATCTCTCATTGGCTGAAAGTATGTCCAGAATAAGCGCCAGCGCTCGCCGACATGAGCCTCGTTCTCGGCCATTTCCTGGTGTTTCCCTGATGAGACTAAAAAGCAGCCATCGTTAACTGGAGAGACAGACAATGGACCAGAAACAAGTCAATGCTCCTTAATGGCTTACGGATGTCTTTTTAAGGATATTGGCTGACATTTTATACTAACGGGGAATTCTGGGCTAATAGCTAACATCGAGCGGGAACAATATTTCCCCGTAACCATAGAGACGCAGATAAAGAAATTGGAACGTTGAGCGCAAATAAGCCGAAGTTACACAAACTCAAACCACCTATCCTGACAATACTATGCGGTAAATAGAGTTTATTCGACGATAAAAAGATTTAATATCGACCGTTTAACGAAGCAGTTTTCTAACTATTCCTCGTATTTACCTTTTTAAAATTTCAGTTAATACGAAAAACTCGAGTGTAGCTTGAAATTCAACTTTTGACGTTCATGACTCTTTTCCAACAGGCTCCCTTTTCTAAACACAGCAGTGTTTAGATTTGTTCAGCTACACTTTGGGCTGGGCAGGCCTGCAGTTTGCACAGACATTGGAACCGAGCCCAGACTAAGAACCACGAAGTGTCAGACATTGTGCCAGGCCAAAGCGTAGTGTTGCATTTTCTTTCCCTGTAACCACCTACTGTACTACACTTGTCTATACCTGCCCGGAGTAATTTAGGAAAAATGCCTTTTGAAGAGATAATTGGCCTAACTGTCTGTGCATTACTCATCTTTTCACAGTTGGAGTGTGTGATGCGTCTGGTTCAGGTGGGCTGTGGTGTGAATGCGGTGACCTCCAGGTTTGCACAGACGCCCACTCATATTGCTGCTTTTGGGGGCCACCCTGAGTGCTTGTTATGGCTACTCCAAGCTGGAGCAGAAATTAACAGACAGGTGAGACACCGGGTGCACCTTCAGTTTACACCTACACGCTTAACAAAACACACAAGAATAAAGAAGTTTAGTATTCCTTTTTAAAAGTCATTCCCAACCTGTTTGGTTAGTTTACTGTAAATCTCCTTGTTGGCATTTATTTCCTGAAAAGATACTTTAAACAAAACCGTGCACTAAGCATACTGATTTCACAAGAAGGAGTGCGTTACTTAGAGGCCTTTGACATTTAAATGAAATAAAACACCAAAAGAACATCACTTCTTTTTCAGACAGAGATACAAATGTCTGATTTTAGAATAAAGCAGCCAAGAGGCTGAGCTGAGACTTATCCCGTCAAAGAGGATCAGTGTAAGATGGGGTCATGACCCTTTCAGTGTTCTTTTGCAACTTATTCCTCCTCCTGACTTATATCCAGGTTATGTTTATGTGGCATATTTTCAAATACTGCACTTACTCTGTACATTTTACTCCTAATGTTGTGTCTGCTACACAAATTTCCATGCAGCAGCGTCTATTTTCTGCTCTACTGCACTTCTGAGACAAATCAGATTAGTAGGTCGTGATGACATAATGTATTGACGTCATCACAAAACACATTTCTAAACTTCATGTCTTTGATTTTTCCCTGCATATGTTGAAATAAACACCTGAATAAGTCTTCCGATTTGGAGACCGAACCCCCTCGGGTTGCTGAGCAGGGCTGAGTATAGCTCATATGTCATCGTGGTTAGAGGCAGCATTCTGATGACTTGTTTTTTCCCATCTGCACTCCTACTAATGTGCAACTGTAAATATGTGTGGGTAGTGGTGTGGTCTGGGTGAAAAGTTCAAGCTGTCTTCTGTATTGTCACACTGAGTTATTGCAAGCTATAGAGAGAGGTGATACTTGTGGGAGTTGTTGATTAGAATCTCCTCATACACATACTGAGCAATTTGCACAATCCATCTATGCTTCTTTGTGTGTAACCACAGTTTTCTGTCCGTACTCAGGACTATGTGGGTGAGACGCCCATCCACAAGGCTGCTCGTGCGGGCAGTCTGGAGTGCATCAACGCTCTCTTGATTCAGGGAGCGAAAGCTGAGTAAGTCCTGTGATCAGATCTTGGTCTTCACTTCTTTTCCTCTTCACTATCCAAACCTAAAATTTACCTTTGCAAGGGATCACCACCAAACTCAAACCAGAGCAGTGATAAAAGTTTAAAGTCAGGCTTTATCCATGTTTGAAAGAAGGTCTGCTTTTTAATGCAGCAGATCTGAAGAGCAAAAGAAAAACACATTAACTCACTTAAAACACTGATTTAAAGAAATAGTTTAAGACAGTAAAAAGTATAAATGGTTGTTTTAAGACAAGAAGGAAGCTGCTCTGTGAAATGGTAAAGAGAAAACACTATATCACTGAGATTGTATGTCATAACTGTAAACAGTACGAGACATATTGCTCGGTTTCACAAAACTTTAAAGAGAAAATCAGAATACAGAAATTTTCAAACGTGAATCAGACAAAACACCAGTTTTTGTCATGTTCAGCTTTTGTGTTAAAACCTCAGAAAACATCACAAAAGTGTCTGAAACTTACATTTCTCTTCTGTCAGGACTTTTCATTCCTAACTGTTGTGCAGTTTATTGAACTGCAAAGATTTTAAATTGGGGGTACGCACCGTAGTCGGCTTCAAACCCCTAAGAAATTGAACACTGAAGATGCTTAAGAGTTAATCCACAAATTTTTCATAAGACTAAACACCTCTACATTGAGATGCATGTTATCGTATTTCTTCATTTGGTGGTGCTCCCTTGAAAATTTTTGAACATATTAATAACCCCTGAAATTGTTGTTTATCATTGCAACAATTTGCATTAAGTTGCCCTCCGTGTGTAATAACACTATTAAAGATATATAAGCTACAGAAGGAATTATTTACAAGTATATTTTCCATTCAGCAAATGTTCATATTTGCATGGTAAGAATAAATCCTACATTTTTGTAAAAGTAGAGAATAATTGCAGCACAGCTCCTCTTTTGAATTAACAAACAACTTTTAAGTCAGCAAAGTTATTGCACAGGTAAGAGGACAACTTAATGTAAAGGTTTACAAACTGTTCTTAGCTTAATAGGCCATATTGCATGATCTTTGTTAAGTCTAGAGTGTGTTTTTCTTTGTTAACATTTGTTTTGGTTAGTGTCTTACATAGGCAATTTGACAGGATGACTAAATGCACATCGTCTCTTATTATGAAGCCCCTTTAGTATGAGTATGAAAGGCTGCTTTTTGGTTGCATATAATGAATATGAATTAATCAAACATGATTAGATCAAAGCATCATTCTTTACATTATGCAAAAAATCTTTAGAATACAAGATTATAAAATAAATGATTGCTTAAATATCAAGTTATTCACATTAACTTAGCTAAGGCCATCTTGATTCTTAGTTTTATAAGAGGTGTATAAATAAACTCCTTCAGTAGTGTTTGACCACACCTTTTTGGTTTGACAGCTGCCTCTGTGCCTTAGATATCATTTTGTTATAGTTGCTTCACTTGAAGCATGAACAAAGACTCCACCCGTCTTTCCTGTTTTTCTAAATTTAGACCAAAGACCTTTAGAAAGATGAAACTATTATAATTGAATGTGCTACTCTCTTTTGTATAACATGTCCAAATAGATTGACTATTATTACCCATGATTTATGTCTGTCATTCAACCTTATTAAGTAATCACAAAGTGTGATTACTGCCAGAGTTATATTTAAGTATGCAGGCTTCACTTTTTGAACTGCCTGTTACTCCTGCTCTTCTACAGGGTCATAAACCACTGGGGTGGGGTAACAAGTGGCTGCCGACAATTATAGCAAAGGATACATATAATAAGAAGCTTACTTTAAATCTGGAGGCCCATTTAAATCAAAAGATTTAACCTAGTCTTTACTCTTTAATTTCATTATTTGCAACCAAACATAAGCCTCCTTCTGCTACCATTGGTGTCTGGACAGCAAAACAACTGGGGAGTTATGAAATGTACATTTTCTATTAGTGGCTTTTGTGTGTCTTTTCCAATCATAAACGGTCTCACTGTTGCCTGTCGAAGTGTAACCAAACCAAATCAGAAATGTCAATTAGAGAATAAGTAAAGACATTTTGTTCCTCTTACTGAAGTATAAGAATGAGGAATGAGGCTGTTTGTAACTTTAAATCAAATTTAGTTCCTCTTCTGCTGACTGCTGAGGTATCCTATTGCCTCTGTTTCCCATGAAATCTGGATTAAGGGCATTTTAGTATGATTGTAAAACGGTAAAGTATCAAATAGTTTCCTAAAATAGTCCATTGAAAAAATCATTACCCCAAAAGACTGTTTCAAATAGTGTTGTCATAGCTACTGCGGGGATAAACGGTTTAGTTAGACAGATAACCTAACTCAGTTTTAATGTAGGGTGTGTCATAAACCTCCAGTTGATTTCACTGTTCCACAAATTACATCCCATGTTTTTAAAAAGCCCAGTTTATGATTTAGGTCATGTGATGTGCATTTGGTCATCAGCTGATGAAAAATGTTTATTATGAAAATGAAATGTGATTTTTTTCCCCCTGCAGATCACAGATATTACATTTAGTTTAGCTTATGATTTATCAAGTTATTTTTGTTAAGCTTATGACCCAGAAGTGGGAATAACCGGGAGGGAAACTAAGGCACATAATGTGGGAATGAGGCTCATGACAACATAATGTAAGAGAAAGACTTATCTTTAAAATCAAAGCTCAGTTCCGCTTCGATCAGATGACCAACCGTTTCAATGATATCAACATTTTCACTCGTGGTTTTATCAATATTTCACAAAAGAGGTCCAACAAGAAAAAGATCAGCCAATACAACTATATCGATGCTCAGACATTGAGTCCATAAATATGAACGCGCTTGTGACAAAATACAAAGGCCATTCCAAGTTAGAATTTTTTTTTCATATCAGGATTATGATCAAACTTTAATTGTTTAGCAATGGCCCAGTAAGCCAAATTGGGATTTGGATTGTTGAATTATTTTATCATGTTGTTACTGTGGTAGTTAAGAAATAAAAGAGGCATGAAAAAGTTGAAGTAATGGCAAATTCACTAAGTAAATTAAAATCATAGATACATTTATTTTGTGAAAAGTATAAATGCAGAAAACTCCTGATAACTTTAAAACATTTTCAGCCAAATCCTAATTTAAATAGAAATAATAACCAAGAAAATCCAAATTTACATAAGGGATCAGAAGAATATCTTTCTGTGGAATGACCAAGTAGTTCACTGTAATTGAAACTGCATTCAAACCTAACTACATTGATATTTTCTTTAGTCCAGGTTAGAACTTGTGCGGGATTTTGCATATCCTCTTTTTCGGGGTCACACTTATGTCACTGAAAAACGTTTATTCTGTAAATCTGTAAATTTAATTTCCTTTTTCTTTGTGCCGACAATAATTGTGGAGGAGTTTCTCTCGTCTTTTAGGACGTCTCTTATTGTCAAATCAAAGAGGTACCTCAAGGCTGCTGTTCACAACAAAATTCCGGTGACTTTTAACCGTCTAAACCAGCTCCATGTAACCATGTAATCGAAAAGGAGGAAAATAGGTCTCCAGCTCTACTTGAAACAGGTTGAAAGCCATACGTAAAACACTGTGGCTCATTTAAAGATAAGCGCACACACACACAAAATCCAATGAAGTGTCACCACTCAGAGTTAAGGTTGTACAAAGAACAGGCTTATCTCTTTTTTATTAGTGATAGGAATTTACAGGCTTGACCATAACACATCAATAAAAATCATCATGTCTACAAACACTCCTTCAAGATAGATGTTTAAAAAAACGCTTTAAAATAAAGTGATCAATTGTAGGCCTAATGTTTTTTCTTCATACAAACATTCACGATACAGAAAAACAACATTCCTGCAGTGATATATGACCCCCTGACATTTACAGTGTTTTTAAGTGCTTCTTTCAAATGTTCTTCCTGCTGAGTTCATTTTGAAGACTCTTGAGTAAATGACCCTTGTCTGCCGATCGAACACTTTCCATCATCCTACACCACCTCATATCTTCTGTCTTCCTTTACTGAGAAGAAAGAAGTCTGTGCGACTGAGTGCTCTTCTCCGCACTGGCAGTGCCGATACTTTTTGCTTTGTAAAGAAGAAAAGAAGAGGCAGAGGTAAACTGGGAGGACATTCGACTCTAAATGGATCCATCTCTGATTCATTAGGGCCAAACTGCAGCACAGAGAGCACTCTCACCATCTGCCCCCACCACTGATTCAGCACACTCGCGGCTGCCAGAGAAAGCTGACTGTGGCCCAGGATACCACAGCAAATACAGGCCACAGATGATCAATGATTGCTCAGTGGCATGTCATGGCTTAGTGTGGGTTTGACCGAGAGAGAAGAAGAAGAAACTGTTCTCATTCACACACGTCATCTATTTGTCACACACACTTGCAATCTTAAAACTAATCTCAGTGTTTTACTGTCTAAGCTAAATGCTACAAGATTAGATGTAATTAACATTCAGTACATGATAATTACTTAGTTTCACATAACAGATCTTTAAAAAAATCCTTCAACACAATGGATAAGAAACTTTGGTGCTATAATTTTTAAAAATACATATTTTTGATATTAAATACAGATGTTTCAATATGATACGGATAACTGATAACCAAAAGGATCCTACCTCTAACTGCTTGATACTAAACGATACCGTTGATACAAAGCAAAAATACTTAATTGATCCCTAGAGGGGGAGCTGTCTACACGGCTTTATTAATAGACAAAAGTCAAAACAAACAACAGCCGGCAATCCACAAATAAACAGAAGCACATACCAACGTCAGCAACAAACAGTATACTGTATCATACATTGGACATAAGCCGAGTAGCACAAGTCCCACATAATAAACAACAAAAATAAGTGAGATACAATCTAAATACCTTAAAGAAAACAATTTTATAAATAAAAAAAATCTTATTTCTGTCAAGCCTTGAAAAAATAAGATTCATAGCGTTTGTCATGAGCCTCTAAGTGTTATGGTGGTCCATTAGTGAGCTAGCAGCAGGAGAGAAGTGTTAAGAGGCTGCCGGTGGTGAGACCAGTGCAGACTGCAGAGACAGAGGCCTATAGCAGCTGAATGGGATGGGTCAGATTAGCATAGCATCATGTACTGCACTGTTTAATGCTAACAATCATCCTGTTGCAATGGTTATTCACTGTCATTTCACTGTACCAGATATTTTACTTTTTACACAGAAATGTTTTCTTTTGTATGTCACAGTATTAACACCTATACAATATCATAGCCTGTTTTGACATTTAATCTTTGTCACCTTTTCCTTTATGAAAGTGACAAGTGACAAAAAACGTTTGCTATACTGTTAACAGAACCAGAACCATACGTCTTAATGTTTTGCAGCCATTGAATTGGAAATGACTTGGTTTTTTCAAGTAATCCTAGAAAGGGGGAGAATAGACACTGCTGAGTCTGCCCCGTTCCCTGGGATAGCCGCACTGTTGTGGCATTGAGTGTTCTCACTATCGCTTCCTATCTACACACTGGCAAACTGTTGAGGTATTTCTTGCGGTGATTGGTTTTAATGCTAGGTTTTTATGAATCAAAACTAAAGTTTTAGACCTGCATGCTTTGCTTATTATCCATGATTGTTCCTGTATCTAGTCTTTTGTTTTTATTTTATGATTTTGTTTTTGATTTTGTCAACTAACCATAGGAGCCCTTTATATGGACAGGTTTAATCACGTGAGTCCCATGTCAACATGTAGCATGATAATAGGCTGCCTCAGGAAGGTTAGACGATAGTTAGAGAAGATGCATATTGTGTGCTTAGGACCGAAAAGCAAAGCATACCAGGCATTTACAAAGAATTAACGCTTCCTTTGAAATTCCCCTGAAACACTGGGTAAGATTATGATCAAACAAAGCACTCTGTAATCTTCCTTTAACTCAGTGCTTTCTGTAGATGTGTGGTCTCACTGAAGGAATACTTTCTTTTGGATGTTATAATGTACTGTTGAATTTTCAGTAATGTGGATGTCATCTAGTTATAAAATATGAAAAAAGTACTAAGAAATAAAGTTAGAGTTGAGATGTGGAATAGAGCACAATTTATATGAAGATAATCATGTATTATACAAACACATGCATAATTAATAATTGTCTTTATTCCCACTTTACTTGATTATGGTAAAATTAACCAACACTTATCAGTTATTTATATTACCTGTACACTTGCTACTTTTTATGTCCTATTTGACAGAGGTGAGCTCATCTTGTAGTGTATCCCATAAAGGTTCCATGTTCAGCTCTCGTATGCCAGCTCGCCTTTTTTGGTCAAACCTTCTCAAAACTGAGGTTTCTACTACAGCTTTGAGGATGAATAAAAGATCAAACTAAATAGCATTATTTTTTTATGAGAGCTGAAGTGCTGGGGAGACTGAAGTTTGAGGGAAAGGCGGTTTTGGAAGAATTTGGTCAGATCAGATAACATCTTGCTCCAGAGCATTAAACTTGGATTCTTTCTGAATATTAAGTTATTTGTTAAACGCTGAAAGTTCAACATGGATAAATGTGTCTTACTGTTTCATAAGTTATAGAAAAAAAAAACTCTGAAGTACTTAAAAATTGGTTTTAATAACATTTTTACTGGTGTCTTTCTAGTCTAGTCCAGTTGTAGGTTTGCTTAGAGAACCAAATCTGTTTGGAGAGAAAATGTAAACAGGTTTTTAGGATATCGTAGTGTTACTTTTGTATAAACTGCATTTTACCTAAATATAATTTCTATTCCTTGAAGTGAGACCAAATCATTTACTTGTGTCAAAATGGCTCTACATGTAAAATATAGCATTTCGGACTGATCTTGTGGAAGCGTTAATTTTGAAGGGGACGGGAAATGTTCAACAAGTTATTGTGTGATCTTTTTTTTTTTCAATCTTTAATTCTTTTAAATGTTTTATCATGTGCACTATTCCATAAAATGTTTCCTTTTTGAAACTGTTTAGATGTTGAGAAATGCTGAGAAAGAACAACTTCTAAGCGGAATGAATGAGCAAACAGGAGCAGTGTACTTAAATTCAGCTCTTATTGTGTGGAAGTCAATGTCACCCAGATTTAACACACGTGACAATGTGGCCATATAGATTAAAAAACAAACATAGTGTTTATTGTACAAGCACCTCAATGAGGGCGATTGTTGTTAGTGAAATCGAAGTTGTGAAAGTCTATGTATATAGAGCAGCCTGTAGATGGTGGCCTTTCCTTTTTTTTCCTCTGTCGTTGCAGTGGTAGGTACAGGCTTGGATCTCGGCCAGAGTCCCACTTCTCTGACAAAGACTTCGCTGTTTACTTGCAGAACTCATTTGATGACATTTGGACACAGAACAAGCAAAGCATTGTTTACTAATCAGCCAGTAAAGAGAAGAGAAATTCTCATTTAGCTAAAGATCCTCTCGTAGTGAGAGGTAGACTAGAGTAAAATCGACTTGTGCCATACATGGGAGTTTATTTACTAAAAACTGCAACAACATCCCTCCAATCAGAATCTACTCTCATTTGCTGAGTACAATCTAGATGCTTTGATAGGACAAGTCGTCCACTGAGGCTTCATTTCCAGTGACATTACTTCCACACAGACGTGCCACAAACAAATCTGGTCATTGAAAAGCAACAACAGCACTGTTTGTCCATTCATTCTTACAATCAGAGAATCAAATTATTCCTGCTGTAACTGGACATGATCAACACAACTGTATATAGTCAAAAGACTCTCAAGACTTATGACTGGCTTGTGCAAACAATTCTTCATGGATTACAAACTTTTCACCTTCTTATCCATCTTCACTGATAAAAGACGAAGGCCAGTTCCTTACAGCTTCACCTGCTCAAGAAAAGAAGACTGGATTTGTCATGATCCCTGGTCCTTGGTGTCATTCTTCCTCATAACCCATGGTTCTTTGGAGTTTCTCTTGGAGATACAACTCTGATCTGGTTTGGCTTCCTTTGGATGACAGAGGATGAACTTCCGATTGAGTACTTATCTCTGAAGAATTCAGCTATCTGCTCTTTTCTGTTAGCTTTCCTTTTAAAGCACCCAAGCGTAAACAGTCGTGCAGATAGATGTATGCACTACTTCTAGACTTCTTGAACAGCTTGAATTTGGGGCTAGTCCCATCCTGCGGTGGATTTGAAAATCCTTACTCCACACTTGGGAACGTTGGATGATCACAACGTCAAACCCTCTTCCTTCTTAGACGTCACGTCCTCTCTGCAAATAAGACAACTCTCCACATGGAATCCTGAAGCTTTTTCCTTTAGAGTCTCTGACCATTTGATCCTTCTGACGAGTTTGGCCCCTTATTTCAGGCCCACACTGACAGCAGACTGATGCACATCTTCTCTTGTCTTAATCATGTCCTTTTGCAGTAGGCGTGTTTCAGAAGTTATTTGGGACCTGTCCAGATTTAAGTTGTATGGAAGATGAAAATGATCCAAAAGGATCAGTCGTCATCAATGATGAAGATGACGAAGAAGATGTGAGAGGATAGAACAGGACAGGCTGTTTCTGTACATCGTATATGTCTGTCTGTGTGAACACATGCCTAATGAGTCTGTGTGTGTGTGTGTATGAGTGTGTGTGTGCTTGTTTTATGCGCGTTTGGGCGTGTCTTATGTTGTTTGTTGTTTTATTTGTGTAAAGCAAACGGTACAGTGAGTGTCTCTAACACCCCTTTTTCCTGTTGTGCAGTATGAGGAATGCCAGTGGGCTGACTGCTGCTGACCTGGCCCACGCCCAGGGATTCCAGGAGTGCGCTGAGATTCTCTCCAATGCCCAGAACTTCCAACAAAACATGGCTCACTCCCATAATGGGGCCTTTCTGAATGGCATGACCCAGAACAGGGGCCACGCACACCCCAACATCCAGGGACGCAGCTTCTTGAATGGCATGCCCAATAGAAAGAGGTCGTTTGATGGCATGGAAGCCAACCCAGTAAAGAAGGCTCGACCCAATGGTACAGTATCAAGCTGATCAGTTTATTTCCTTTTGTAGCAAGTGTCTTTGACATAAAAGGTATAACTTCATATTAGGCATTAGTGCCCACCTGAAAAATTTTTTATCACGATGTTGGTGGCCCAAAATATCATGATTCACGATGTTATCACAATATTAGTGCATTGCTTTTAACGTTGTTAAAAATGGCAAAAAAAAACTGCGAAATCACTTCTCTGTTCACAGCATGACACGCACAAACAATATGAGCAAGAGGCAGCTAACACGACGTTGGGAGCATTAGCTTTTTGGAGCTAAAGTTAGCAGAAACGTCACTTACGTGGTCAATAATAAGCAGTAGAGTAGACCAAACCTGTTGCGGTCATGTTGTTTTTACCTTGATTTGGCGAACGATGCTGTATGGTGTCCACGGAGGTGGGCACGTAGGTTTGAAAAGTTAGACAATGGCGCTGCAACTTCCTTACGGCATAACCTGCAGATTGGTGTCAGGTTTACCTGCTCCGTCTGTTTTGTGAAGCCGTAAAACGTCCATACTGCCAACGAAACCTTTTTAATAGGACGATACAGCCGAGGCGTTTCGTCATTCTCAGTCTCCAACTGTTCTTGGTCCGGCTGCATTGTTACGTTGGTTTGAAGTTGGAACGTGTGCATCAACTTTTTTTTTCTTTTTCAAACTGTTTCCGGTTCACAGAGTGGACGCGCTCCAACCGTGGTTTCGGTGGCCGCAATGCATTATGGGTGACCACGCATTTTGTTGTAAAATTTCTTCATTTTCTCTTTTAATGTTCCCGTTTTTGTTAGGCTGGCATTCGTGTACTTAATTTGAGAGTTTGTTTTCGATTTAGGACTACTTGTGTGGTGGGTTGTTTGTACATTTTGCTACTGAGGCTTTGACACCGTGGGTAAGACTACAAGCGGGTTAGGTTAATAAGTACTCCGCTTCACACGCTTCTATTGAGTGGCGCTGCCACTAGTCTTTGGATTACAATTGTGGAACCATTATTGCAGTCTTCTACGATTTCATCATTTTACCGTTTCATATTGCATATTGTGATTAAATCGTATATCGGCACATCCCCACTTCACATACTGGCCTGAACATCTGACATGCTGGACCAATTAACTAAGACTGGCTCCTTAAGACAAATGCAGATTTTGTCATCATATAGAGTGACCCTGGATTATGTTTATTTCTATGCGTATGACTTTATAACAATAGGCTGTCCAAAAGGTATCCATTCACTGTCATGTAGAAAATTCAGTCTGTCTGCCAAAAGCCCAAGGTTTAAAAATCAAAAAGATTTTAAAAAGACTATCTTATAGAAATTCTTGATACTGCTGTGTAAGGCCTGAAAACACATATGCAAAAAGTGCAAGAGGAACCTCTGGAGCTTTAGAAAGGCAGCAGTTGTTTTTGACAGACATTAATCTCTTTCTAAGTAACACTCGTGTTATTTTTGTATGCATCTTTGCCTCTCAGGTCTGGGCATGCCACCAGAGTTGCTGAATGGGAATGGGCCACTGGGTGGTGCTGGAGAGGCCCAGATGGAAGGCATGAGCATGGATTTGGCAGCAACTGCAACCCCAGGTGGGCCAGGACCCTTTGCATTTGGGCTGAATGGGTTTGAACCACCAAAGGGGCCAGGGCCTATGGATGAGTGTGAGGACCAGGGGGGACGGGACAGTTCCAGCCAGACAACTAAAGAGCTGGAGGTCATCACTGTGGCGTCAATGCAGACCCCCTGCCGCTGCACCAACTCTTATGCCTACTTGTAGAGAGCTTGTGTGTTTAGCAGAGTACGCTGATTATTCCATATGTGCAGTTTGTTTGTTCGGTAGCGTCAGGCTTTTTGTATTTGGCACACTACGTACCTACAAGAATACTCTTTTTGATTTGATGTTAAGCTAAATTTGGAAGATAAATAGCAGTGCGTGTTCTGTATTTCTACTTTTACATGTACCTGATTCTGCTTGGATGGATAGTATTATTGAGGTCTCTTTTTGGTGGTTATATTTAATGCATCCGTCCAGTTTTATGACTAACTGTTGTGTGAACTTCGACTTTTTTAGGTTTATGATAACGAGTACATTTTTGTTTTGCACAATTAAACAAGCATTCTGTAAAGCATTAAACCATTGGCATTCCCTTGACATGGTAGTGTCACAAGTGAAATGTTAGTCATTTTGACTAAATGGAAAACTAAGTCTTAGTCACATTTTCATATCAGTTCTTACCAGTCTTTTGTCAACTTATTGGTGTTAAAAGTCGAGGCTAAGTTGCATAGGTCACCTCAAGATGTTGCTGTTGCCCTTGTTCTTGGAAGTTGGTGAGTTGTAGTGTGGATCGGCTGATTCTGCTAAATGTTTACTCCAAATGGCTGAGAGAAAAATGAATTTTCCAATTTTACATAGAAAAACGACTACACTAATATTGTAATTAGTATGTTCAAAAATGAAATGTGGAAGTAAAGATTGGATGCTTTTCTTAAAACATAATTTCCCTTTTTGATTGAAGAAAGTAAATCAAGTGTTCTTTCAGATGAAATGCAGCTCGATTGATGACTTTTATGCAACGATGAGTGACTCAGCACTCATTAAAGTACCCTGAGAAAATGTGTCCTGATGCTAACTGCTACCACACGTCAGATGAGGTGTTACATATTTGACAATAACCTTTTTATGCCAAAGCATATCCCAATATGAATGTAGCTCATAAGTATAAAGGATTCACTGTGCAGCTTTGTTGTAGTTTGTAGATGTCATATACTCAGACATAGTCGTTCATGGGCTTGGAATTCTTTTATTCTGTTTTTCCTTTGCATTTGTTTGAGGTGTGTGCTTATTTGACTCAAGCTTGATGAGCATTTACTGAGCAACTCTAGAAAAGTTTTTATAGGCAACTAGCAGGGCTTGCACATCTATCTGTTTATACAATAATACCCTGTTTGGCTTTGGAATAAGTGATCGACCCTTTTACAATCATTAGTTACAAATAAACAGTACTGCTCAAGAAAGTTTGCATGGATTTGCAAAAAGCCTTATTTCTTGAGCTGTATTGAACAGTTATTAACTTAATGTACATTGTTTTCAACTTTTTGCATATGCTAGTAAGGGAAATTCTTTCTTACCTTTGTATTTTGTCGTAGAATTTTATGTCGCAGCTATTGTTTTACATGCCAGAAAGGTTTAACTGACTCAATTCAAAACATCCAATGCTTAGTATTGAGCAGGTTTAGCTTTGTATGATATTGTGTGAAATCATTAAATGTTGATAAATTTTATAAACGTGATTGTGTTGGACTTTTGTGTTCTTATGCATCAGATTCTGTCTCTCTTGTTAGGAGCAAGCATGTTTGCTGGCTGGTAAAAAGAATCACAGTCATTCTCAGATTGATTCAAACATCTGAGTCAAACTCTTACAGACTACACTATTATTCATAAATCCACTACACTCATGCTGGGTTTTTACTGTAACATGCCAACAGGTCTGTGAGTTAAAGATTCCCTTGACTTGACGCAACAGCTTAAATACCTCAGTGGGAACAGAAGTAGGTCAGTGTGTCATATAGCACTTACAGAAAGTAAGCACAGCTTAGGTTGTGACCTACTTTAAACAAGGTGTCAGGTCAGAAATTGAGGCATTATACAAGACTCTTGAATGCTTTTTGAACTTATTTATCAAATTTTGCGTAATCCTTTAGGTTTTTTTCCTCATCTGGCTACTGAAGTCCTTAGTGTGAGATGAGCTCCATTTTCACATTTAGTTGTGCAAAACAAAATGAAAAAAAGTCTGACTTTGTATTTTATAGGTGTAGCAATGAAGTCACAAACCGATTATCCATATGCCCTTTGACTCTGTGTTTCATTTCCAGTGGCAGATGGGAGACCTTGTGAGGGCTTTTCCTCAAATGGTTACAGTCAACCACATTTTCCATTTGGGTGTGAACCAGCTGCAGCAGAAACCCTTCATGAGCAGCCCATCTACAGTGACTCTCCATACAACAACAGCACTGCAGGCAGCCAGGTGGAGCACCAGAAATCTGTGAAAGCAGAGGAGCAGTATGACCATGCCTTCTACAGCACCATGCTTCTTTACCATGGATCCTAAAGTGCAATATATGTAGATGACTGCTCCTTCTCTCTGTCTGAATTTCATCTATGGCTTAATGAGAATTGATTCGCCTTAAAGCCACTGTATGGTCCCGCTTTTCATTTATTCATTGAGCATTTATTCATTGTTTGTTGTTACAGAGGGCAGGCCTATTGTTAAAGTTGATTGAGAAAGGGATATTTTTTGTTTATGAAAAGTGGCAAATTTATTGATGTTTTTATGGTTATAAATAACTTTGTTCTGAAACACAAAACTTATCACTTGAGTTGCACTACTGCCAATACTAAATTCTGTTTGTCCCTACCAGAAATGGGCATCCCCTCATCTTGATGTTAGTGAACAATGCAAGCACATACCATGTTATTCATATTAATAAAAATGGTTTTGCAAATGTTAAAAGTTTTAATCTTTTGTGTATTTATTAAACCCTGTAATAACTGTGGTATTTCAATATTCAAAAAACTTAAAGCCTGATGTATTGGGGATCTCCTTTCCTCTACAGAAAACCAGACATCTATATATGTATATGCTTTGGAGACCTTATAGCATAAATAAAAATGTTGTTTAGCCCAGTTTATCCGGATCCCTCATGTAAATGGAGCAGACGAGGCGGCCCAACTCCTTCCTCACGTGTACAGGCACAGTTTCAGTAGTGTTCACCAGTCACCTGTCACAAGAAGCGACCTTCATGTGCAATGCACAAACACTACGTCACTTGTATCACGCCCCGTCATCGACGATGTCCTCGTTCAGGACAGGGGAGAAGATTTGATTATTGTGAATAAAATGAAGCGTTACTTCAAATATCTTGCCCGTAGAAGCATAACTTGTTTTAAAACTAGTTTAAGTAAATGACTCAAAAGAATATATATTGCTATTTTGTCGTCTAATACGTCTGTTTAACTAAGCACAATAAAACACCCCCCTGTTGTATCGGTGAGTTGGTATCGTCCTGTAAACCTAGCTGGGCTAACCAGCGCGTCAGGATTATCAGCAGAACCACGGGAGGTGGAGGGTGACTAGAAGAATTGGGAAGGTGTCAAATAACCATTTAATTCAACATAACATTTTTATCAAATAACCTCACGTCAACGTATCGGTGTCTCCAGTACGCGTCCCACACGTTAAACCATGTCAACCCCGGCTAGAAGAAGACTTATGAGAGATTTTAAACGGTAAGTCGATGGTGAACAGTTTTGACGATGCCGAAAAACAGCTAACATTAGCCTAGCTTTCGTCGACTCGGCGCAGCTAACCAGTATCCTTTTAAATGTTATTTTAGACATGTAGATACACAAGTAAACACTGACGTAATTTAACTTGTTCTCTGTTTAGTGTTTAGTCAACAACTCTGAATATTACAGGGATCAACTGTCGTTTACTGTCGGCTAGAAGCTAACACTGATGTATGCTAACAGGCTAGCCGACCAGCGTTGCTGTCACAGTTTAGGATGTTAGCTGACTGTTTTAACTTGCCTGTGTTTATGACTTGGAGCTGAAACATATGTTATTCATCGTAGCTTACATGTACAATTTGTGGATTTAAGTCTGTGTTAAAAAATAACGTGTCATCACTCTACGTTGCTGGCCAACAACAGCTTTCGTTAGCTATGCTACTATGCCACCTAAGATCACTAAACTTTGATGCTTTTACAGCTTGGTAGGAATGCTACACAAAGAAATTCAACTTCTAAGAGTGTTATCTTAAAATTTCAGACCAGTACACAGTGTTTAAAGTCATAACTTAGAGCCCGAGAGGCAGCTACAATGATAAGTCTTTATTTCCTGAAGTCAAACGACTTAAGTCCTCATGTTACAGCCTAATTATATGGTGGAATAGTCCTTTATTCAGTCTTAAACACATTCTGTTTTTACCTTACTCTGAGTGAGCCGGTATACTTCAGGTTTCTTAAACAAGTTTTCATCTCAGATTGTGTTTCATAACCTCCAGGTCTCTGATGATACCATGAGACACCTTTTGTGACGTGAACGGCGCAGGGTTTGGGTGGTAGCCAGGTATTGGGAGTGGTTAAGTTAGCGCAGAAACAGACACGAGCTGGACTTAATGAGCTGTCTGGGAATGTGAACAAATATTCAGATTTGAAGTGATGAGTTTGTGATTGGTGTTTCTTAGTCAAAACCTTACATTTTAGTGGTAGACTTATGATTATGAAACTGTGTATTAAAACAACAGGGTTATCACATCTGTTCTTAGGTTGCTTTTCAACAAGGTGACTGATTTAAGTTGTATTTACTACTTTTTTAGTTCTCTGAATCTTAATTTACTCAAGTGTTATTAATATGGGCTGTCACATTTTCACCTCAGGTATATCCTGGCCCCAAAAAATTTGGGATTATGATATTGTGCAGGAAATCTAGGGAATAGAAAACCAGTCAAATGAAGGAAAGACAGGACAAAGGTAGAGCAACACCTAACTATGTAAACTTCACTAACAAAACCTTAAGGTCCTTACACACTGGGGCCCACGCAAATATAGAACGCAAAAATTACTAAAATACCATGAGGCGAATTTTGACGCTCCTGACTATACACATCAAGCCCGATGCAATTTTGCGACTTCCTGGGGGGGAACAGACGCTTCCCGGGGAAAGTCCCGCCTCTTCAGCCTCTGATTGACCAAACAGTCAGCACTTATAGCCAATCAGAGGCGATGAGATAAGCACATAAAACTATGGTAACAACCGTTAGCACAGATGAAAGTTAAAACAAAGACGTTTAGCAAACTGTTAAAGCACACAAACCATCGTCATATGAGAGATCCGACGCTATGTTGTCCTTCAGGTCGTTATCTTTGTAATGTTTGTGTCTTTTTTCAAAAAGCACCCTGTTCTCCGACACGTAAACAATCAGCCGGTCGGCCATGTTGGATATACCGAATCAGACATCGCAACAACACGCAATCTGATTGGTCAGAAATGGATACACAGTATGCGAAACTTAAGAAAAATCAACCGTGATCCGAAAAAATAAGTGCCGCAATATCGCAGGATGGGAAAACGTCGCTGATGTGAACGCTTGTGTTGACAGGATACGGGCTCGAAAAAAATGTTGACGTCCGAAATAATCGCACGAAAAAAAACGGTCCTGGTGTGAAAGGACCTTTTAAGCATGCTTGAATTTTGAAATGAATCACATGCTACTTCCTGTAGATTGTCATGTACTGTACTAAATGAAAACCGGTAAGAAAAGAGTAAGAAATTTTCAATTGAACACCTAAAATGACAAAGCTGCTCCTAAATTCTTTAAACTCTGATTCTTCATTAGTTTCCCAGAATTTAAGGAAACAAGGCTTTTACATGGTCACAATGTTTGGGTCTATGTATTCATACTATGTAGGGTTACGAGTAACATTACAAAAGTCATTCTTGGCCTCTAATACTTAACATTTAAAGGGGTTTTTAGAAAACGTTTCACTTCACAAGAGTTGCATGTGCAAGTGGTACAACCAAAAGTGACAAACGAATCATAATGATGATTAAAATGTAATGTAATGAAGTGACAGTAAGATCAAAGAGTAGCCTGCGGCATACCACAAAGTAGCTGGTATTAGGCTGGTATTTGAAAACAGGTACCTGCCAGCAGTCCTCTGTCTGACACAAAGGGGCAGCACCAGCAGTTCAAAGGCGTTAGCTGGTGGTTCTGCATCATGTCTTTGGACATAAGACTGGTAGCTGAGCCTCTTCAGAGATTTTGCCACCGATAAGCCACTTCCTGTTTTTTTGACTGTGGGTTAAGGTTAGAGAAGCCGTTCATTGACAACATTCTTCTAAAGATGTGTTGTTTTTGTTGTGTTTTAGGCTACAAGAAGACCCTCCAGCCGGTGTCAGTGGTGCCCCATCTGAGAATAACATCATGGTGTGGAACGCTGTCATATTTGGGTAAGGTGCTTAAGACATCATCTTAATGACGGCAAATACAATTGTAAACATTAGGTACAAGATTAATGACCACTGATTCTTTTTTTCCTCTAACATCACAGCCCTGAAGGAACTCCTTTTGAAGATGGTAAGAATTGACTGTGTTTTCAGGTTCATTTTTATGTAGAAAGGTATTCTCACTTGATTTAATTTTGTGTTGAATTTGTGTATCAATGGACATAACTTCAGTACATCAGTATTTTAAATTGGTAGAAAAAAGAGCCACACCATACCATAAACACATCCAGATTCAGCAGCTTATTTTTTGTGTGTCTTTTTCTCAAGGTACATTTAAACTCATTGTAGAGTTCACAGAAGAATACCCCAACAAACCCCCCACAGTCCGATTTGTGTCCAAAATGTTTCATCCGAATGGTAAGAGTTTTCAGTATCTTTATGACCCTTTTATAATATTAAAGCTGTGGGCAGTGTCTCATTGTTTTTTCATCCACAGTCTATGCAGATGGCAGTATATGTTTGGATATCCTACAAAACCGTTGGAGTCCCACCTACGATGTCTCTTCAATTCTCACATCTATCCAGGTAAGACTTGTCAATGAACAGTTAGAAACGACGTGTGAGAAATGCATTAAAATTTGAAGTTTACAGTGGTAAAAACAATAGGAGTGAACCAAAGACACTGGAGAGCTTTGACTACCACATAGTTGCTGACTTTGAGGTGATAAAGACTAAAATAAGTGACTATACTGCCAAACGACAAGCTACGACATATATTTTCTTTGAATCAAATTAAACAATGTTGCATAGTAGCTATGAATTGGTGGACAAAGAAGAATTGGTTTATGCATTCTCACCTTAAGTGTTGTTCTTCTTTTTCTCAGTCTCTGCTTGATGAGCCAAACCCCAACAGTCCAGCCAACAGTCAGGCAGCTCAGCTGTACCAGGAGAACAAGCGGGAGTATGAGAAACGTGTGTCCGCCATTGTAGAACAAAGCTGGAGAGACAGTTGACCTGACAATCCTGGTAGCCTCGCTCTTCATTGTCAAACTGTGTGTGCTGCAAGTTTTAGTGGAGTACCTCTTAATTTTTGGGCCCCCTCCCACCTTTTTTGATTTTAAGCTTTTATGCACTTTACCCCCAACTTCCCTTCATAGAATGTTTTCTTTTTGCCCGCCAAGAGGGATTTATTTTTTCTATCATCCACTTTTTTTTTTTTCCATTTCAGGGGAAATGTGCTGAATCTTGCCTTGTTGTTTTGTCAGTATGGACTTGTGGGCCGTTACCCGAAAATTCTGGTGTGTTCTAACTTGCTGTAGTAACTCCCCATGACTAATCATGTGAAATGTCTTGGAGGATGTATCGTCATGGCTCCTTTTTCTGTTGTGCTCCGGTCCCTCTCTGTCAGTTTGTTCCCATCAGGCAGTTTTTTCTGGGCTCTCCATCACCCCACCTTTTCTGTGGAGAACGAGCAGCCCAAAGCACCACAGACTTGTACTAAATCTGACATCTTTACACTGTGTGTCTTGCTGTGTTGTGAACTCTGTTACATGCATGACAGAAAGAGTGTATTCACGTTCCTGTTCAGTACTCATGTATATAAGAAAACCTGCAACTGAATTTATGTACAGATTTTGCACTGGTTGTCTCCCATGTCATTTTTTTCAGCACTTGTAAATAAAACAAAAAAGGCAAATTCATCCTTTAGTTTCTTACTTTGACTGTTTTTTTAACCACTTTACCTGGAAAGAGTTAACACCAGTTCTACATCTTGGTTATTTTTGGAGATTAAGGAAGAAGGCCTACTAGCTAGACTGGTCTTATATCCAAATATATTCTTCTCCCTCTATGTAATAGTATCATGTAACACTGCTTCATCTTGGCAAGAGCAGCATTACCATCTTGTTGCCTAATTATTGATTCTGAAACCTGACAGACTAGAAGAGCCTCTGAGGAAACTATTAAAAGATTCAAAGCCGAAAATCTTTTGACATCCATCAAATTCAATCATAATTTAATTCACTTAGGCCTAACTTCTGTTTAAAATAACTTTCGGTTGACATGATGAGCAGTCGATCAGTTCATTTTATGCAGATTTAAAGTGTGAAGTGTTACGAAACACTCATATTTATTCAGCCTGTGTAGGTATGAATGTTATTGCTTTCAGCTGCCTGCAGGCCCATTTTATATAAAGATGTATTGTTTCTGTGTAATTGTTCTTGCTGTCTGTGATTGACAGCTTTTTCTTATGTAACACAGCAGAACACTGAGGGACAGCCCTCGTCGGATTTATGCGGTTTTCCCAGCACTTTTCCAGAGTTTGTAACTTTATTTCAACTCTATAAAGGCTCATCAGCGATGCTGTCCACTTTCATGATTTTTTTTCCCTCCAAAGACTTAATTTGAGAGGTAATCAGTTGGGTCTTGAATCGGCTTTTGCTGAATTTGAGCAGTTCGAGCACAAAACAAGGACTTTGGATTTTGGGCCCCATTACATATCACTGTAGGAGGTGAGCTCATCATGACCAGTATTGGCCAAGAGATCAATGTACTACTGGTCACTTGGGCAATGAGTGTAAACTTGTTCTTAAAACCTACATCCCCTGTTTTTGTAACACTGGGGCACAGAGGGAACAGTCAGTGAACGCTGATAAACTATTGAAGCCATTATTCGCTCTGTGCCTTCACCTTCAACAACCTCTCAAACTCTACACTTTAAATTTCAATAATGATACTTTTTCATCAAATGTTTTATTTGTTAACTGAGCACAAATACTGAAATGGGTTGATGTTGCATGCATGTTGAAAAGAAAGGGGATGTTAAGTGCAGGACAGCTGGTTACATGCAGGTTTGTGTTGGACTGTGTCCATTGGTTACAAATAATCCACACCAGGGGAGGTATACTCTTGTTCTGAGCTATACAGCAGTTACAAAAATAACTATTTACAACATCCTTCTCAGCATTTTCATTTGAACAGCACTGACGGTAAATGGAACAAAGACGAGACAAAAAGACGTTGTAGGCAATAGTGTTCATCAGAACAGGTGGACGGAGCTACCTGTTGTAAGCTCGCTCCTTCTTGGCCCTCTCCAAGGCCTTGTCCATAGTTTTCTCATTCTCCCCCCTACACTTGGGGCAGTACCACTTTCCCTTTGGCTTGTGATGGAGCCCGACGCAGGAGAAATGAAACCACTCTATGGGACATTCGTCGTTATCGCAGCCGATCATCTCTCCGTATGACACCTGCTCACACAGGCAGTATGTCGGCTCGTCTGGATCAATGGGCAGATCTGGAGGGGACACTTCTCTCTCAGACTTCCCCTTTGACCTTTTCTTCTTCTTTGAAGATGTTTTGGCTCTCTTTTCTCGAGACGCTCCCACTCCCACATCCTCGACGTGCTCCAGTCCCCCGTAACTTTCCCGATTTTCCCCGTTTTTCTGGCGCCTTGAGCGTTTCCCTCCCGTCTTGTCTCCACCACCCGAGCCTGGGGTGACCTCATCCCGCTTCTTGTCATGGTGGCTGGTTTTTCCCGGAGTGATGGTGGCTGCTGCTACTGATGACATCATGGACGCTGCAGTGGTTGTCATCGATGTTGCGGTGGGGACGTGGCTCTCTGGGACTTCATGAGAGGAGAGGAGAAGTTCAGAATGCCAGTCGATTTGTCGTGTCCGGTTCTCCACCAGCTCCACCTGAGAGAAAAAAAACCAAAACAATCATATTTACTGAAAAGCTTCACTTGCTGGAAAACGACCAAAAGCTTGCAGAGTAAACCCTCAAGTTGTACTGTAATATTTTCAATCCCATTATATCATGCAATGCCACTTTAATGTGGTTTATCTGCGCCTTGGAAAATAAAAAAAGTAGAGGAGTGTTTAAAAATAATACGTGCAAAGTTTATTGCACACCGCAGTTATACAAGAGCTGCATCATCTTTCAGTCAATCCACATACATGTTAAAACAGTAAGGTTAAATATGGTGTTATGTGTCTGGTAACCCTTCAGTGTGAAACTATTGTAAGAGGATCCAGTGTTTAAAGCTGGCGTCCTCTAAATGTTCCACGAGGACTTTCCTGGGACTGTTTCCAGTTCAATTAAAATGCCTGTAAAATGGAAAACCTATTACACCCACACACAGGGCTTTTAAATGTCATTAAGTGAAGCTATAAACCTCTCTTTTTCCCTTTTTATCCATTCAGTTTACATTTCTGCATACAAATACTGTAGATTAGCATTCCTCTACAGTAAAAGCACACTGAAACCACAAGGTCTGGCAGTGAGCAGCTCCTACAGGGTAAAGACTCAGGGTTCATTTCGTACCATTTGACCAGCGATCTGGATCTTCTCATCCCCGAGCTCTTGACTGCGGATCAGCGCCCTCTGAATGGATCCCTGAAGCTTTCGCCTCTGAAGTACGTCAGATTCTCGACGATAACGTTCGTAACAATCATCAAGCTCCTTGAGAACATCTACAAAAGACATATGTTGTATGAATAAAAAACAAAGAAGAGGCAGGAACAGTGAATTTTCAATCTAAAAACTATAACAGGAAAAGTTATCACCTTTAATAGCAAGTTCATTTGGCATACTGGACCAATACTTTTTTTAGATAAAAGACAATGGCTATTATGCTCTCTTCAGTTGTATAATGCAGTTTAGGAGGAACAATAAGTTTAGTGAAAGTCAATAAAGACAGACTGACTATATCAAACACATCTTCATATAAATTGAAGGGACATTCTGGTGAAAAATTAATTTAGGGTACAACACACCGTAACACTGAGTTAGACACCCCCTCGAGAGATGAATGTTGCCGACCGCTTGCTTTTCTAGTTATACCAACTTTAGTAACGACCGCAGGATAGCAATACACAGCGGTCTGAGGAGTCATAAACAAACCTCAACTGAAACGCCTCTCTAAAACCACAAATAATGCTCAGAACAGCACCTAACTTCATCAACAGTACATATAGGGTCCTAGCCATAGTGCTAGCCACCAAACATCTTTTTAGCTTTGTCTAATTTCTTTTGCAAAGAGACAAAACACAACTCACCTACTCTCTTCCAGCAGCTGCTTGTTTGTTGCGAGACCTCAGGCCAGTCCATTACAGACTACAGGGGAGTTTCACAGCTCAAGGAAGAACATTTATGATCATTTCTTCATGGAAATGCCATCAGACCGAGACGCTAAGGCAGAAGAACTACCGCGTCTGAAGTGCAAATGCAGTGCAGGGATCAATATGATGATTATTACTTCAAGGAAATGATAAAGAAATCATCATAAATGTTCTTTCTTGAGTTGCATCACCCCGCTGCAGTCTGTAATGGACTCATCTGAGGTCTCGCTACAAACAAGCGGCTGCTGGAAGAGAGTAGGTGAGTTGTGTTTAGTCTCTTTGCTAAAGAAATCAGGCAAAGCTAAAAAGGTGTTTGGTGGCTAGTACTATGGCTGGGACCCTATATGTACTGTTGATGAAGTTAGGTGCTGTTCTGAGCATTATTTGTGATTTTAGAGAGGCGTTTCGGTTGAGGTTTGTTTATGGCTCCTCAGACCGCTGTGATCGGCAACATTCATCTCTTGAGAAGGTGTCTAAACTCAGTGTTGCAGTGTTTTTGACCTAAATTAAGTTTACTCTGGAATATCCTATTAATGCATCACAAAAGACAAACATTACACTGTGGACCCATCATTTTAAACACTGCATACATCCACACACTGAGGTAGCTTTGCAAAATCTGCAAGTCTCACCCCCTGAGCGCTGCATGCATCTCACTAGAAGATAGAATAGATCTGCGAACAGATAAGTCTTAAAATAAAAGCTGCATACATGTCTCTGTGAAGTGTTTCTCATGCACAGTTTCGATAAACGCAAAGCAAACAGTTGAACTGTATTAAACTGAGGATTGAGTGCTTCAGTTTAAAGTTCTTACGGTCAAACAAAGATTTGGATCTTGCACATCAGTTCACTCAGTCCAGCTTCCTTACCTTGATACTTTGCATCGATTTCCTTCATAAGAGACACACTTCTCTGCAAATCAAAAGGCAGTGACTCCACCAGGTCCAGATACTCCTCAACATAATTAACAACAACATGGCTCGGGTCACCGTTGGTCGGGTTCAACATCGTGGATCCGTCTTTGCTCCTGGATATTTTGGCACCTGCACCTGTTAACAATAAATCACCGTTGAATTAAACGCATTGAATTACTGCAGAGCTGCTTAAACTACTACACTTTTATCATTTGTGCAGGAACATGGGTCTTTTCGTGTCAGCTGCTCCTTCATTTACTTGCATTAGGTGTCTCAGCAGAGTTGATCTTGCTCATTGTATCTTGTTTGGAGGAATAAAACTGACTGAAGCCTGGAGAGGAGAGGGCAGCCATTCTGAGACTGCTACGTGTACTTTACGTCTGCCAGAGGAGAGGAACTAGACTGAGACAGAAAATTTACGCGGCAAATAAAACATTTGAGTCAAATAGAATGAACTGGATGGATATAAAAGTGCGAAATGTGATCTAAGGAATTTGTTGTGTTGCAAGGTTTGCTCAGACGACGCAGCTAGCTTAGCAGCAACTGAGTGTTAGCTAGCTTGATTTCCCGGCGAACTCGTATCTCCGCTTGTTGAATTTGCGTGAGGATAAAAAAATAAAACTGCTAAAATCGACCGGTAACATGATCAGAACGGATTTGAATCTTTTCATAAACAGAGGTAACACTACTGAACGTAATTTTCTGTGACTGTTTTACAGTTACGTTACAGCTAACGCGCTCCGCTCGCGAGATTACGTCAACATCAGGTAACGTAGACTGACCCGATCTTCTTTGCAAGTTTTAGACTTGTTACTACTCTCTAAAATAGTAACAATTGAGATGAAAATTGAATTATAATCCACCAGGAACACGGGTTACCGGAGCTCACTGGTTTACAGGGCTGAAGGTTTGGGCAGCATCTCCCAAAGTGACAAAGATTGACGTAACCAAGGCGCAGAAAAGCAGACCCTTCACTCATCTTCACGCAGAAATTCAGTGATTTATTATCTAACGACACCACTTTAATTGGAAACACCAAATACGCAATAATAATGTAAAATTCCGCTCCTTTTAGCAGACACATTGCAAGCAATTTTGGCTCCACACAACTATTAGCCCAATTAGCTTCCGTTAGCTCTTCAATCATACCGCCTCAGATAATATCGCAACACGTACTAGTGAAATTCATAAACACTGAACAAAACTTCCTCACACTCTCTTATTTTATAACGAGGTGGCTTGCAGGCAAACTTACCCGTCTGAAAAGAGGGAGCGTTTGTGTGGTAAATGTTGTCCACTCCGTGGTGCTGTCCTTGCTCTCGTGGCTAACGCTAGGCAGTGAGGTAGTGTGTAGAGTTGACGACTGGAGCGTGTATGGAAGGTAGTGAGGGCCATTATTCGTCTCGCGTGTGACACGGTTTTAACGCGTACACATTTTGCAGCGTTTCAATTAACAGGATAATTCCACTTTGTCAACCTTAAACATTTTAGATTTGGGTAAAGTCTCTCTAGAAACCGAAAATATTGGCACCTTTTCTGTTATTCACTTGTGGGAAGGCTGATAGTGCCAATATTTCTCACTTCTTGTAAAGTTTTTGGCATGTGTCTTTAAAACATGGGTGGGCAATTAATTTTTTACATGGGGCCACATGAGAAACCTGAACTGTGTTGGAGGGCTGAACCAACAATAACTTCAACTTCAAATCAGGGGGGTTCACACATAAAGAAAAGCAAGCCCAAATAAGTAACTACTTGTTAAAAACAAGCCCAAAAAAAAAAGCGCACCTGCGACTCACGAGTTTTACAAGCGACTTCTGAGAGAAACAAGCTTAAAGTCCCATATAATAAGCGGACTTGGCAACTATGAGGCGTCTACGAATATTTTGCCGATGTTTAAACTTGTCTCTGCTCACGAATGCAGATCTAGGATGTACGCACGTGCGTCCAAACAGAAATAAAACAACAGCTAGGCTTTCAAAATAAAAGCAACACTCTTATATAGCATGTTGATGACTTGATTGACGGACCTTATGAAGGGCCGGACAGGCACATCCAAAGGGCCGCATGTGGCCCTCAGGCCGTAAAATGCCCAGGTCTGCTTTAGAAAGATGTGGTAAATGCATCTCATTTATATCAAAACGTTAATCCTAAACTTAGAAATTTGTGATTTTTTTTATATCCAACTCGATGTATTGTGCACTTTGATTTGTTTTTAAAGATAAGTCCTGCAAACTTTAATATTCACATTAAGTGTATTTTACAACATCTTCAGAGCCATTTAAATGTTAATTACCAAGGACCCCTAAATGTTGACTTTGAATGTTTTTTTCCCTCCCGTTTCACTTTGAGATAGCATAGCAACAGATACTAAAATGCAACAATATCTAGACTTTTATGCCACTAGAAACAGTATTTTGAATTTTAAAGAGACTGAAAACTGTCTTGTTCTGTACATCAACTGCCCTATAAAGACTACTCCAACATTACACCACCAATTGACATTAAAGCTCATAGTATATCATCACTATGTAATACATGACCAACTGCTTTGGCACACACAATATCCTTCACAGGACTTAAGAATAACAGTTGTTCATGAACCAGTGCGTTCTACCTCGTGTGAACAACATAATGTCATGATGTAGAGTGCTTGTTGAGAAATCATTTAAAAATTCACCCACAAAAAAATCTTATTTTTCATTTATTTCAAAACAGAAACAGGTTAATGGTTTTCTAGGGACCTTTGTTTCTCAGCATCTTAGTGTCTTTGGTGAACTGGGAAATCTCAGTTGTTTAATGGAAGCTACAGTAACAGTCTTGATAACACAATTTTCAGGTCTGACTTTGTGACTCTTTGTCAGTAGTGTGTCTGTGTGTGTGTTTTAGGGCTAAATGAAAATATCAGCATGTTATTGCTGTTCACCAGGGGTGGCTTTTAAAATGTATCTGTCAGTCTGACAATATGACAGGCTTATGAGATAACACTTGATTTTGCTTTTATAAAGTAGCTGTTACTCTCAGATAGTGAGAATGCCAATCACCACACATAATAAACACAACACAGCACAATCAGAACTGTGCGCTTAAAAATGTTTCAGAAAAATAAAAGCATGAGTAGATTTTCTAAGGTTCCAAGTTAAAGTGTCTACTTTGAAAAGGCATCAAATAGTCAAAATGAATGCCTAAATAGCTTTTAATGACCGATTTATTTTGTGTTTTTTTTTCAGCTTTCAAAAAGCTTTTTGAAGGCCAAGCCAATCTCCTGGATCATGTCCGATGTGGTGGTGGACCGGCCATGTTGCTGGAATGCTTGATTGTTGCACTGCCTTGTTAGAGAACAAGCCCCAAATGCTGCAACCACTGATGGATTTACACTGCAGGCAAAAACAAAGGATGGGTTACTGATGCATCAGCATGGGCATAAAACAAAACATTCAACTGGAGACTTAAGATTTCCTAATTTAATCTGAATTTGTTTTCTTGATCTTTAATCTATAAAATTCCATTCAGTGTATTGCCTTGTATTGACAGACATTTAAAGAGACCAAAGTTAACCCATTCCTTATCACAGAAGACAAGGAGGCGCAAACTCTATTAGAACAAGCCTGATGCCTTTTTTCTTGAAAGATTTCAGATTCTTTTATATCCGTTTGGTTGAATATAACATTTTTATTTGACATACCAATGTGACAGACAAGTAGACTTACTGTTTTAGTTTTACATTTTGTATCAAAGTCGATTCATTGTTCACTAGAATAGGCTTTAGCACCCTTCAAGTGGCTTTTTGAAATGCGCTTCAATTAGCTCAAACCAAATCATTTCCATTCTGTTCACACGTTTTGCTGGTAATATATACAGTAACAAACATATGGTTCTCCCAGTTGTACTTTGCACTACCTTGTATGCCTGTTACAAAAAAGGGAGGTTGTGCCTTTACCTTCTGATCACTCCAGATGCAGATGCAGCCTGAGCCCAGTGTGCCAAAACTCCCATAGATCCTGATAGAAGATCACCCTGTCCACCACATCTTCTCCCACTGCCCTCCAGGCTGCATGCAACAACTGAAAAATGAAGAAAAACAGCTCAAGACTTATTAGAAATCCCATCTGAGTGTTGATCCATGTTGTGGAGTTTGTTGAATCATATTTTTTACTGTCTGCAATACGAACCTTTACTGCCGTCAGAAATCAGATCTTGCTCTCCTTTGAGCACCACAGTTAGGTTCCCCATGGCTGCACTGAGCTGCAGGACATGACTCTGATGATCACCGCTGTCCATGGGCTCATGATGCTGAGGCAGCAACAAACATGCGACACAAAAATACACACACATTAACATGCATGCTGTTTATGTTTGCATGCAGAATAGACTCGACTCTGCTGAGAGACCCACCAGTGCCTCGTACAGACGGGTGAATTCCATGAAGTTAGGAGTGAGGATGCCCTTTTGGTACCCTTGAATAACAGATGGTTGCTGTGTAACTAGCCATAATCCATCCTGATGAAAACAAACAACACACACACACACACACACACACACACACACACACACACACACACACACACACACACACACACACACACACACACACACACACACACACACACATACTCAGTAATTGCATATACAGTAGCTTTCCATATAATATCCCATCTGTTCAACAGCTGGAACCATTGAGACTTACTGCATCAATGACTATAGGGATATCTCTTGTTTTTGACTTTTCTATCACCTCCTGAAAGAAGAGAGGAAAAATTATTTTCAAAAGGTATACTCAAATGTCATCAAGAGACACTTATGCTACATTTGCCCAAAAGTATTTAGTTGTGTTCTTTTTTATCTGATCTAAATCTCTATAAATGTAGAAAATGTTTTGCTTTCTTTGAATCAAAAACAGACTAAAATTCCAACTCTTTTGGCTGGAAAGATTTCTTAGTTTCAGCTTTGCAGATTTCTTTACTAACAAAAGGCTGAAGTTTTGAGCAAAGTTCTCAATGTGTGTCTCTCTGAGAAAGCTGCTATTTTCCATTTGAGTTGTTTGACTCCCCACAAAATCAGCAATTCATGAGTTCTCAGAAAATCAAATTAAGAATTTCACAGATAATAGTCAGACGGCCTCTAACATGAGGAGTTGTGCTTTTCAGCTCAAATCCCTCACAGTATCCTATTAAATAACTTTCAAACTTGGCCTGAGCTTGTTTCTGTGGTTAAGTAAAGGCAGCTTGTCAAAGGAAAAGGTCGTAAGTGAAAGGGGAGATTAAATGTATTCCACGTGCCTTTGCTGTTTTCAGTAAGAGGTCTTCTCTGCCTAGTCCTGGTCCAACTACAAGGCTGTGCAGCCTTGGGAGCCATTTTTCTATTTCTTCCACTGCGTTAGGACTATCCCTAGATACAAACACATACATTCAAAAAGAGAGAGAGAGGGGTATGAATATGGGTGATGATGTTATTTCCCTATTATATCACATAAATTATCACCCTGGTTTTGATTGAAAAAAGAAAAATAGAGGACCAAATATCAAAATAAAAGAGTATGCACCAGCCCTCTATAGCACAGTGTTTGAATGCATTTGTATTTTTAAAAAGATATATTAAAAAAGCTTTTGTGGTGTAATTGTTGATATGACATTAAATTTCAGCAAGTTTCTCTATGGCATAAAATCAAATATACTGTACATCATAATGTCACATCTTCTACAACACAATCGTACCTTGTGATTTTTATGTAGTCAAGGGTGCAGTAGGACTGTTTTGCTTTCAAAAGACACTAGTCTTTTCTAATACTACAGTTTTGGTCAAACAGCACCAAGTATTCAAAAAGCTCGACAATCAAAGTGCAGTTTCAGGCTAACAGAGCTTGTTTGTTTATTAGAAGAGGGAATGGTATGAGGTACTTGTCAACAGCATGTGTGTAATCCACATTGGATGCTGGTCAGTTTGACCAAAAAAGTGCAAGAGAACTCTCAAAGAACTGTCAAAGTGATATGAGACATGTTACCAAATATATTTAGACCAGGAAGATCAGTACTTACAGAACAGGGTGGACTATGAGCTCAGGGCTGTATGATTTTATTACAGTTGCAGCATCTTTGGTGCAGAATACGTGGGACAGGTCGGCCCCCTGGAGATGAGAGAACCACATGATAAAGATAATTTCTAGTAATATTAAGGATAAATCTTTAAGAAGCACGGTCAAATTACTACTTACTGCTTTTAATGCTGAGATAGCAGCGAAGTATGGAGCTCCTGTATAGCTTTAAGGGTTGGAGATTAAAAGAATAAGAGTAAGTGTTGTGTTGAATAAAGAACAAGTGAATGATGCTTCTATTGTGGACAAGTTTGTGCACCATACTCTTGGCATCCTCCAATGATCCCAATACGTCCATCTTGCCCTTTGTGCTTTTTAGATGTCAGTGGAGGGACTATGCTCTTTACAAGTGACAGGAAGTCATCATCCATGCCTCTGTGTGATGTGGAGCCCAAACTGAAGTGGCGTTCTAACACTAAGAAAACAGAGAAAGCATTAGTTTCCAAGTGTGGAATACTTATTTGGCAAGAGTTATTGTCTAAATAACATTTTATCCTCCCATAGAAATATTATGACCAATGTTTAGCAACAAATACACAGAAAACAAACATAAATTTTGATACAGTGGCGAAAGAGATTCATTACCAAACAACCTAACGACAGGAAAAAAAGTCAAATAGAGTCATAGCTTCATTTATCACACATTTCTGTTTAGTCTTTGCACACTCCGCCTCCAGGTTGCACCCACTACTACCTAATGCCTGAGGATCAGGACTTGAAAGTTGACTTTGTCGGGTGAAGCAGTCTCTCTGGGGCGAGGAATGTTTATGATGGCTGGGTTTTGCGTGTGTACACGAAGAGGAGGTGCCGGAGAACACAGGAGCGCGGGCAGGAGGAGATGCTTTGGAGGAAGAGGCCGCAGACCCGGGTCTTGTGGAGGAGATACTTGAAAACATCTGACCGAGCATCTGCAGCATTTGAAGCTCCCTGGTGTGTTCCACCTCTCTGCGCCGGTCCTCTGCCTGCAGGCGCTGCTCCTCAATGCGGTAAAAGTTGTCCTCTGCCTGGGCGCTCTGCTCCAGGAACTGCTCCATCAGTTTCTCCATTGGGAAGTTTGAGCGCCGCTTTCTGGGACGTTTTGGTGTTCTGGCTGACAAACTGCTGGCTGGCTGGCTGCTGTGTTGGGATCGTGTTGAGGTGCCTGGGGTAGAGATGGGTTAGAACTTTTGAGACACATCTTTGACCACGTACAATAAATAAATGAATAGGGGAGAGTGGGGTAATATTTCTGATCACTACATCAAGGCAATCATAGTTTTATCTCTAACTAATGAATCTGCATATACTTCGAGATGTTGTTTATCCCTGCAAACCAACAGAATGAGTGTAAACATAACTGTCTTGATAATATAGCATGTCAAAAAAAAAGTGGTCTCTTACCCCGTGTATGGGTTAAGTTGACCATGGGAGCGGAGTAAGTTGAGCCGTATCCCAACTACCCCCCCACTCTCCACCCCAGCCCTCCCTCACCTTCTCTCTCCCTGAAAAACAGTCACTTCTTCACATTCATGTGTATTTTTATCTATTATACACTATTTAAGAGGTAAAATAATTATTTTTTATTATAATTATTGCACATAACTGCCAAAAAGCTGTTTTGTAAAAAGCCATTTTAACATGAGAATGTCTTTAATGATTCAGAACATTCATTGCTGTATATTTGAAAAGAAACAGTAACACATTTCAACATTCTGAACTGAAACTCTGATCCTCTCATCAGACTCCTTTACTTTCTCAGTTGAGCCACTGACTCTTAGGTTTTTGACCCTAATGTTGTAGCTCATAGTTACCACAATTGATGTATAAAACAAATTTAAAATGATCTTTTTTGGTCTGAACACAATTCTAATAAATCTTATGACAGACTAAATTCACTTTCAAGAGTGAAAAATGTTATTTTGGAAATAAATGTCTAAGCCCTTTACCCATGTGCTTCTAACCTTCACAGACTCCATGAATTGATGCCCATCAATTGATCAATTTCTGCAACAGGGGGTGACTCAACTTACCCTCTTTGGCTCAACTTAGCCCACTCTCCCCTATAATGAATCCATGAAACAAGGCAGATTTGACAGTTCAGCAGACATAGGAGAAGAACTTACTGTTTCCAACTGTGACTTTAACAGGAACAGAGATGGGAACAGCTGGGTACTCCAGCTTCACTTCAGTCTCAGCAGGGTAAGGACACTCTCCTGTGCTCTCTGAGTATCCATCCTGAGCATCCTCTCCGTCCTCCTCCAGGCCATCCCCGGCCTCCTCTCCTCCAACCCCGCTCTCGATGAACTCCTGAGGGTCAAGTGCGGGCCGGTTGCTCAAAATCCTCTCCATGGTGTCATAAAACTTACAAATCTTGTGATACTGACCATTGTTCCGTAGATTGCCCTCTTTTGCTAACAAATACTGCCTTTTAAGGCTTTTGATTCGCACCCTGCATTGTTCGGGTGTCCTCTCAAAACCCATCACTCCCAGCCTCCGGGAGACGTCTCGGTACACGAAGCTGTTTCGGAAGTTTCCATCTAGAGCCGTCTGGATGTCCTGATCCCCCCAGATGTTCAACAAGGTCCTCGTCTCTACATCCGACCACAAGAAGCCCCGTGTTGTGTTCGCTTGCATAGCGGATACAGACAGGCAAGCTTAGGCTGTAACCTCCAGCACCACAATGAGCTGATCGGAGATGTTGACACTGCGGATTATGATGGACGTCTGGTCTGGGTCTGCTCCGAGCTGCATCACAGCCGCGGGGCTACTACGCTAACAACTACAACTTGTCGTAAAGGTACATGAAAAGCACGTGTTTGGGTAATAATTGAAGTTTTTAACCTTGGAATCATTACGATATCTTATTTTTATCAACTCTTTAAATGCTAGCTAAAACCTAGCTGTCTATGTTTATCCTCTAACGTCGCTGGCTAAGTGCGTAGCGTAGCGCTTTGAACTAAACTGACCGTAGATCAGTGTCTAGAAGCCTCTTTGCGACCGTTAGTTTCAAAGGGAACATTTAGAACTGACCTCTGATCAGTCCTATGGGGACAACTTCGCCTCTGTCTGCCTTCTCCTCCTCCGCCCACTCTAGTTGTCTGCGGGGTCCTAATGCCCCCTTTTACACAACCTGTCAACTCATCGACCGACATAGAAAGAGGGCAGTGGGCTTTACAGTACACAAACAGAGGGTAGCCCAACACAATATGGCGCTGCAGTGAATGACAAATTGAAAACACTATACCTTTTTCGTGCAAACAGAGTAAAGTGGCGGTAACCGTCAGTGTAACTGTGATCAAGGCATAGGCGAGCATCCGAATCTGTTGATGAATGTTGTCATTCATTCTTTTCTTATTCCCATCACATCACACGACACGTGAAGCCGCCCCACGAGTGGGAGCCCCTCTTGCTACACACAGTTTCTCTCACCTAAACCGGACCCGCGCTTCAACGCTGTCAACTGCACACAAACGGTCCTGATCATGAGGCGCCTTTACCCCGAGGAGGAAACACAGGAAGAAACACTGTGTGATGCTTTCAAAGGCGCCTCGACAAATCCAAATCTCTGAAGGTTTGCAGCTGTCAACAATCCGGGAGGCGATTTTTTTTTGTAGGATAGTAGGGGAAGGTCCCGCCCTCCTTCGCCTCTGATTGGTTAGAAGTACTGGGCTCCGATTCGTTATTGATTATGGCTGTAAAACGTCATCGTCGGGTTAGGGTTAGGGTTAGGGTTAGAGTTTAGTGATGGGCACTGCAGTTCTTTTAGATGCACCGAATCACTAGAATCAGTTCACTAAAAAGATTCGTTCAAAAGATTTGTTCACCGAATTACTGAATCATTCAGCGCTCATTCAGGAGCCTGCGACTCTGACCTCCTAAACTGATACACGGCTGAAGGTTCAGGATTCAGTTCAATTCATAGCTTCTGGGACCGGGAGACAAGAGTGTTTAGCTGTGTTGCTTTGGCAAACAGGTTTGTAAAAATGAACTTGTTTAAAAGTCATGATGTTTTAAGTGAACTGTCCTATGGTATGCTACTTATTAGGTCAGCTCAGTAGATTGGGCTCAGTGAGTGATTTGTTCACTGAATGTTTAAAAGAATTCACTCCAAACCATAGACTGTATATAGAATGGACAGTCTGCCTTGCTGGGTGAAGCCACTCCTAGAACAGCACCCTCTGGTGACGGGCTGCAGTATAGGTCATAAATCCCGCCTTCGCCAGCGAAGCTTACGGAGCTGTGGACAAACTTAAGAAATTTATTACAAAGAACACAAATTTTTCTCCCCCCTGCTTGCGGTGTTGACATGTAGTTACAGTAAGATTGATTTTTTTTTCTAATTTTTTCTTAATTGTAACATTTATTTAAGTTCTTAATATTACGATCTTTATTTTTATAACTGCATTTTGCACTACCTTTGTCTGTGATGCTGCTGTGGCAAAAAAAATTTCCCTCATGGGGGATCAATAAAGGAATATTCTATTCTATTCTATTTGTGCTCAAGTCCTCTTTTTTCTGTGTAGCTCATGTTTTCTATAATTGACACCTGATACAGTATATTGGCGTTCAGGGATTGCGTAGCTCACCCAGGGGATATGCTGTTTGAGTCGAGCGTCATCACACCGACTCTCAGCGACTCTCCCGCCGCATGCGCACAATGCTACTGCACAGCGCTGATTCCAGGAAATGAAGACACATCCCGCAAATACTGAGAGCCTTTTGGCTTCAAATCCGTACACAGGCGGGAGGTGGAACCAAGTTGTCCATAGTACATACAGTCTATGCGCTGAACATGCGCCATTCCCTCGCAAACTGCTGCAATGATCCGATGCTGAAGGTTTCATGCTCTACTTGTAACATGCTGTGTCCTATTGTATGCAAGTTGTTGAAAAAAGTTAGTTTTATCCAACAAAAATGATATCATATGACAAGGTATAAAAAGAGCATATCAGAGAGGCTGCAAGTTGAGGTAAGAAGTTCACCATTCTGCAAGAGACTGTCAACATTAAGAAACACTACTTTTCTTTTACATAGAGGAGAGAGAGAAACGATTACCTGGTATGTCTGCACAGAAACCAGCACCTGCGATGGATTAGGGATGAAAAAGTGCACATGGCATGAATTGCTTTCACATCTGGGAAGGCACCTGTAATACTGAACATGTTTTTTTATACTGCCATCTAGAGATCCTTTTTCAGAGAAGACATGTCCCAGTGAGACAATACAAGATTACTGCACATATCACAAATGCATGGCTTTAGAGTAAAACAGTAAAACTGTTCCGCCTGCAGCCCTGACTTTTGAAAAATTATTTATATCCATATCTAATACTGCTTGTGTGTATTTGATTAAATCTGACACCGCCCCCTAGTGGGACTACAGAGATCTATACATTTTGAACTTGAAGGATTGTGTTTTCGAGAGTGGCTCTAATGCACCTGAGCTGACCCACATAGTTTTCAGTGAACACCACTTATTCTTCTGGGGTCTTCTGAGCATCCAATGCGCCCCAAGAGAGAGCCCACCTTCACAAGTAAAAGGCTACAACTTTTTAAATACTGCCCTGTCTATCTGATGTTAACTTCAAAACGTAAAATAAACAGTGGTACAAATTATCTTTAATCACTAATAGATGTTGAGGTTAGACTTGTTGTTCTGTGCTTGTAAAAGGATTATGAAACATGTAGGGTCTTGCAAACATTTCGCAACTGCCTCTTCATTTACGACAGTACACGAACGCATCACGAGTTTCAGTTTTGGAAGAGAACTTGAAATAAAAAGATGCGTCGAAACTGCTATTTAAAATGAATAGAAGACTATGTAAAGCATTCAAGTGAACACTACTGCTGGAGTTGATTAATATACTTAATTAAGGACAGCTCCTTCTCAAACTTCTTGTTGGTGAGCCTTACTGAATCCTGAGTGTAAAAATATGACCTACCACCCACCAGTTACTCTGAATGTGATAAACGGGACGTGACATTTTGTGGTGATTATGCCCTGAGTCTAGCCTTGTAGGTGACTAATAAACAAGCCTCACCATCAATCAATCATTTTTGGGCCCTATTCTTATCACTTAATGGAAAAGAAATTCTTCCTGTAATTTGCAGACCCTGAATACAGAAAATCATTTTTAAAAAGTCTCAAAAACGACAAAGTTTTCAGACTGTGGAAGCAAGTTGCCCTCAAAATTCTAAACGTCCTCATATCCTAACATTAATATTTGTTATACTTTAATTGACTATTTAACTAAATAAATATCAACATTGTATTACCCAATGATTAGAGCACTATCAGTGAACATATTGATCAGGCGCTGAAGGTTCATCAAAGGTCACCAAAGGTGCTCCAGATAGTTTTATGTGTAATAGTAAAATATAATTTTACAGGGATTAGAAAATAAACAAAAAGTTTGTGAATAGTTCAGATAGCAAATGATTTCAGAATGAATTGCCACCTCATGTAAGAATAAACATAAAACAAGTAAATATGAAAAAAGTAGCACATGAGATTTGTACTTTATTAAACCCAACAAAAGATAGGTGTTGTTCTCATTTTGTTTTGTTTATTTTATTTTTTTTAATTTGTTTATTTCAGGTGGATGTTGGGCTCACAGACACCATACCATTTATATTAATTAATGTAATTTTTCTCTTCTTTTTGTTTTGCCTTTATCTTCACACCAACTTTTAAAAGTCAAACCAGACAGTTGGGGGCAGTAGCCACAATAGCCTACTTGAACCTGACAGACAATACTCAGGGTAAACCAACATCCCAGGACCTGTAGCTTCTCACTTCCTGTTTCACCTCAATTACTTTTCGAAGTTTCGACTCGGGCACCAGATTGAGGATGATCGAGCGCGGACGGATCGTCACAAATTAACTCTGGGTTCTGAAAATGGCGTTTGTCAGAGGGATTTGCGACCAGTCCGGGGTTTATCTCACAAGCTAAACCGCGTTTCCTGTCCTGAGAAAGCTCCCCTGTTGTGGGACCCGACCCGGGATCATGCCTGAACTGTCGAAGATGAAGAAGCCCGACGTCAAGGTGGTTCTCCTGGGTGACATGAATGTGGGGAAGACGTCGCTGCTCCACAGGTACACGGAGAGGAAGTTCAAAGACACCATCAGCACTGTCGGAGGGGCTTTTTTCCTCAAACAGTGGGGACCGTACAACATCTCTATATGGGACACAGCTGGTAATACTTCCCTTATGTGACTTCTTAACATACTGTTTGTCTTGAACCCCTATCAAGTCTCACCCCTCTCTTGTCCCAACTGTGTTTACCTGACAACCCGTGAACCCACCACCTGAGGCAATCACAGGCATGTGACCGCTCAGTCAGGACATTAAGCCTGTCTGCCTGCCACTTTGTCTGTTATTGTTGATTCCCACTGATAAAAATGATAGGTTCATAATCCCTTGGACAAAACAAGCATAGCATGACTTTTTGGGACTCACAGAATCAAAACACCTCAGGTTAAAGCAGGATAAATCAGGATAATCCCACTTACCTCTGTGATTACCAAAAACAACTTTAAACAACTTCAAAATTAATCTCTGAATTTTATACACTGATACACAATAGAAGGGGTCTAGAAACTGCTCATTATTATTTTAATAAGAATTTTATAAGAACAAATATGCAAATGAAAAGCCTGTAATCACAGGCATTAAATTAATTTAAAGCTCCTGTAAGGAACTTTTTGTTTGTGTTTATTTTGGCACCCACTTGGAATGAAATAGTACCTCTTATCCACTGCTGAAGGAGAATAAGAGACACCATTTTTAACACAAGTCATATTCTTTTAACAGTTAACAGTTCACTCCTGGTGAATATTTGATACTGAAAAAAATAAGACTAGCTTTTCACCATCTTGTCATTTATCTGGTCTGACACTTTTCGCCTTATAAGTGTTACATCATTAAAAACCACAGCACAGAATTCATCAGTAATTTGCTCTAGTAGTATGATCTAGTTTGCTTTTGTAGGTCACTGAGAACCATCACTATTTCTGTCTGTGTTGTTACCTGATAAAAAGTCCTCAGGAGCTTTAATTGTCTTAAAAGTTAGAACAATTCATGAGCAACAAGTGTCCATTTATCATTAATCTTTGATAAATTGTAATGATGTGAGTACATTTCATTATTAAGTTGTACTTCCACTCAACAGAGCCTGCTTCCTTCAGTTTCCAGCTTTCTTAATGACTCAGATGTAACAGTAATGGTTCTTTGTCTCAAACTACATTACTCAATACTGGACTAACATGACCCGGTCAAAGTCACTTGTCTTTGTACTACAGTTACACTTTATTATACAGAGCGCGTGAGCCTTTTTTGTAAATTTCTGAGTAGCTATTAGATTGTGAGTTCTCAGAAATAACCACCCTGGAAAAACTGATAGTTTAAAGTTTACTGTCCTTATCAAAAAATCATTGACTCAACACAACTAGGAATGTAGAGAAGTAAATGTATGTATGCTGTCGCTTAGGTAATACATGGTAGATAGAAAAATACTTTTGAAATGCACTTTAAATTTGTCTTTGATTAACAATACTGTCTGAACTGTAGGCTGCAATTTGTGTCACAAGCTGCTGTGTTGCCACTAATTTAGTTAAGTTCATTCAACTTAAAAAGCAAATGTCAGGAGTTTTCTCAACCAGGTAAAAAGTTAATTCACTTATAAGATCTACTTGGTTTGAATTAAAGCGAACAGTGTTTAAGATCTGTAGTAAACAAACGATAACAATCAGACTAATCAGCTTAAATCAAAAGTTTAGATTCTACTTAGAAATTTAAAAAGTGCTGGTTTAACCTGTTGGATTAAAAAGTGAAATTAAGGAGTTGTTTTTACAGATTAAATGTCAAAAGTACTTTGAAGGATATCGTTGATCTGCATTAATCTTTTTTTATTACCAGAAACAGCACTTTTTTAATGTAACCTTTAACATTTATTAACTCATGCCTGTCAAAAGAGCCCTGACGGCTTCATAAAAGGTTCTCAGAAACAACCTAGTTTGGCAGAGGCAGGGATCATGTGTGATTCATCTAGGCTCATAAGTGCCTCACACTCCATTGTTGTGTAAACTGGAGTTACAGTAAAACCTTTGACGCAAAACACACATCACAAAAGTAAAGCTGCTCACCCACAGAGAGATAAGCGGAGAAAAGAGCGTTCATATCAGCACTGAGACATTTCCTTTCAGCGCTCTCAACCCCCCTGACCCCTGACTGCGGCCCTCATGTTGTTCAGTCAGAGGGAGAGAATTGCTGGATCAGCGCTGAGTCATTGAGTGTTGCCGAGACCTAACGGCACGGATCATAAAGCTTTTGAAGAGGATCAGTTTGAAGGGGAGTCCTGAAACCTGTTGGATGTTTGGCTCGGCACATAAAGAAACTGCTGCTTATTTTCTGATGAATGGTGCTCTCTTTACTTTAACCGTTTATCTGAAGAGCACAGTGAGGGTGTTTTGGCTGTCTGCTCTGTTCCTCTTAATAGTCACATGACAGGACCGTGACAGGAAGACTTGACTCTTCTTTATTTTTCTTAACATGTCTTTACAAAACGGTCCTATTTTTGGAAGCGCAAAGACTGAGACACACCATGAAGAAAAACTAATTTTCCAGATCTGACCTTTAGCTAATTATGATTTATCTATTTGCTTCCAAGGATAGATCAAGCATAAAATACAAAATATAGTCTTGTGCCAGGGATACAAATGTGTAGATTTGTTGCTTTTTAAAATCATATCAAATTATAAATGGGCAATCTTTTGACTCTAAAATGATGGTTAAATTGCGCTTTTTAACAAAAAAATCAAATTGAGAAAAGAACAGCTGATTCTTTTATAATAAAATAACATTTGGCTGCAACTACAGGTACTTTAAACACATATTTTCCATATTGAAGGTAAAACAGTTTGCAGAAGTTATCTTTTAGAACTTTTTTAGCTTTAAATGCCTCTTGAAATGTGTAATTTGGTAAGAGTTTTCACTCAGTAGAGAGCTTCACACGTGTACTTTGGTGGAATATGGCAAAATGAAATGGACAAAATAGCCTTCAGAATAGTCCCTAAATTGTGTCAAAGGCTCTCTTAATCTGTTTTGACAAAATCGGATTATTAACCAGTTTGGAAAACGAGGATTAATACAGTTTATCAAATAAAAGATTGACATAAAGAGGAAAAAACTATGCATGATCAATTTGATGCACCAAGAGGCCAAATACTGAGACAATGCTCTCCTTCAAGACTCCTGCAGATTTCAACAACAAGGCTTGGTTCTGTTTCCAAACTGCTGACTGTCTTGCACAACTTCTCTTTGTACTTTGTGTCCTTTTTTTTGTTCAAACTGTGTGTATTGGCTGCTCAGTGTGTGTGTAGGAGTTGAGGACTCTGTTGATGTGTGTGTGTGTCTCCTCAGGTCGTGAACAGTTCCACGGTTTGGGCTCCATGTACTGTCGAGGGGCGGCTGCTATCATCCTCACTTACGATGTCACCAACTGGCAGAGCCTCTCTGAACTGGAGGAGCGCTTCCTGTCCCTGACCGACACCGCTAACCATGACTGTATCTATGCCTTAGTGGGCAATAAAGTGGATCTCACTGACCCTAAAGCCCATCAGTCCCAGGACTCAGATGTGGCATCTGAGGACAGAACTGATAGTGAAGACATGAGGACAGAACCACAGCTCCCCACACCTCCTACCTCCCCTGCATCCCTCTCTGGAGTGATGCTGCAAAAACAAGTCACGCCCGAGGATGCAGCGGCTCTTTACGGGAGGATACTGCGCTATAAAGGTCTGGATGAAACCAGCAGCCAGCCTGCAGAGAAGATGTGCTTCGAGACGAGCGCCAAGACGGGCTACAACGTAGACTCTCTGTTTGAGGCTCTGTTTGACCTGGTGCTGCCTTCAATCCTGAGGCAGAGAAACGAGAACCAAGAGTCTCCCACGGTGGACCTGGAGGAGTGCAGAGGAAGCAGTAACAAGCGGGCCAAATCCAGCTGCTGCTAGGATCTTTCAGGAAAGTGAACACAAGCAAAGACTGGTGTTTTAATGAGGATGATCTACACCAAATACATACTGTGATGGTACTACTCGTGTGCTCTGAGACCCAGCAGCATCAGTAACCTCTGACTGCATGCTCTAAACACAAACACACATTCTTGATCCTGTGAGAACAACCAGAATAAGCAACTAGCTTTATATTTATTCCAGTGACATTTCAAGTATTTCTTTGTGAGGAAGGGAGACAAATGTGTTCACAAGGTAGTAGAAACATTTCACCATGATGACTGAAGCTGCACTTACCTCCTGAAGGGGTTTCCACGAAATCAAACTAACACACACACAAAAAAAGTCAAACACTGTTATCTGAGTTTCAGAACTAGAACCACAAATTTTAACAGCACTAACTGTTAGGGGTCAGTGAAGCAGTGGACTGATTTTGCTCTGTTTGTTCTATAAAGTTTAATAAATCACGCTTTTGTTTCCTTTTATGCTTCAAAGCCTTGTTCACATTTCATTAAAATATATGCAGCTTTTCAATGATTGTAAATATGAAATCCCCTTGATGAATTTTGTAAGTATGCTGTTATAATAAAGATTTTTATTTTGCCTGTTTGGTCTGTCAGATTAATATAAGACAGGGAGAGTTCAATAAAGCGGACAAACACAGTAAGAAGTAAACATTTAATCTATACAAACCAATGTAATGATCATAAAATTACTGTCATTATATTACAAGCTAAACAAATGTCAGCGGGTTTGCAGTCCAATCACTGTTTATTTCTAAAAAAGGGAATGTAGCAGAACATTTGACCTACTTTCTAAACTGTGTGGAAAAAAAAAGAGTGTAATCTGACCTGAGATCAGTTACCAGAACAGGGGTTTGATACAGTGAGACCTTTGATCCGAGCTGTTTACATTCTGTCCCGCTGCAAGTTCAGACATTAGTACATTTGGAAAGGCAAGTGAGTGCGTCATCAGGAGATTAGATATGATGAAGTTTATATCTAAGCTCCTCAGGAGGGAGGGGGGGGTCAAGTTTATTCAGCTGACATAAATATAAAAAGAATCAGTGCATTGTGTGATCACGGAGAGTATGAAACAAAGTTGTGGATATTTTTTCAAACAGATAAAAGCATGGAAACAGAAAAGACTGTTATATAATCAAAAAAGGTCTGTAAAGAGTCATGAAATAAAATGCAGATAATACTGTCAATAAAATCAGCCAAAACGTATTGAAAATATTGCTAATGAAGCAGTGTTAGTGGCTCTATTTTGGGCAGGATACCCCAAACAATACAAACAGAAGCAGAACTAGAAGAACTGAAGCAGTGCATATATAAGGCGTCTTTGGTTCAGCTGTATTTGACGGTCTCTGATTGTTAATCATACGTGTATCATAATAGCTGAGGTAATAAGTTAAACAGTAAGCACCAATCCACATCTCAAAAATACTACAAAAATAATCATCTCCTCGGGTTCATTGATCTGTACTCAGTCTCATGTCCACCATCTTAGTGTGCAGGAGTGTTGGCGTGTGTGTTTATCAGTGTCTGTGTGTGTCTGTGTGTGTGTGTGTATCCAGGGGAATAGCATCTGGGATAGTTTTTTGTTTTAAATTAACTGTAAAGCACTTTGGTTACACTCTTTGTGGGAAAAGCGTTTTATAAATAAAGTCTGATTGATTGATATATTGATTGATTGATTTAGGCTCATCATGTTACACAGGGCTCTATTTTCGTGCCTTGCTGGCGGTGTGGCGTAGGCACAGCCTAAGTCAGGTCCGCCGCGCCGATGAGGCGTGCCCAAGCACACATTGGTATTTTAGTGAGCAGCCCGGCGTAAGTATCCCCTCTCCCTAACTCAGCTCCTCCCAGCAGTGTAAGTAGGAAAGAGGGAGGGGATAGGGCATGGAGTGGGTTTAACACAGCCGAGTCCTGTTTTCACCAATCACATCAGCTCCTCTCCTCATCTTTAAATCCGCCACCAGTGAGGCATATTGCAAATTTTGTGAAGTAGTTGAAGAGATGACTGAAGACAGCACAAGCTGGCGGCAGGAGGCAGCCCCTCAAGGAGTGTTGCTCTAAGTGCTGCAGGGTATCCCCTAAACTCTCTCAAATAAGAACGCCTAGACTAGGTTGCACTAGATGAGACGAAAATACCACTGTGCGGGATGCGCCACCCTACGCCGCGCCGCCGGTGGGGACGAAAATAGAGCCCGGTCTTTTCATTTCTGAGCTCTGTGTATTTGGAGGACAGTTTCTCATTTACAGTAATGTTATTACCTGGATTGAGAGACAACACCAAACCACCGCCAAAGTTAGATTTCTTTCCACCCACATAAATGGGGAGTTTTTTTTTGTTAAAGGTTCTTCATGCAGACTTGGCAGCGGCTGATACGTGACAGGAGCTGTCCTGCTTTGAGTGTCTCTGACGATGGATCAGTGTGGAACGACTGATCGACAGAGGTTAGCCAGAAGCTGTGCTCGTTAGCGAAGTAGTGGCAAGTGCCTTTGGCCCCGTTACACTCAATGAATGGCGTTGTGCGGAAGTCTTCCAGGCAGGAACCTGGCGACGACAAAGACTGACCTCCGCCTTCGCTTCCTGCTGCTGTGTGCTGTGGGGATAGAGGAGAGGTTAGCAGAGTGAAGGTGAGAGAAAACAAAGCATCATCACATGGAACCACATAGATGAATTTTTCATTCAGACGTATTTGTTTGAAAAAAAAAAAGGTACCATAAGGAAGGAGTAGCCGATCCACAGACTGCGCCAGCCTGCAGGACACTGTGGGATGGTGACGTCCTGGCTGTGGACTGCGATGGCAACTGATGGAGCTTCACACACTGAGCAGCGACTGATGTAAGGTTTGATCTCCGCTTCTTCTACAGGCATCATGGGAAGAGGAGCCGTGGTCGATAACCAGAAAGACTTATCGTTTCTGCTGGCATAGTAACAGACGTCTCCGGGGTTGCAGTACAGGAAAGGCATGGTGTTGAAGCGTGGGAGGCAAGAGCCAGCGAGACCTGAACAGGACAAATAACCAGATTGTACTTCAAAAAGGCAAAACATTGCTATTGAATAGTTTAAAGCTCCTGTGAGCAACTTTCTGTGTTGATTTTGGTGTAAATTGACAAAATAAAAAATCTCTCCTCTGCTGTCGTTTAGAGGTGAAATGAAACGCTGTGAATATTTGCTGCAGAATGAGTAACAAAGGCAGTTTTTTCATTGGAGCTAGCCCCTTACAACAGTTACAGGCATTAAAAATAATACTATAGAAATGTTTCATCTGTTTACTAATGGGCTTATTTGCTTTTTTACATCATAGAGATGTTTCACTTTTTGTTTCAATCTATTTGATTACCAAATCAAAACTCCTCACAGGAGCTTTAAATAAAAAAATCAATGGAGCGCAGCTGGAGCATCCCAAGTGCAGATGCTGGCCTGAATTCACCTTTGGCCTGTGGCTACTTTCCAACATATCATTTCCCATTTCCTGCGCTGTCCTCTCCAAATAAAGGCAAAAAAGTAAAGAAATAAACATTAGAATACAATTAAGAGATAGAATGTAACAATAAAAGCAGTAAATCATTTTTAAAGTGCCCTCGTTTTCTCTGTTATTTATATTGAATCATATTTAAATGTTTGGTTACAGGCTCGCTGTCTGGCCCTGAATCAGACTGATGAGCTGAATCTCTTTGGAATGTCTTCTGGTTCACTGGATCACAATGTCAGAGAGATTCAATGTGGGAATGTTTTCCTGACCATTGATGCATCCTGTCTGAGCTGCTCTGAGTTAAACTCACTCTGGCATTTGACAGGAAACTTCACTGATCATTTGTTTGAAATCCTATTTGTATTAAATATTAAATTGGTTTTGAGATTTTTATTACCAATAAAATAACCCCATTAATGTATTACAATGTTCATGTTCATCCTGACATACCCAGGTCCTGATTGTGAGCCTTTTCTTGTCCCTCCAGGTAAAGCAGACTGTAACCATCCCATAGTTTCGACATGCCAACAGGACACATGGGTGTCTGCTCTGATTGACTGTGCTTCACCAACAAGTATCCCACGCTGACACTGCGACCTGGCATACCAGGTAACCCTGGGATACCAGGGTTGCCACGGCGACCTATTGAGAAACAAGGATTTAAGAGCAGTGTTTACAGTCAAGAAAAACTACATCTGAATATACACATCACTGTTTACTAATCTAATTAAACAGTGATATAATATTGCATAAATCTCACAAACACTTACATCTGCTCTGATAAGATTATTACATAATAATACTAATAAACCTTGAGGATTTTTTGGTTTCTGGATCAGTTTTCCAGTCTTTGTCAATTCATTAAATACATTTTACAAAAACAACTATTAAAGACCTCTTTGTAACTGACTCCCTCCTACACCCCCGCCTACTTTAAATCCTGTAATCCAGGATTATTAGGTTAATCCTAACTTGCCCACAGTGTCAGACACACCTTCCGTTCCTTGCAGACCAGGGTGGCCTAGTTGTCCGACCTCTCCACGAAACCCGGGTGTTCCTGGTAGACCACCAATCCCAGGCATGCCTTTGTGACCAATTGGTCCCATGAAACCTGTGAGAGTGACAGTGAGAGGATGAAGACATGTTGCTAAAAAAACACTTTTCTGTATCTATACTAAATATATTTATTTTATAAAATTAACTTACCACTATCCCCAGGGGGGCCCTGTGGCCCTGGTTCACCTTGTATCCCCTGTGGTCCATGGATACCATGAGGTCCTGGAGGGCCCCTGTCTCCAGGATAACTGATGGGTATTGGTAGAGGACCCTGGTTACCTGGAGGCCCTGGATAACCTGCAGCACAGAAAGATCATGTAGTGACCGAGAATATGAACACAAAAGCACGACTTCGATATGAAGAGAAAGTGTAAAACCAACCTGGAAGTCCGGTGTTTCCTTTCAGACCAGGTGCCCCTCTTTCTCCTTTGAAACCCATCTGACCGGGAACGCCCATCAATCCTTGCTCCCCTTTCCCTCCTGAAAGTGAAAATATCAAAAGCCTGAGAATTGAACGTAGCATGACAGAAGATCTTAGAGACCCGACAAAGTTTGACGATGATCACCAGTGACAAAACTCAGTGAAAGTGGAAACAAAACAACTTCTCTGTCTGTTCATTGAAGAAACAAACAAAGAAACAAACTTATTTGGAGATATCTTTCCTCTCTGAGCTCATGCTATTCTTCGCATAAAGTTTGCATCTCAGTACATTTAGGCTGATTCGTTTCACAAGCTGTATGTTTATATGCCTGTAAATAGAAGTCTCAACATCACAGCTGCGATGGTTCAGTGTTAAAATATCAAAATGCATGGGTGCTCCAAACTTGCCAAAGTATTATAATAATATAATATGTTGGTATTACTCCCAAATGACCTGTCAATATTTCTCTTACAGCACAAGTTACAGCTTTGAGGTAATCACATAATTTCACACAAAACCCACTCACCTTTCTTCCCAGACACTCCGTGTGACCCCTTGAATCCAAATGGACCTTGATTTCCTTTGTATCCTTTCTGACCAGGGAATCCAGGGAACCCACCTGACCCAGGTAAACCTTTTTCTCCAGAGAAACCATCCCCACCAGGGACTCCTCTGGGTCCAGGGAATCCTGAGAAACAGATCAGTTCAACAAAACACTATTATATATTTTTTGCACAGGGGCAAAGAGGAATTCCCAAAAACTAAATGTCATGTCTACATCAGTATCCAGTAAAACATGAACATAACAAGCTCCAAGTATCAAAAGAAACCAAGTAACAAACATAAAGTCATAATTACAACCTGCACAATCAGGTTTAAAATGATCCTGACAATGTTTTTGAAATCTTCATAAGCAGAAAATAGGTGAGTTTTTTCCCTTTATCCTAGTTTTCTTTGCTTACACTGTATCATCTCACCTTGGAATCCTTTAGGCCCCGGAAAACCATGGTCTCCAATGGGTCCTGGTCTATCTCCGGTGCCATTTGATCCTACAGGGCCACGGAATCCCGGGAATCCAGGCTGACCATAGTCACCTGAAAGGATTAAACACGGCATTATTTCAAATCTTACAATACTTATAAACCTAAACATGCATACACAGTTTCTAGGCATCCCCTCTTCTTTCATTCACAGCACTTAGATGGCCAGCTCATGCCATATAAGCACAGTAGAGTAATTGCAAACCTTGGGGGCCCTGGAAACCTTTCAAGCCATTTGTGCCAGGGACACCTGGTTGGTTATTGGGGTCACCACTTTCTCCTGTCTCTCCTTTCATTCCAGTTTCACCAGCTGGTCCAACGATATCCAGACCTGGTGCAGATACAAACAGACCATTAATCTTGAGGTCTTAATACAACAGAGAACAGGCACACGTTTTCTCTACCACCACTTGATGTCTTAAACCATCCTAACTGCACAAAATCTTGATACTTAAAGATTGCCATACCTGGAGTTCCAGAAGCACCCTTTTGTCCTTTCAGTCCATGTAATCCATAAAGACCCTTTGGGCCAGGGAAACCTGCACACATTTTCAAAGGTCAGCTGGAAGAATATGGTGGATAACCAGTATGGAGTAAAACTTGGCTTGATGATGTACCTCTGTTTCCTGGGAACCCCGGAAAGCCTGATTGTCCATCTTTCCCAGCTGGTCCAGAAAACCCTTTTTGTCCTTGGTTACCAGGAGTTCCCTTTTGACCATCTCGGCCTGTGGAAGTAGAAAATGTCAAATAAGAACAGTAAAGATGTAATTTTTGCTAATTTTATATTTGAAAAAATATGAAACATATACAGTGGAATTTAGAAGTGATTTTTACCTTGGGATCCAAATATTCCTGGTTCACCTGGCCCTCCCTTTTTACCTTGAATACCATCAAAACCAGATGAACCTCTGTCACCAGTTGCTCCAATAAATCCATCCTGGCCTGTAAAGTAAGAATTAATAATCTAACATTAGAGGAAAAACAGGCTCAGTTTGTTAAACAATGCTGATCAACACAAAAGGAGAGAAACAAAAACTATAAAAGGCACACTTTGTACCTGGCTCTCCTGTGACACCAGACTCTCCTCGATACCCGGGGGTTCCTGGAAGGTCTATCCGAGGGCCATGCTCACCTATAACGACAATCAGCATATATCAACATATCTGTGTTCTTATGTACCGTATTTTCCTGACTATAGAGCGCACCTCAATATAAGCCGCACCCACAAAGTTTAAAAAAAAAATTGGAAATGTACTTATATAAGCCGCACCGGCCTAAAAGCCGCGGTTATCTACTGAACTGAATATTTAGTTTAACTGAACATAACTGAACTGATCAGTTTCCGAACGGTGCCCAAAGCATAAAAGTGCTTATCAAATAAAACAGAAGAGTTATTGATCGCTTTATCCATCGTCCTCCTGCGCACTGAAACTATCTAAGTCCTCTTCTTCAGTGTCGGAGTTGAACAGCCTCAGGAGAGCTTCGTCACATGCCTTTTCTGTGGCGATGTCAGTGTTGCTCTCCGTGTCACTGTCATCATCCCGGGGTGAAGCTGACTCTGAAGCTGAAGTGTCCTCTTCACGCAACAGTCCAGCCTTTCGGAACCTATTGGTGATGGTAGATTCCTTCACGCTGCTCCACGCAGCTAGGATCCACTGACAGACATCAGAAAATGATGCTCTTCGCATGCGGCCAGTGTTTGTGTCGGATTTATCGCCACTCGTCATCCAAGTCTCCCATTCACCGTGGAGTGCTGCTTTAAACGCTCGATTCTGCTTGCATGTGCTAAATTAAAATTAGCACTTTCTTCTTTTATGTTAAAAATTGACTTTCACCTGTCTCGTTTTTTTCACTTTATACTAAAGCGCCCACCTGGCGGGTGAAGAAAAATCCACAGAAAAGACGCACCACATTATAAGCCGCATAGTTCGAAGTGTGGGAAAAAAGTAGCGGCTTATAGTCAGGAAAATACGGTATACATACTGTATATTGGTTGGTATTAAGCGCTTACCTTTGGGTCCTCTCCTTCCCTTTTCTCCTGTAGCGCCATAAGCACCAGGACTCCCTTTAGTCCCCTGAAAAGAAACAGATTAATAAAAGATAAAGCCATCAAACTTCTACAACTTGTGGCTTGTATTGCCCTTCATTGTAGCCCTGATTTAAAAATCAATATGCATGATTGAAACTTTAAATTTGGCTGACAAAAAAAGGAAAGAGTGAGTGCAACAGCTGAGCAGTAAATCCAGATTTGTCTTGGTTTTTGCTATTTTGGTCTCTAACAACTCCTGTAGTTGCTAAAGGCTCCACTGTTGCTGAGACAATGATATATACAATATATGGTAAACCATTAAAAGCTACTTTTTGCACCTGGAAGCAATGCTGCGTATGAGTAAAGCAAAAGACTGAAACTTGAGGCAGAGAATCAACAACAAAGAACTGAACTAAGACTTGCTGAGACTTTAAATTATACCAAACAGGGTAAACAATCTCTTTCATTTACAAGCAGTCCGTCAATCATATAGATATTAAAAACAGGCGCTATACCTAGATACAAAGTAGGAAATTCTACCATGACTCTGGTTTTGTTGAGTTTGAATATCTAGTGGTCTTCGTATCATCTCAGTTTGGATAGGTCTTTACCTTGCCACCTGACATTCCCTGGAAACCATCGATTCCTCGATTTCCTATCAGTCCTGGCATTCCTTTCAAACCGGGCAGCCCCTGTGCACCTGGATCTCCAGAGTGGCCTTTTTCATTGCTGGGGTCTCCAGGAAAACCATGAGTTCCCTCCGACCCAGGTACACCACTGAGACCCTTGGTGCCTATAGAAAGATAAGTATGTATAGAAGTGAAGCGTGGGAAGACAGAGGAGGTGGGTGTGAAAGGGTGACTATTTACAAACCTCTTGGTCCGGGGAAACCTTGATGTCCTTGGGATCCATGGTCTCCCTTCGCTCCCTTCATTTCGTCCTTCATCTTGTGCTCAATTTTGGGCTTCTCCCCAGGTGGTCCTCTCAAGCCACGATCACCTAGCAAACAGTTGGCATTATTGTTAAACGGTGAGTCAATGAGATGATGTGGTGGCCTAATAACAAACAGAAGAGCAGCTAGGGTTTAACCAGACCCACCCTTCTCTCCATTTAGACCCTTCAGTCCTTTTGGGCCAATGTTGCCCATCAATCCATGTTCTCCCTTCACTCCACTGAAGCCGCTCACTCCTGGATCACCTTGTTTCCCCACAAAACCTGACATGCCTGTAGACCCTTTGTAACCTGGAACAGAAATAAACCATCAGAAGTCACAGACAAACTAAAACAGCCGGAATCATGGAAAACAACAATGTTTGCATCTTCTAGTGTTTAATTTTGATCCATAAAAATTAAATAAAAACAAACCCTTCATTCCCGTGAGTCCAAACTGTCCGTCTCTACCAGGCTGTCCTGGGTTGCCTGTTGGGCCAGTTTCCCCAATGACACCAATATCACCAAAGGACCCTGGGACCCCTTTCAAGCCCACTGGCCCTGGAGGACCTGAATTTCCTTCAGTTCCCCTCTCTCCAGTGAAACCTTGCAAGAAGGAAGTCATGTATGAATTCATGAGGGATGACAGACATTGAAGGACATTTCTGCCCCAGGTACTGTTTTGTTTTTTATGTATGTCTAACCTGGTTGTCCAGTGTTACCACGTGGCCCAGGAGGACCTGCTCTACCAGAATCCCCAGGGTAGCCATATTTGCCGGCAGGCCCAGGTCTCCCTTCCTCCCCCTGCAGGCCAGCAGGTCCACCCTGACCCTTGAAACCAATCATACCAGGCATGCCAACCATTCCTAGGGGGTGAATAAGATGACAGGACTTTGATTCTTTATCTTTGGCTATTCTAAGATGAACACCACCAGTGGAAAAAGACGGAGTGGCAAACAGGTAAAATAAACACAACATTAGTTAGGGGCTGAAATGAAGATTCGACTTACCGTCATAGCCAGGCTCTCCCCGATTACCAGCCTCGCCTCTTTTTCCTTGTAGTCCAGGCGGCCCGGGGTCTCCAGGGGGTCCTGATGATGCTCCTATAACCTCCCCATGAACCCCTTTCTCACCCTGTGGTCCCTGTCTACCAGTTACACCAGGAAAACCAGAGGTTCCATCTGAGCCTTTCCTGCCAGGAAGTCCTGGATCTCCACGGGGGCCAGAAAAACCTTATTCAAAAACCATGGATGTCAAAAAAAGGGAGGAAAGATCTTGGTTAAAGACAATATTAACAAAAAATAAGGTGTTAAAAATATATAACTATCTTCCAGGACTTGTTTCCTTGTCATCCCTTACCTGGAGGTCCAGTAGAGCCACCTATGCCTTGCTCTCCTTTTTCTCCTTTCTCCCCCACAGGTCCAAATAAACCCTGTGGTCCTCTTAGGCCTGGAGCACCTGTTAAAAGGACCCCATGATACAATCATTTATCTAAAATCATTCATAGATTGTAGTCTGAAGGCAACATTCAGCACCACATCTTATTGTGTTACCTGGGGAACCTGGTAATCCAGCAAGTCCTGGAAGACCAGAAGGTCCAGGAGGTCCTGGAACAGGACTACAAGAACCTAAAAAGATTATTACAGAATCAGAGATTTAACAACACATCATGGTTTTACGTAAACATGGAAAATGTTTAAGCAGAAATGACAAATCAAGTGCAAGTGATTTTTGTCCGCTGCCCAGCGTGGATTGTTGTGAATGTACTTTTTTTTCTTCTTAACATTAGCTGGTAACTCACTTGTTCAACTATTTAATTATTTATTAAAAAATCATGCTGAAGGCGAAGCTCAAAAAGGTTGTTATAAAGGGGGAAATAGGGTGAAAACATTTTTATTCCCGCTACCTGTTACATCCACCTGTCCTCCATCTCCTCTTGGATTACAGCTGCCTTCAAGATGCGAATGAGAGGAAAACGAAAGAGAGAGGCATTCGAAACAAGGGTTATTCAGAAGCACAAGCATTAACTCAAACAAGCTCAGCTGTGGCTGGTTTGAGGGATGCAGCCTCTGCATCGAGGTGTCGACAAGAAGTGAAGAAAGAAAGTAAATATAACAGCAAATTATACTTCTTCATGCTTCCCGTTTGTTTTAAATGACGAGCCATTCATGTTTCATTCCCATTTCACTGCTTGTATTAAACCATGACAGAGAGTATTTACACAGAGGGGAAACTGGTCAATTTTCTGTTAAGAGATAAAGCATTGGAGGAAAAATTATGCAAAAACAATTTAAGATATAACAAAAGTAGATGAAGGAGCAGACAGCTGCTGCTTACCTGGGGCTCCAGGTGTTCCAGGGACACCTTGATATCCCGCAAGACCGTCATCACCAGGTAAACCACGCTGTCCTTTGACGCCGTTAAAGTCTGGACCTGGCTCACCTCTCAGACCAGCTGCGCCGGGTCGACCGGGCAGACCTGGGTTACCTTTGTCACCAGCTAGTCCACGGGGGGCTTCTCCCTGTGAACATCGGCCAGCAAAATCACCAAACTGTGGGCCACACTTGTCATTTTTCATGAGAGGAAATAAAACACCACCACATTTTCCAACAACATCCTAAAGGGGGTATAAACTACCAAAAACTGCCAAGATGGACACCTTGAGTGGAGTGCAGTATTAACGCTTCTCACCCCTAGGAGTACCAGAGCTCTGAGGGGTGTATTAAGACCTGACTGTCAGAACCCTTTCTTTCCTCTCTCAATATAAGTGTAAACTTTAGTGATTTATAGATAGTTTCCAAAATAAGCTTTTCAACGTGTTTCTTCTGTTGATTGTCTTCTTTAATAACTTATGGGGTGATCACTTATCCAGTCTGTCTCTTAACCAGCTAAAATCTCCTCACAGGAAACTTAAGTTCAATATGAAATTTTCACAATGGAGATAAGGTGTGGTGGACTCACTGAAGGACCTCTGCTCCCAGGGAAACCAGGTAATCCACTTCGTCCTGGAGCACCAGGTGATCCTGACAGACCCTCTCGCCCGATAGCCCCTTGGTCTCCAGGGGCCCCTGCAGCAATCACCAGTTTACAAGCTTAAGTCACAACTACACATTCACAAATACAGTATGCATTCAGAGAGCAGAAGCAATTATATGTGTTCAGGCCCACTCTGTCCCCCCAAAGATGGTGGTCTGATACAAGATGAAATGACAGGTACACCACACCTTTCTGTGCAGCCACACTCGGCTCTCCTTTGCGACCTTTCGGACCTGGAACACCACTGATACCAGGAAATCCCTGCAAGACAGCAAAGACACGTCTGAGGACACAAAGGTTTGAGAGTTTAGACGACAAAGATACTGAGACTTAATCTAACTCACTGAGACACCATCGTCTCCTTGAGGACCAGGATCTCCTACGTCTCCTTCTTGACCATACTCTCCAGTCATTCCATGATCACCAGTGTCCCCAGCAGGACCCTGTGGCCCCACTTTAGAGTGAACAATGCTGCATTCACACACCCCATGGTCACCTAAACAAAAGCACCATTGCAGGCACAGGTCAGTATCGTTGGTATGTTATTAAGTCCACCAATCACTTTTAGCCTACAGCACCTTTCATTCCTCTCAAGCCGGCATTGCCTGGTCTTCCTCTCCTTCCAGGGGCTCCCTTGAAAAATTCGGCCCCTACAGACACACAGAAACACAGGTACATACATAGAGATATATAAGACAATAAAGGTAAAGGACACACTGTTCACATTTTATAAAAATGCAGTCTCACTCATTCACACACTAACTTACATGATCCTTTTGGACCTGGTGGACCCCTTTCTCCTGGGCGCCCCTCGCTGCCAGGGGGTCCAGCACTGATAGCGGGAAACCCAGGGTCTCCTTGTTGGCCTTTATCTCCCTTCTCTCCCTTTATGCCAAACGGCCCGATGAAATCCAGCACTGACAGATACAGAGTGGATTTAAAAAGTCAGGTCTGCTAATTATGAATGAAGTGTGGACTGGTTTATTTTTGTCAGATGAGCTTCCTTATACAGACCTAGCTGCTGTGATGTAGAGGCTGAGCGTCCTGGGGGTCCGGGAAGGCCTTGGTCTCCAACTGGGCCTCTTTCTCCTTGAGGACCCTGCTCACCAGGAGGACCAGGAGCACCACCTAATCAAGTCAAAGCATTGTTAAAGACAGATATTATCATTTGAGTGAAAAGTTTCCAAGAATCTTGAATCAACACTGACACTCTGTCTCAATCTCCTTTTATGAGGTGAAGTTACTGAGGAAGATTCTACATAAAGGATTAAGGACAGTTTATATTTATATATATTTATATCTTTTGAATATATGACCATGATTGTGATTGTGCTTTCTTTTAAACTAGTAGGGAGTAATCACTTATTATCACTGCCTCTGACCTGCTCTGCTGTGTCATGCTGAATAAGAAATGCTCGACTGTCCCGAGTTTAATGTGTGTGTGAAACTACATTTCACTGACCGTCATCAGTTTCTATATTAGTTTTAAGCACCTGACCTCTGGCTCTGTGCTGAACTCTAGTGATGTTACAAATTACCCCAGAGTTTCACTTCATGTGCGTGACAACTAGACGTCATGTCATATTTTTTAGAGCAGAGAGTGTCATCTGCATGATCTTCCTCTTTTTATTAGATGGAGAAATGTTGTGTTTTTTCTAGTACTAGTTCACTTACCTCCAGAAGACCAAGGCCATAAGCCACCTGAAATCAGTTCTCCTGCATCTCCCCTGATTCCCTAAAAGAAAAGAAAAAACAGTTTCATTTCAGTTTTTCAGTATCAGGAGTTTCTAAATGTGATTTCAGGCTGGGTGTGAACACATAGTTTGAAATTGACTGTGACACACATCCTGTTTGTCATACCAAACCCTGTTTGTGTTTCCTTTCCTGTCACATTGGGTTCTGGCTAAATTCACACAAAGTTTCAATGGGATGTCAAACAGGGGGCTTATGATGTGGTGGTTAAAATGAGCAAAACAGTCTGTAGTCAGTGACATACTTAATCTGAGCTGTAGTGTCCGTACAGACTAAAACCAGTTTGAAAAATGACAGGTCAGCTGTAATCTGAGTCTGTAGCTCCCGTGTTGCTACTGGCTAACAACCAAAGAAGCAACTTTCCTGACAAAACAAATTATTTCTGACTTGTGATCAAAACCATCCTTCCTTAAATCCCTTTAGTAGATTAACAGGTGTTTAAATCAGCTTATTTCAAACTGATAGAGGTAACAAGGTGTGAAGATTATTGAAATACTAAAAGACATGTCCATGGGTGCGTAACAACTTTTGACTAGATTATTCTGGATGACTTGATATGTTCATGATTGCAGGAAATCTAGGATCTACCTCAGGGGCTTAGAAACAGCTATGAGGATTAAAAAGTGTTTGAATGGTTTCAGTTTGTGTAAATCTGAGCTAGTTTCAAAACCAAAGTGAGACAAATATTAAATTGAGCCATGAATGTACCATTATACTTTAATTCTGTCTCCTTATTTTCTTCCAAAATATTGTGTTAACTATAAAATATAAATATATATCCAGGAAATTTGCAAGAATGGCTTATTTTTTAACTGACCTTTGAATTTCAGTTACACAGTGGTAAAATATACATGCTTTAGGATCAGGGTTATGTATGTTCTCACCTTTTGGCCATCTCTGCCTTTTGGTCCCTGTTCACCATCAACTCCCTGAATGAGAAGCCAGCGGTAAATCATAGCTTAACACACAGTTTCTGGTTAAATCAAATTTTGTTATCTCTCATTTTCTACATGAACATACCCTTTCTCCAGGAATACCATCAATACCAGGTTGGCCCTTAAACAGGATCAAAAACAGAGCATTGTAAGGTTATAACACACAGCTGCTGGACTGTCTCTTGGTTAAAAGCGTAGAAACGAGCCCATGCTCACCCTTGGTCCTGGGAACCCCATCACACCAGTCTCTCCTTTGTTGTCAGCCTGTAATAAACCAACAAAGAACGAATGAGCTGATTCTGAGTTGTTCGTGTCATGCATGATTGAAAATGTGTAAAATCTGTTCAAATTGATGAGATACCAGATCTCCTTTTTGTCCTGGTAAGCCTTTCTCTCCAGTAGGTCCTGGGGGACCCTAAAATGACAAACAAAGAGGATATAAGAATGACTCAAAGAGCGTCTTCAACAATCTCATCTACTTTAAATTCTGGAGATATTTTCTGACGTAATAAAACAGGTTCATAAGTAAAGATGGACTCATCCTGATGTACAGACCGGGGGGCCATAGGGGGGCTGTGTATGAGGGTGAGTAGAGTTTCCTGGAAGCCCTGGTGGTCCGATGTCCCCCTGTGGTGTTAAATGGAAGTGCAACAACAGTCAGCGGAGTCAAATAGAAAAACAGATATTCATATTTTTGGCAGTCATTTATTACTTACTTGATCTCCTCTGAGTCCTTTAAGCACTTTGGTCATGGTGCCCTAAACAGGAGAGACAAAACACACTCAACACTGCTGCTATCATACATTTGTGTCAATATTTGATGAGACAAGATAAACCTTTGCAGTGTGGTAAAATGTGTTTTTTCTGTCTATCAAACACACAGTTGTTGCCTTACCTTTGGTCCACGGGGACCTGGAGGACCTGTGGGGCCCTACACAAAACCACAAACAGAATGTAAATGAGTGCCATAATAGATATAATATCATTTTGGAAAAATGATGCTCTAAACAAAAACTTTTTGCACAATCGTACAGATACACTTACCTTGGGTCCTTGGAGTCCTCTGTTACCCTGCCACCCTCGGTTTCCTTGAGGCCCCTGAGAAGATGAGAGAATAACAGTCAAGATTGACAGAGCAGGAAAGATACATAAAAGTAAGCCTCAGGTATGATTTGGTCTATGATCTGTTCATTATACAGGATTATGTGAAGGAAGAATAAAATGGTCATAGCAGCTGACAGAATTAAATCATTTTAACAATGAGTCTCACAGTTATCCCATAGGATCCTGGTGTCCCTGGATCTCCCTGTTGAAAGAAATACAAAAATCTCATAAGGTCGGTAACATGTAAATGTTGTTGTTTTAGCAATGTCAAGTATAAAGAAGAACTTTTTTAAGCCAGGACTTTTACACTCCTCTTCCTCACCCTGAAACGCTCCATGTACACACTCAGCTCCAGAGAGTCTCCCTTCTCTCCCTTCCTGCCTGGTTGTCCCTGAGAGATGGAAACAAGAAAAAAAGAGGAGATGGATGAGTGTGAAATGACAGCTAATGTGGTGTTTAATGGAAATCTGGTTACTCTTTAAAATCCAGGGAGGTTCATTGCTACACTTACCTGATAACCAGGTAAACCATTATAGCCAGGTTCCCCTGGAAACCCTCCATCACCAACTGTACCATTGCAGCCGTCAGCACCTGGCTTCCCTCTGGGGCCAGCTTGCCCTGGGTGTCCCTGCAGACAGAGTTTTATGAAATGACAACAGTTAGAAGAAGAGGCAGATCGATGCACAAAGTCATTTGTGTTTTATGGATGGAAAGACTTACAGGAATGCCATCGTTTCCAGAAAACCCAGGAACGCCAGTCATTCCCTGTTGAGCCACAACAATCACAGATTAAAAACAAGTAGACAAAAACAAGCTGGTTGAGAAGTTCGTCACTCAAACAACAGAAAAATACTTTACCACATTTCCTTTGGGACCTAAGGCGCCTCCACGGCCACGGTCACCCTTGTGCCCCTTTGGGCCTTGAATACCTGGATCACCTGTTCGCCCTGGAGGTCCCTGGGGACCCTGGGGACCAAGAGGCCCTGGGGCACCCTGAGATTAGATGGTAAATCAATTTTAAAAAGTAGTTCATTAGCTTCAGCTAAGTGATAAAATACACAAAATACACTGTTTTCTCAGAGTTTGGAGGCTCCTGAAGAAGAGTCAACAATCATTGAAATTCTATCAAATCATGATGTTATGCATGATGGGAGTTTGAAAATGATACCAAGCTTATCTTGATGGTATCTAGAGTAACAAACAAAACAACCCACTCTTTGAAAACAGAAGAATCAGAGGGGAAAAAGACAGAAGAAAGCAAGTATCACAACAATGCAATCATTTATGTCAGCCCAACAAACCTGATAATTAAAAACAATTAAAAACTTGTCCAGTTCTGCCTGTAATTTCTAACTGCTTCACAAGGGGGAGCCACACTCCTTTCTGACTAATTAGAATCATCCCAATAAGCTCTCTACACCCATCTAGTGGTGAAACACAGTACCTGCAACTGCCAATGCCGACCACAGCTAATGAGAATAAATAAACTATTACAGCCTGACTCTGAGCAAAAAACAAAGAGGAAACAGGATAGAACCAAATCCTGGACATTTATTTTCAGATGATCTAGCAGATACTCTGAGGATTTCTCAGAAATTGCTCAGTGTGTTCTTGTTTATTGTTCTAAAACCAGCCTGACAGAGATGAGATAACGAAGCACTCTGCTGTCTACTGTTGCCTTAATAAAACCAAGGACTCAAGGAGGCTAAATAAACTTTAAAGCCAGACTGAAGGACTTTTAATTGTCTCCTGTTTGAAACTTCAGATAGCTCAATTATCTGCGAGCTAAATATAACAATCTGATTGTTATACTTAGAGTAATGACAGAGAGAAGCCAGGCAAGCAGACAGGACAGAGGGAAAATCTAAACCTGGATGAAACATGGCAAAGGCATGTGTCTGTTCTCCAAGCATGTGCTGTTTTTAAATATGTCAGTTTTATCAAATTAATAATAATAGATGTGTGTTTTATCTGCAAAAAAATGTTGTCTCAAAAAAGCTGGATACAAGCAAAAACCAGAGCTGCTTAGCACAACAGAAAACAACCGGTTTGGTTTAAGTGGTGAAGACACAAACATGTCTCAAAGGGATGCAGCTGTGTTCACCCTCTGCACATACGAGAGTGATGAGATGCTGGCTAAAGAGACCAGCTCAAGGAAGGACAGCAGTAAAGAAAGTGGAAAATATGAGGTACAATACTTTATAAGGGTCAAAGAAGAGGGCAAAGACATCATGGGAATTGGTAAAGTATCCATGGTCTGGAAGGTCATGGGGTCAGTAAGTGATGACCTTTGAGGTTTTAGGGCCTGGCAGAGTTCCTGTGAGAACCAACAAACACAGAGATGTTGTTTGTCTCTGCATTGAAAAAATGCTCTTGGCCTTGTTGTTTCAAGTGTCTCGAAGGACTTTGTAAAACAGCAGAGAGTCTAAATAATGTCAAACAACAATTCAAACAAGCTCACAGACAAATCATGTGCAGAGAGGGTGAGATAAAGCCTCAGATGAACTCACATAAATGGTTGATACATGTGTCTGCATGTGTGTGTGTGTTTGTGTGTGTGTGGTAGTTGGAGCTTTGTCTACAGGAAGCTTTTTGGGACAGAACAAGTGTGTTTTGTCTCCTGCCTCATCTCAACCCTGCAGCTGCTGCCTATAGAGCTGACACCAGCCAACAACAGTGCTGTCAAAACAACTCCATGGATACTCGGTGGGTGTGTCATATAGTCTGTGCAGTGAAATCCCCTATTTATACGTAAAAACAGTCAGGAGACTGGATCAACCAGGTTCATAAGGTTCAATCCAGACTTTTTTTCCACAGTGGTGTCAACATCTCCATAATGTTGATTCTGAAGTACAAGAAAAACTGCTACCTCATGGGGAAAGACAGCAGGAGTTACAACACATATTGTACTATTAAAAACTATATCATCGATTCTTAAGGTCTGCATGAGGTCTTATAGAGACAGAGACAGGAGGCTGCGCAACTACGTTTGCTAAAAACTTTGTTGTTTAAAGAGAAACCTCCAGACAATGTCAAATCTTGAACTATGGTTGTTCAAAAGCGGAAAAAATATTTCAGGATTGGATGAAATTGCGTAACATGATCCGAGTTTTCAAACTTTCGAATAGGACAACAAAGACTTTGACCACAAAAAATAGGTAGATTTAAAATTTAAAACAAATTTAAAACGCCTCAAAAAACATTTTTATTATTACTTTGTCATTTCTAATATTTGTTATCAAGACCTTTTTTATCTGTTCGGTACTTGAATGCTCTATCACTACAGTTAGACACTAAAGTAGACAAACGGTTGTTGAAAAAATCAAGGACTTTGTCCCAATAAAGTAAGTCACAGAGTGACATCGGTCAAATATTTAATTTCACAGAACTGTAAGAAACCTGCAGTTTGTGTGGGTTTTGGAGACTCCTGTCTACAAAGTACATCATATAAAGTTGCACTCAAATGAGGTGATTAGGTAATACTTGTAAGTCTTTATCTGGATTAGACTGATTCTGTTCACTTCTTTGACAAAACAGGTTGTAAGAAAATTGTATGATGAAGTAAATAGATCCTGGAAGGACAAAAGATGGTGGATTTTCAAATCTGGGGTGTTTATGTCCAGATAAAATCAATCAACCTGCTCAACCAGGCCTCGATATTTAGCTGATTCTGGTGTTCAAAATGAGCTGATGTTTAGATTAACAGGTATCTCTGGGGGGCGCCATTGGCCTGGAAGTTTAAGTACACCAAGCCCTCTAGTGGTAAAAACAGAGTCCAACCTGAGGTCCCTTTATCAAATGTGGCTTCCCTCCCTCTCTCCCAGATTCCTGCTCTATCCACGGTCCTGTCCTCTCTGACTTATCAAATACAACCTCAAAAAAAACTTTGAAAATCATCACTGAAGACATGAATAACAGCATTTAAGAAGTGAAATTAGGTGTGTTTGTTCTTGATTTAAAAGAAAAAGAAAAAATACTCAAACTGAGCAGTTTGTCATCATCAAGACTGTGGATTAGATTAATTCTGCAGATTTTTTAACAATAAAATTTTAGGTTCAAAAGAAAAAAAGCCCTTCAGGAGTAGAGGACAAGATCAACTCTGCTGACACTAACTTCACTCATAATTTGGGTGATCTGATCGAGCTGACAGATTTTCTAAAGAAGGTGATTCTGTCAAAATAATCATTTCGCTATAATTCACAAAAAGGAGGATGTGTATCAACAACAGAGACATGGTATGATAGTTCAAAGGGTCGTTACTCTGCAATTAACTGTGTGTTTGTATGTGTATATGTGGGTATGTATGGGTGTGTATAAACATGCAAGAGCATGAGAGATCCTTGTCTTAAGCACGCCAAGCGCACTGGCCTGTGTCTTTCTGCATGAGTTTAAAATAAGGGCTGATAAATACCAGTCCTCCTTTATAGCTGATAACCCTGCGGTATTTCCAAGTGCATACTTGTGCATTTGTGTGTGTGTGTGTGTGTGTGTGTAAGCAATCTTGCAGGATTAAGCCAAAGACTTCTCACACTCACTCCTTTATATTTAAAAAACAACTGTAAACCAACATTTGACTGAAGCAAAGTGAGAGTTTTGATTAGTTACAGTTTAGTTAACAGGAAAATGTTGTGTGAGCGATGTACAATATCCTGAATAAATTCAGGAGCTAAATGTCTGGACATTGTCTGGAGTTGGTGCATGAAAATGGACTTTGTGTGTTACAAGAACGCCCCCTGCTGGGATCCTTGTAGTCTTTGTTCTTCTGGGTAAAAATGTTATTTTTGCATGTGTGGTATTTTGACTAAGACCTTCGAAGTTGACCTCAAACACCCTTGTGATGCTATTTATTTGTTTTAGAGTCATTTAAGCTCACCACATTGTTATGTTAGCAGATAACAACACCCAAGAGTTAACTAAATTACCACACTACAGGACAACCCTGATTATGAGATTACCTTCTGTTGTTTTTTTTCTTTTTTTTTTAAATCCAGAAAGCAATTATAATCAAGATAGCTATAAAACAGACACTTTGATTGACAGGATAATATTTTCATTATCTTAAAATGAAATTGTCCGGCTGCACTGGCCTCTGACTGAATGTTTAACGGGTCAGCCTCTGATCAGTCAGTGTGAATACCAAATTTACCATGGAAAGAGAGTGCACAGCTGCCACAAAGTTCTCTAGAGTACTGTAAAATGTTTCATATTAAGACCTATATAAGTATGAGTTCAGCCCTCAGATGTGTATTGGATTGTATTATGAGTTTATATGGGTTTTTAAATGTTTGATCAGTTCAAAGTAGGTCAGTCTTTTTTTCTGAGCTACACAATATTAGTTCTGAGGGGAAAAGAAACCTGCCAGAAACATAACCTGTTCTTTCTTTATATGTCAAGGAAAAGCTTTGGTTGTTGCCAAACACTGTCTGAATCACTTATGCCACAATTTCCTGATATTTCTTGGTGACAATGCAAATGAAAGTTTCATTCTTTACAAGGTTGTCACACTTTTTCCTTTAAAACTTGTAAAATTGAGTTCACACTTGGAGAGTGTTGGTCCTTGAGTGTTTAAGCTCTCCAACTAGCATGATTGATTATGTCAAGACTCGTTTCCTCTAGCAGATTTCTCTCCGGTCCCCCCACTCTTTAATTGCCAGTCCTCCACAGCTTCACTTCCTCTGCACCTCCATACTCCCCGCTCTTATCTGCACTCACAACTTCCACCCGACATACCCTCCCCTGCTCTCTGTATTCATAAGTGCTCTTATATCCCTCTGCAGCTTTTCTCGACCTCCCTTTTCTACAGGTATTCTTTCCCTTCCTGTTCGTGCTGGAAATGACAACATTTAAGTCGATAAATCAGAAGTGGAGAAAAAGCTACACTGGGTTTTTGAAACAGCAGGAGAAGTCTTCAGAGGTGGTACAGAAGTAATGGTAAACAACATGAGAGGTACTGGGGGCTTTCTTTGACAGTACAGCGTGAAACCCTGAACTAGTTTTAACCCTGAATTTAGAGGAAATCATCATGTCTTGGAACTCACTAAAGGACAAATCGAACTCTTTGACATGCATGTCTGGTTAGGTCTGCGTTCCTCCCTGTCTTTGAAGATTGGTCATGACTTGACCAGATTAAGAAGCTCAAGAGACACGCGCTGCCCTCAAGCTTTTTTTTTTATTTGTATCTGTCTGAGCTCCTTTATTTTTCTTCCTGTCACAGCCGCCTAACGTCATACCTTCAGCCTTCTGGTCTCGTGAGCTCCATAATGGGAGACATAGAGCCATCAATCAGCGGCCCAATCTACTAGAGCCACAGAGGGAGGAGGAGGAAATGAGGCAGGCCAGAGGTAGATCTCGGCTGACCCATAATCTCCAAAGGTTTGACCTCTGAATGGAGCGGAGTGACTGCAGCGTGGTAGACTGTCGAGTAAAGGCTTTTTCATTATCTGCATACAGTCAAAGATGAAAAGAGTAAATTTAACAGAGTGGTTTACAGACTGTAAAGCATTTGACATTCTCTATTCTTCTGCCTTAAGATGATAAAAACACCATCAATAACTGTTTCATCTTCACTCTCAGAGAATTTGACAACAACCTCTCTAAAGTGCAATAAATAACAGATATTTTGTTATTGTAGGTTACTTTTTTTAAACTTATTTTAGGCTGTAGTTGCCTGTTGTGGGAATAATCTATCACCTTTTGGGAATTTAAAATATTACTTTTAAAGCTCCTGTTGGAGTTTTTTGACATCTAAGAAAGAGACTGAAATTTATATTGAGGCTTTAGAGGCTTTGACCAGAGGGGGCGCCAAAGTTGATAAAATCTGAGCGGTCCTTAATAAGAACAGACTGGGGGAAAAAACCATAAAATAGTAATAAAACACCCACCCTCCTCACACTGCTGAGCCAACTGGTGTCTGCTTTTTATCCCATCACCTCTCACCTCATTTCACAGGCATAAACTACCACACACACACACAACACATAAACACACACACACACACACACTAGTTCAGTGAACTAAGTGAGGCTGAGGTGTCGGATGATGAGATGCTGCTCATGAGAAAAAAAAATTGAGACTTTTCTCGATAAGTCTGCCGTCATAATAAATCCTTAAAAGCAGAAATAAACACGAACATAGATCTCCCCTACTGATCAGATGTTTATCTTACCTACGGATTATCCCGTTCTTTTATTTATTATTTATCACAGACAGGGAGATGCTCGAGCGGTATCTTTTGCAGGTGCAGGAATGTGTGAGGAGAATTTTGGACAGTTTCTATGTAAAGCCTGCTATGTGAGAGGCCAAATGAGGAGAAAGATGGTAGAAGCTCCCAACATCTTAACTAAACAAGTCATTGAATATCTGGATGCTGTAGAGGGAGATCCAGGTGTGGGATTAGCTCCTTCTTCTATCACTCGCACTTGACAAGCACAGCAAACAGCTCCTCTGCTCTTTCCCTCCAACATATTGAAGCTTGTTGTTGGTGTGCTAAGGCTGTCATTGCATGTGCATAATTCATGTGTCACGGATAATTAACTTTTTATGCTAGCATCTGATATATTCCTTACAACAGTAACAGCAAGGGTGCAGATTTAGTTCAGTTATTAGAGCAGGTACTCCCATGTACAGTGGGTGCAGTTCTTGATACACTGATCATACCAACATGATGTGGTGCATGTGATGTTCCACTTTCTCTGCACAATTGTTGTCTCTGCCTTGAGCCATCCTATCAAAGTGAAGGCTCATTTTAAAAGCTATTTAACTACTTTAGATGTTCAAAAGAAGCTCAGTGTGTCTTTTCTTCATCCCTCTACCCCAAACCATTTCGCCTCACACCCAAACATGCCTACACCTAAAGTGTATGAGCTGTCCAAAGTTTAAGGAAATGTATTTCTCTGTAATATATTTTCACATTTACATTGTGACTATATTTCTTTCATAAAACACTGATGACATGTGTGTGTTTATTGAAGGTTCTCTGAGAAAACCCCTCCTCAAAATGCACTAACCCTAAACCCTCTAACCCTTCCTGTGTGTACGTGGGTGTGTTTGTATTTCTCATTCCTGAAACAAAAATCTATTAAAAGTCCCCCCCTGCCTGACACCATAAATTTCATCTGGACCCAGACTGTCCCCGGGGGTGGACGGTTTTGGGAACAACCCGCTAACAACAGGATGGGAACACACAGCCCAGTGCACAAACCTCTGACCCCGCAGAGGAATAAAATAAATCAATAAACAACTGGCCGGAAGTGCCCTCTGTTATTCTATCTGTCTGTCCTAAAAAAACTAGGACACTGGAGGACATTTTTTGATTTGTCTTTTAAATAAAAAATGAAAAGTCACTAATTTTGACATTAATTCAAAGATAAGGAGGTATGAGAAAAGATTACAGGAAGTAAAAATTAAAGCTTACAGACAAGCAAAATGAAGTTGGAACAACAAAGGTTAGTCTAATTTAATGATGTCGATATTTTAGAGTAATACCTTGAATGAATAAGCTTTAATTTATCAGTTTGTCTTAAAAGTTAAAGACAGACCTTGATGCTCCTGCAAAAGATACCTATATCCTTTAGACACATGTGCATTCAATTATGGCTTTCATAAAAACTTTTGCTGACATATTTACCCTGACTTTCAAAGACTGTTAGTACCTACAGTTTTGGAGGCCCAGAAACAACGTTTTAATCTAAACAGAGAGGGTTGAACTGGGGAAAGACAGCAGTGATATCATCAGTTTAGGACAGGTCACTGACAGAGACCTTCAGAGAAACATCTGCATACCAGAGTGAGTGCACTTACTTTGACTTAACACCTACTAATGTAAACTCTTCCTGGTGAGTCTGAGATTATAGTGAGGGTCTCTGTTACAGTTTGGGATGTCGAGCAAGTGTGTGTGCCCAAAACTAGTGGACACCTTATAAAGCTTTTAAGACTTAAAGGAAATTGCTGTCATACAGATGGGGGTGAAGTCGTATCTGAAAAAACTGGGTTACAACCATCTGGACTTTTTGCTGTTGTGCTTGTTTTATACATACGATAAATAAAAAAGAGGAATTGTATGGAAAGATCATATCCGGCTCTCATCCCCCTCTTCTGCAGATGTGGCCGATCACAGCATGAAATAAGTTTTGTAGGACATGGTGTCCCCAATTCCTGAGCCAAACAGTTTCACCCACAAACACTATGAGGTGTTTCAGGGGGTGTTACTTCTTTTTTCAGCAGCTTTTCAGCAGGTCTACTGCTGAAAGACTAAAGTAAGAGAAAATGGAAATAAAAAGAGAAAAGACAAGACTACAGGAAGTTTGAAAAGAAAGAGATCTCAAGGAAATGAAGAAGTATGGAAGAAAGAGAGGAGACCAAGAAAGGTTTGCCTTCTTCTTAGGCTCCCACATTCAGGCTCAGACACTCTGGTAGATTTGGTGCCCCTGCTCTGCGACCCAGCTCACATGTTTCCCTTGGATACATTTTCTTGGACTCATTTCCTGGAGATCTGTATCCTTTTTACATTATACCCTGGGGGGAAACAAGGCTCACCTCCCCTGGAGGGATAGAGAGGGGGATATCAGGGGTAAGAGGGGAGGCCTGAGGGAGACAAAGAGGTTCCTTAACTGGATACCCCTGAGGAGGACTCAGGCTGAATAAATAAACAGCTGTAGATGATGTTTAGATATCTATTAGTGTGTTTAGATCTCTTGGCTGAAGTCCACGAGGTCAGATTTCTGAATCTCCGGCTGGATGAAAATGTTGTATTTGACGATCAGAGCGGATATACAATGATGCTCTGAAGGTCACAGAAAAAGCTTCAAGGCCATATAGACTGAACTGGAGGTGTAACAGCCCAAAAGATGAAAAAAAAAGATAATTTTTTTTCTCAGGAAGTTTGAATGGAGATGAACTTTCGGCCAAATTTGTGAAAACATCATTTGCCTTGGTGCAAAAACAACCCCCTCTGAGTCGTCTGCTTAACAATTCTCACGTGCAAAGGGAAGAAGATGAAGTGGAGGGATACAACACATGACATTCACACTAACATCTGCTCTGTCTTGTCACTTGCTTTGTTTTTCATGGAGGTCTGCTGCTCTCCTTTGTTTGAAATTTCAGGAACAGAGCGGCTGGGCCAACTTGAGACAAGTTTATGTTAGAATTAATGTGTTTAGACTCTTAGCTAATTTTTCTGCATGCATGTTTGTCTTTTTTCACCGAACACGTGCTCACACATGTGCCAGGGACCTGACAGCATCCAGACCAAAGAAAGGGCTAATGACCTGTGGTGTGTATTTGAGAGGAGAAGAAGAGAGAGAGAGAGGGGCTGGATGTGTTGAGAGTGTGTGTTGAAGATTAAGACTGGAGGTGGGATCCCAGGCTGGGAGCAGAACAGCTTGGACCTCTGGCTATCCCAGGGGTCTGCAGGGCCTGACACCTGTGCTATTGCCTCACGTTCGTGGAATGAGACATCCCAAGTCTGGGTTCTCAGCACACATGTGTCTAAACAAGACACAGCTGCAGCCTGCCTGCATGTATGCATGTGTATATGTGACAAGTGAAATGTCTAAAATGAGGTGTTGCCCTCACCTCTGAGACCGACCACCTGTGTGTCTGTATCGTGTGACCATTCCTGTCTGAGAGTATGTCTGCATGTAATGACGCCCATCATGGGTGTTGCCTTTATAATCCTACAGTTACATGCATCGCTGAGATTATAATGTAATTACAGCTTCCTTACAGTAGATCGTCTGACACGCACAGATCTCTCTTTGTAAAAGTTCACAAAGGAAAGGAAAAGTCAGTTTCACTCAAATATATGTGCGTTTAATTATATTTGAGTATACATATCTGAAAGGTCAAGGGAGCTGTGAAAAAGTGTGAGAAAGTTGTGGTATATGGGTAACACCAGGCAATCATATACAACATCTGGGAATCATGAACATCTGTATGGAGCGATCAACCCACATATTGAACCCCTCCATTTGCATGGCTAGACATTATCTGTAGATCCTTCCATAATAAATAAACTTGGTTGCTGCAGCCATAAACAGTGTTGTGCTGTGAATTCACAGTTTTCACAACATCATTAAAAGTGATTACTCATGGGGGAATAAGGCAGTGAACAACAATGGGAAAATCCGAGTCTGGAGAAGGAGGTTTGGATACAAATTCCCAGCTGTGATCTTGGCTCTGACTGACATGGATTCCAGCCAGTCACATTAGTTTAGGGGATACCTATGTAATCCTCAAGGCCTCATTCTGTACCCATCATTCTCATTCAGCTATCCCAGCCCGAAGACCAATTTTGCCAGTCTGGAAAAGTTTTTCATTCCCCACATGGGGATGCAACACCCACTGCGACTCCAGCTGCAGAGCACATGCCTTTACATTTTGCAAGGGAGCAAATCAGGGCAGAGGTCTGTGCATGTATGGATGTGATTTACCGACTGAATCAGTGTCTTCTGGGGTGAAAATCGCATCGAATTATTATTCCAGTGAGAGAGAGATAGAGGGCACTCTTTCACTTTGACCCTGTACAAGCCAAAATGACTAAACATCTCACCAGATTACAAAATAACCGGTTGCTTTAGAAATATTGCACCACTGCAAAGACTGTGAATCCTCATTCCCAGGAAAAAAAGTCTGCACTGACGACATGAATTTCTCAGAAAAGTGGAATTAACGTGCGTGGACTTGGAGAAAACCTAATTGTTTCCTCTGTAGCCGGCCCCCAATGTACATTTCACAACAGGGCCTGATGGAGAACACATGGTGTTGCTGTGGTGACCCACAACACTGGTCACATTTTTCCTACAACCCTGAGGACCCCTTCATCGACCATAACGTTTCCTGACTGATGTCTGCAAATTTTGAATGAATACACTCTTGGATGTACAGTGAAATGATTTCAGATTTAAACGTTTGATCGAATTGGAAAACATGATGTGTGTCCATGACGGTTTTTTAAAAAAGAGGCAAGGGGGATTTATTGATTCATGAGGAAAAGGGGTGAGGCCTTGAAAAGATCATAAAATCCATCATTTCTTATTATTCAGCGTAGCCTCAGAGTCCCATGGTGTAACAACCACCTAAAGCCTAAACATGACAAAGGATATCCTTGGTTACACTCCCGTCATGTGCTTCAACTGATGATAACACAGTGAAGCTAGAGATACTGACACAAGGTCGGTATCTTCTGCCTACATACCTGCAAGGTCGCAAAAATATCTAATGACTCTACTTTTGAAATCTGTGTCTCACACACGGCCTAAAAGGTGTTTCTTTTGTCTTCCCACCCATGCACTCTCCCACTCAAAGACAAATCCTACAAAGCCTGTAGTCAGGGTATTGCTTTTTAACAAGAATAAAGCTATCAGTATCAACATTTACTGTCTTTTTGAAACTCCTGTAACATTGTCTGATGCTGCTGGTGAGCAATTTGACTCTACTCCACTAGTGAGAAGCTAACACCAGCCCTGACCTTATAGGCAAAATACAACACCCCGTGTAACTTGGCCTCACCTTTAACCCCACAAATCAAGTTAGATAATTCAATAAAGAAATGTTGTTTCAAAATGCAACAGTAAGCCAATAAGCTGGTCATGCTTATGTTTGCAAGTGGCGTTACAAAAACATTGTTTTTTTAGAAATGACACATTGAAAGACTTGAATATATCAGAAAGTTAGTATGCTAACATAAAATGGCCCATTATAGTAGCTATGGCAGAATGAGTGCTGTCTGACTATGAGGGTTCAACAGACCATCAATAATCTATAACAGGAGTACTTTGTTACTTTCACATCTTAAGTTGAAGTGTACCAATCGTGTCTGTCCCTCCAGGTTTGTCTGATACATGTGTGTGACAGTGTGTTTTGAAAAGAGACTTTGTAACTCTGTTACAATAGTCCTCTTGTTCGCAGCCGGCACCCGACGTCTTAAAATGTGAGAGTGATCCGCGTTTATTGGCTCTTAAAGCTGGACCACAGCTGGGTGCAGCAGTGCGGGTCAAACTAGGCATGGACAATACAGATGAATTTCTTTTGACTGTAGATGTAGACAAGGATGTCATCGGGAAAGTATGTGATCTTGTGGTGCAAGTATTAGAGTGTTGCAGTTTACTTATCATTTTGTTAGTTGTCCTTTAACGTCCAGCTATTAGTAGTGTATAAAGTTGATACACATTATGAGAAATTGTGTGATAGAAGAATATGCTGTAAAAGAATTACAGCAAACCACTGTAATATCTCTGTTTTTACAGTACTGTTGGTTGTGTTAGCATCCGTCAGGACATTGCTCTTAGCTCATCTATGGGGGGTTGTGCAGGAGATCAAATGGCCTTACCACAAGAGAGGGGAGTCTGACATAATCATAACTAACCAAACAGATGATATAATCTTTCTATAAAAGACTGTTCAAAAGAGGTTTCTTATGTCAAAGTACTGAAAAGGACAGAGGTTTTCTTTGAAGCCCTAAATTTCCCTGAATTTCCCCCAGGAACCCATCTGGTTGGCACGGTAATATTTGGAGAGTATGTTTTTTCAGCTCAGTATTCAACAGCTCACTCAGTGTAATCTGATAAGATGAGCATATTGTGCGGACTATGGGTTGTGTCATTTTTTGATCTGTTATGAAAATGAGGAAAGTTGGTAAACACCGGCGGCATTCAGCACGACTGGACACTCTAGTTGGGATCTGCTAGTTTCCTCTGAATCAGAAATGTTCTGAAATAATGCTGTAACCAAGTCCATCTCAAAGCCTCACAGCTTTTACATTTGTACCACCAGGTGACTTGAGATCTGTCCTGCTCTCCAGTTAGCCCAGAAGTTTCTTTTTTTTCTCCTTCAGCCCATTGAGCTTCACTCTTCCTCTAGTGAAACCGGATCATGGGGGTGTCCACTTACCCTGCCATCTTTACCTTATTTATTTATTTAAAAAAAAAAAAAAACTTTTATCAGTCTTAATTTGTAGATTTGGATCCAATATCCACGTGCTTCAAAATCCAGGAGGAGTGTAGGAAAAACTAACACAGCCCATGAAGAATGTGAGAGGTGAGAGGATTTTACAGGCTAGTAAACTGTTTTGTTTCTTCTGGGCAGGACTTCAATGCCTCAATGATTTTAAACAGTTTCACACCCTGGCTGACATATCTTTAAAACCCAAGGCCCGCAACACCAGCGATTAATGCAATTTTCTATTTAGTCTGTAATGGTAGATTACAGACTAAAACAGCTGGCTACTGTCTGTTTGTCTTCGCGTCTCCTCAGACTTCTCCTACTGCTCCCCAGCTTTCATTTTCACACAAGGACAAAGCCAGCCGGAGATCCCCGCTGAATTCTCCATTCCAACAATCTTAAGAGGAGAAAATCCTCCTGTCCAAGAGTTTAAGTGATAGCAGCAGGTTTGAGCTTCCATCTACTCCTTTCCACTCCTACACATGCAATCACTCTGCCACAGTTGCTGGTTGGTTTCTAACAGGCACGAGGTCATGGTCAGGGAAGAGGGGCTACAGGACTGGAGCTTACACTGATTGCAGGTTTGGTTTAAATAATGTAAACTGCCATTACATATCATGTCGAATCCACAACAGGCTTCTTTCATTGCCTGTAAATCAGTGTAATGACTTGCCTACTAGAATTATTTTCTATTAGAAGAGACGAACCATGTTTGATCAAAGTCAGCAAACCTGATAGAGATGAAGGTCGAATCAGAGGAGCCCAGTCTGATTTAAGTCCAAGGGTTGCACAGAGTTCATTTTTGGTCAAGCAAAAACACATATTAGGACATATTTGGAGGGTTTGCAATGTCTGCTTTTTATCCAGACTGATACTGTCAGGTGAAAAATATTCTTCAGATGCAAAAGAGATTTTTTTGTGCTTCACCATGAATGTCATGCATTTCTGAGTTTTATGATTTGCTTTGAAAAGGTTTTATGCGCCATTGTGTCGTAAAAGTCCGACGGTAACGCTCCTCAAAACAAAGACAGACCCTGCAAACCACCCGAACCCTCCATCCTCCGGTAGAAATGTATTTATAGAGCTCTTTGATCTTTCTGATTCTGATAGCATTCCTCTCTGTGACGGCATCCGGTCCCTGAGCAGACGGGGAAGTCCATGACAGTCTTGGGCGCTGGATTGAGGGTATAGGTGCAGACTTGTTTTCATGGAACAAGGAAATCTTTGCCGTTTATAGCTGCAGCAGAACACACTGACGATCTTGTTCCCACAAAAACAGAGACTGTCTGCATTAAAAAAAGATCAGTGGACTGTCATTGTGCTCAGCTTCCTGAGACGTGTGTCATTTCCTGTCCTGCATCAGCTGTGGCGGCTTTTCCCATGATTGGGGGGGGCAGCATCATTGTACATGGATGATGTCTATGATGGTTATCCTTCAATGTCCCTCTCCTTGTGGGATGAGGGAGGTTAAGTTTCTTTCAACCAAAGTTTATTTTTCTCAATAAAACCTGGAGCCACTCCCTGATTCTGAGAACTGAAACTGAATAAAAAAACTTGGCACAAAAGACAGCATTCATCTGCTAAACATGTTTTCTTGTGAAGAAACGAGGAGTCCTGTGTTCACTTTCTCATGCTGCTCTTGTTTTCATACTAAACCACAACCTGCCTTGTTTTACAACACCACCTACCCTGCAGGACCTCAGATTCTCGTCCTTTGAACCAACCACATTCAATTTTTTTTTGTAGTTGGGATGCCAACTCTACTCCAAATCTCCAAAACAACCTTAAACGCTTTATGTGAGTCAATTTGTTTTCTTGTTTTATCATTTTCTGATGTTTTGTTACAAATCTCAGGAGAACAATCCACCACTAATGGAAAAGAACAATAAAGACTTTCTGAGGTGTGTTGAGGAGAGTTGGATATTCTTCTGCACGCCTGTAATGTGTTTACTGCCAGAGGAGTGGGCGGTAAAGAGTCAGCCTGCCAAATCTCTGCTCCCCATTACATTAATGTGAGAAGTCCCAACAATCAGTTTCATTCTTCTTCTCCTCTCTCTCATTCTTCTTCATCTCACATCCCTCCTCTTTCACACACATCACATTCTCACTCTGTCTGTCGTTCTTAATTTTGGGAGATAATGAGGGATTTGAATTCCAACATTCATTCATGAGGCACCTGATGTGACCCCCTCGCCACGGCAACATGGTTCATACAGCTGTTCTCACACTTTACCATACCTTATTCTTAAACTGAGTGATGAATGAATTAAAACATGTATGGCAAATAAATAGTATTCAACACTCAATTAAATTACAACAAAGTCAAGATCGCCTATAAGACTCATATCCTCCGTGGACACAAGTGCAAATTTTCTGGTAAGCGACTCAGCGGCTACTCAAATTTTGACTGAATTTTGCTATACTTTTCACTGTTAGCAGGTAATCAAAGCTTCAAGTGTGGCAACAAGTTATAAACTCCTGTTTCTAGATGAAACGGCTGGTACAAGTTCAAAATGGCTGCTGCCCATTAGGATTGGGCGATATGGGCTAAAAAATGTATCACAAGAAGATTTGCCATTCTGGCGATAACGATAAAAGTCACGACTAAAAAATTTTTATAACTCAAATCTATGTTTTTGACTCAATTTGTCTTGAGAACACCAGTTGAAATAGTCAAATAAGATACTTAACCACAAGTTTAAGTGGTAGATTATGGGGAAAAGTAATGACATCAAACAAGTCTCAACATTTTCAACATTTGTTGAAAACTCTTATTGCGCAGAGTGAACAGCAGCAGATCCACTGTCCGATGTCAGGCATACCTGTTTGCGCTCATCCAAGCCCCAATCTTGAAGGAAATCCCTCATGTGAAGCCTCGTTCAGTAACAAACTGCTCAGAAACGTCTTCTTTATTACCTTTATCCATGTTTGTTTGTTATTCTGCTCTGTGTGGGCTATGGCTGTGAATCAGCCGCATCCGCTTACATCATCAATATACACTTACCATATTTATCATGGAGGATTTTTCTGACGATATATCGCGAACAATAATTTCTCTCCCATCCCTATTGCTCATGAGTGTGTACGACCCCTCATCCCGCCAACACTTTGGATACAGCAAATAATGAAGACCAAAGTAAGTACTAATGCCTCCTACTAAAGAAAGGTCATTGACAAAAACTCTTAAAACATGTATTAATAGAGTCCTTAAGCCACTCCGGGGCAGTTAAACAAGTTAGAACCACAGATCGTTTTTTAAGAGGCACTAGTTTCATTTTTTACACCACCTTTTAAAGTGTTATTTTTGGCATTTTTGTTTGCTTTCCACTGACTTTATACATGTGAAGACGCAGAGGGACCTTATCAAGAGTTTAGTTCAGGTAACCCTGTGATTTAAGTTTGAACCCTGACTACCATTTCATTTGTGACTTAGTCTGGATCAGATCCTAAGAGAAATATCTGGTTCATGTGAAGCTAAACGATCTTTTGTACCCTGGCTGTCACCTCTTTCTTCTCTTTGATGTTAAGAGAGTTTTTGTGGCAATGACTTCTCACTGAGACTGAAAATTTTGCCAAAACCGGATATTGTACTTGCAGCTTTTTTTATGGATTGTCTGAGAATGTATGAAAGAAATTAAGTTGGGTCAACCACTCCACGAAAAATAAGATGTGGCGCGTACAGCAGCCACGACTAAACCTTCACACTTAGTCCCACATTTTTCCTAAACAAGCATCACCTAATCTCTGCAGCTGTGTCAAGTCTCCGCCAATCCAGACAGCTGCGTGGGATCAGTTCGACTCATTCAGTGAGGCGCTCATCACCATGAGGGAGAAGGGAGCTCGAGGGATGAACACATCTGTGAGAATCAATCTCCCTTTCCATTGTGTTCACAAACAAGTTGGGTAATTGGTGGAGGGGGAATATGTGCTGGATCATAAAAGGTGTAAAACGTAAGGATTAGATTGTTAACAAGATAAATATGCTGCAGTGAGTCAGGATCAACAAGTGACAGACAAATACTAGGAAAACTTTTAATCCCTGACTTTTTAGAAAGCACATGCTGAACTTCCAGTAAAAAAATAGTTTAACCAGAGCTTCCCACGAACTTTTTTCACAAGAAGCACATGTGCCGATAAATTGAAAAAGTAAGGCGCACACAAAGAACTTTAGGGGCACAATAAAAATGTATCAAATAATATGTGTCTCATTGGTCGACGCAAGTACTATTATTTGAAATCAATTTGAGGTCAATTAGTCAAATGTAATGGAATCTATTGAAGAAAATTTTGCCTTTAAATTTAACACAAACATTTTTCAGAGGACAAATTAGGGAAATAAAGAGTGTGTCTTATTGTCCGATCATAGTATTTTTATTTGAAATCCATTTTGAGTCAATTGGTCACGTGACATGGAAGCTATTGAAGGAGAACAGCCTTTATTTAGAACATCAACCAGTAGTTTATTGATGGTCCCTTATTCAACATTCAATGTTAACAGTGAGGGTGCCAAATAGATTTAACTGTACTGCTTTTACTATTCCCGGTTATGGAGGGTGAGAAGACACCTAACTAACTTCACTAACTAACTTTTGTATTTACATGAAAGAACATTAATGCCTCGGCTGATTTTTTTGTGCGCACATGTGCTCCTCAATACATTTTACAATTCACACGCATCTATTTTTAGTCACAAATGGTCGCACTGTCGAGCCCTGTTAACGGTGAAACCCTGCTTGGGAAAACTGTTTTTATAGTAAATACTGAACACATCAGAAATAAAAAGGATGTAGGACCTGTAACCTGAGTGTGCTTTTACTTTTGATTTGTCTTGTTTTCACAGACATACTCCTATCACTGAGCAGTTGGGAAAGTTCATCTCTAACTCACTCACTTTGTCAGTAAATGACCAAAAAGCCGGCAAAAGAAAGATGCAGAGAAAACAGTTAAAGGGGGGTTTAACTACCGACCCTCTGATCAGCCTCTTGCATCCGTCAAATGTGGAATGTGGAACTTCCTCTCTCTGTCTCTCTTAACGCCTCCTAACCGGGTTTCCTGCATCCACACAAAGCGTGCAGGTCAAAGGTCAGACCTACTGTAATGTCGGTGTGGTAAATCCATGCCAAAGTCCAGCTGCTAGACTTTCCTGTCCATTCCTTTCCTCACCTCTGTATTTCTTCAGAATGGCTCCCTCAGGAGCTGCTCTAACTGTAGGATGGGGAAACTTTTAAGAGTCAATTTCAGTCCTTGAGTTTACCACATCACACCACTGAACAGACACATTTATGGTTCCTGTGAGCGCTCTTTACAAGATAAGAGAAACAAAGGAAATAGCCCTGTTCATGCTCTAGATGGATGTCTTAAACGCAAAAAAAAGAAGACCTTTATTTCTCTTTGTTAGAACATTAACTGGATTTTTTTATACCATCTTGAACTATGATTGTATTTTATTAGCTAGTTTCTAGAATAACAGTGAGAACCATGAAGTGTCATTTATGTAGCATTTAAAGGTACATTAAAACATTTCCTTGGTTCGATCAAAGAGTGGCCGAAAGCAAAGCAAATCTATGCTGCTTATTTAAAAACCAGTCTCAGCTAAAATTACCCATAAACCCTTTTCTTATATCGGTATTTAAAATGCATTGAAGGCTTATAAATCTGTTAACTGTTTTAGATGAAACCTTGCATGACTGTTGGGCCACTTTAAAAAAAAACAAATGTTGTTTCCTATGTGATACAGTCTGGAACAAAACTCGACACATGGAAAACCCCCAAGTCTAGCAGCAACTATCTGATGATCATAGCAGCACGTGTGTGAAGCATAAAGCAGCTCATGCAAAGCCCCGGTCACTCACCCTAAGCTCTTTATCTCAAACATGTTTAGTCTCTGTCTGTCTCTTGATTTCACGCCCATTTGTCTCTCCGTCTTTTTCCAGTCTTTCATTTCTCTCCTAATGGGTCTCCCACTCCCCTGAACGCTCTTTCCTTTCTGACCTCTTCTTTGACAGAGGTTAATGGTGTGAATTTCATCACTGAAACTGTAAGTGTGATAAGTATTTCAAGCTAATGAGTTCCAGCTGTACAGTCTTCCATATGGCTGGATATTCATGTCAGACTCAGGCATTTGTGCAACCATAACTCTTTTACATTGCATTGTTGTGATATTGAAACTCCAACACAAGACCATGATCACTTAAGATGCTGCAGTAAACTTGGTTTCAAGACCAACAAGAACAACAACAATGAGTTTACCCTTCTCAAATTTTCAGACTTTTCAGACTTTTTCTTAAATATGGTGGTAAATTAAAGGGATATTCTGGCATAAAATTATGTTTGGGTCAAACACACTGTAACACTGAGTTAGAAACCCCCTTTAAAGATGAATGTTGCTGACCACTTGCTTCTCTAGTTATACCAACTTTGGTAATGACCGCAAGATAGCAATACACAGCGGTCTATGGATCCACACACAAACCTCAACCAAAATGCCACTCTATAGCCACAAATAATGCTCAGAACAGCACCTAACTTCATCAACAGTACATATAGAATCCCAGCCACAGCACTAGCCACCAAACATCTTTTTAGCTTGCCTAATTTCTTTAGCAGAGAAACTAAATACAACTCACCTACTCTCTTCCAGCAGCCGCTTGTTTGTACAGAGACCTCGGACTAGTCCATTACAGACTACAGCGGGGTGACACAGCTCAAGGAAGAACATTTATGATCATTACTTTATCATTTCCTTGAAGTAATAATCATGATAATCATCATATTGATCATGTGGCATTGCAGACACGGTAGTTCTCCTGCCTTAGCGTCTCGGTCTGATTGCATTTCCATTAAGAAATGATCATAAATGTTCTTCCTTGAGCTGCGTCATCCCGCCGTAGTCCGTAATGGACTGGCCTGAGTTCTCGCTACAGACCAGTCCCACTTGCTTCTCTTCTAAATAGAGAAGCAAGTGGTCGGCAACATTCATCTTTCGAGGGGTGTCTAACTCGGTGTTACAGTGTGTTTGACCCTAAATTAATTTGATGACGGAATATCCTTTCAAGTTTTTAGCAAGTACTTAATTTACAAAGATTAAAATAAACACGAGAGTGATTATTTTCTAATATTTGGTGCACATTCAGTTTTATATCAGGGGTGCGTGGGATTGGCCAGTTTTATATTTGAACATATTCATCACGACCAGTTGGCGACAGAATTATCAGCAATTTTAACAAATCATTCAGATTTTTATCCATGTCTGTAATTGCTTTTTTAAATATGGAATGAGAAAAGTTGAACTTTAAAAAGTGTTACAGAGACACTATTTTGGGAAAGTATGCATTCCCAGCAGCCAAGCTTCTTAATTTGAAGGGCCATTTCAAAACATCTTTATGTGATCACGGCCTTATTTGGTGTTCCAGACTGCAATCCAAGAGGAAAAGTAATCTGACATAAAGGTTAAGACAGGGAGAGAGATGGAGAGTTTATGAGGTTTATGGACAGTACTGACAAAAGTGGGACAGAGCAGGACTTACCCTGGCTCCCTTCTCTGGGAAACATTTACATCCTCCGCTGCAGTCTCTTCCTCCACATGGGCCGCTGTGCTTCTTCCCACCCTGTCAGACACAAAACAGACAGCATGAATGTCAGCCCACGGCTGTTGGAGGTCAGGGCATCGATGTCAAAGTTACAGCAAACAGCAACATTTTAGGCTTTTTCTTCACATGCATAAACACAGCAGAGGAATTTGTCCATGACGTTGCATTTGTTCCTTTTTTGTGCTGCAGATGTGACACAGTTTGGGGTAAATAGTTGTGTATTGGAGGTGTGACTAGCTGTGTTTGTGTACACTGCGGTTTGTGAATCCATTTGTTGTTTGTGTGTGCAGATCTGTTGCATGAGTGTGGAAGATTGTTGCAGTGTTGTCTGCACTCTTGTGTACATCTGTCTGCTTCACAGAAAGGATGTTTGAATGTGGCTCATATGACTCATGATCCAGACATAAAGGAGAGCCATGAGAAAATGGAAACCCTGTTCAGCAGAGGGGCTGGGTCCTCACTGTGATGGGGGACAATTTGTCTTTGAATGTCTGCATTCCGACAAAACCACCCACCATCACGGGCCAGAGTGTGCTAAACGTGACACAAGCACACACGCTCACAGAGCAAGTCAGTGTGGATATGACATGCTCAAAGAAAGCTGTGAAAAAATAGGGGTTTCCCAGCTCACGGGTCAGGGGTGACATGAACCCTACAGTAGCTGAGAAAGCGGGTGATATTATAAAAAGAAAAGGAGGCTTAAGAGACTTTGTGTTTCTGAGCAACAAAGAATCCAAATTTAGCATTTCGCCTTTGGGTTCTTGTGGCACAGAGAGGAAAAGGGGCCTTTGAACTTACTGAAAGTCTCAGACATTAAATTTTAACACTGTTTTGACTCTATGGTCTTCGTCAGTCAATAATTTTTGTGAGGGATTATGACCACACCCATATTTAAAGGTTGGCATACCAGGGAGCTGACAAGCATAAGAAGGCAGGTATAGTCAAAGATGCAAAACATCAATAAAAACATTGTTGTAATGAAACAAATTATTTCACACAAAAAAATGTAACAAAATAAGAATTTTCCTATATGCATAAAAGAGTTTCAAGGTGTTAACAAAACTGCAGACACAACACAGCCTACTTTTCACATCAAGAGACTAACTCTCTTGGTTTGCTGTTTGTAGCTAACAGTGGCAGAGCGAGCACCCCCAGTTTCTGGTCTACATAATTGTGCATTTACATGTCAGTTTAACCAGAAAAAGCCTAAATACAAGCCATAAACCAGCTAGATGAAGATGGCTACAACATAACATGTAACCTGCAGGAGGACTTCTCAACTGTGCTTAGTGTTGACGGGTTTGGAAAGTTGTCTCACAGCACTTCTTCTGCCTTTGGTTGTGACTGTTAAGTCTGTTTTTCTCTACACTTGCTTTCATTTAAGGAGAATTTGCAAAGAAAATGTGAAAACAGTTAAAGGGAAACTGAATCAACCATGCAAGAAAAATGCCAGAAGAGTAACAGTAGTTTGTACAAGAGCTGCATGTGAATGGATCCAGTTTCAAGGCTTCATCTGCACTCACAGGGCTGATGTTTTATATAGTAAAGGCTGAGCTTTGAAACAATGAACTGCATTAGGTCTGACTAAAAAACAGAGTAGGTGGCCTCAGGCTCTTAACCTCTCATTGATTCAGATGCTCTTTGAATAGATCTGTGCATTAATCAGTCACTGTTTGTAATTTTCATGCATCTTCAATACTGGAAACATAGTTTTCTTGCATGAATAAAAGTAAAAACTCTGAACTTCAAGTCTAAAAGTTAAAGAACCAAAGTGAAAAAGTCATCTTTCAGTTTGAATGTATGAGAGAAACTTGACTTTAAAAATGCAGAGTGGCAGAGTCGCCAGCTCTGACGTCTTTGTCTCACTCTTGTGTGCTCACCTACGTCTTCCACCTACGCAGCCATACCATAGTCTGCTAAGGCAGCAAATGCCTCCATACCCTCCTCCCTTCTTCCATGTAAAAAACGATGGAAAAAGAAGGAGCACTTTATGCTTGGAGAGCGGACAAAACAGCAGATTAAGACTCAGAATAATTCTCCTTCCCCATTTTGACAGCAGATCCCAGCAGCCTCTCTCACAAAGGCCACATTGAGACCCGCGTTACACACAAAGACGTCTTTGACTTTGTGGACAACGTCCTTTAATGATCCCCTATCTCCACAACAAAAAAGACCCTCTTCCCCTCCCATATGGAATGCAAGAGGCTGCATTTTTGCTTAACTATTTGAATCTAAAGGGCGCCTTACAAACCCCTGTTTGATGCAGTTAAACATGCTGTGGGTTTAATTTAGCCAGCTTGCCCACTCCGTCAAAACACAGAATTATCAAATTGTTTCTTTTAATCCTAATGGAGGAATTAAAAGAAGGTAATCCCTTTAATAGACCTCTGCAAAGTGATCACCTTTAAAAAGTATTAAGGAGACAGAAACAGGAGACATCCCGATTAGGATGTTAGAGCTTGACCTTACTTCACACCAAGGTGGAAGTCCAAAAAGACAGACAATAGCGTGCGTCACCTCTGACAGACACACAAAGGAACATCTTCTATAAAGGAGATTACACATGATGAAGCTATGCAATAATTCCACTTTACAGTTTACAGGCTTAGAATAGTTAATGACCGTTTCAGCTGAGGACAATAGGACTGTGCTGCAGTATCCTGTTTATTAGTCCACCCACCGTCACTATGACCCAATCTCAGTCAAAATTGCTTTTTCCATTGATACAGTAAAGTACACAGGGGAAAAAATGTGGTTTCGTTTGTTTTATAAGTTTAGTACAAGCTTCTTTGATGAAACAATCAGAGAGAAAATTATGGTTTTAGTAAAATTCACAAAATGAAAATCTAAACTTTTTCTGTAACTTTACCTCCAAAGAAATCCACAAGAAATTACAGAACTTTTTTCTAGTCCAAGACTGTTTTTACAGTCAGAAATTGCAAAACCATACAGTCCTACACCACAACAGAGAGAGAGATTAATCAAGACCACCTAAATACCTCTACGTGGGGTCCTGCTCTTACCAAATTTATGACAATTGTCAAGTTATAGTGAAGGAAGACCTGCTCCCAGTCTCAACACGCTAGACTGAATGTTAAACCAGACTCAACATTTCTCCTGAGAGCCACAGAAACACTCCAAGGCAGAGATACATCGCGAACTGTCTGGTACATTCCCACCAAAAAGGATATAATGAGCTGATGGTTTTCTGTATAGTCTCAATTTGTTTTTAGGAAGGTTTCCAGGCTATACATTTTAAAACGTGTTTAACAACATGTAATGAATCAGTGATCATAAACACATCACTTCCTCTGGCAGTATTGTAAGGATAAATCATTTATGGCTTCTGGTTTACATAAAGCTCACCACTGTTGATCATCTGCTACTGCAGTCATCTGCTTTACCTCAAAACTGCTATCACGTGCACGGACAGTAACATGTTTTTCCAGCACCACCACTCTCCCTCCTTCCTTCATGAATTAACCTCTGCATTTCTGTACCCCACTTGGACCACACATGCAGGTCGAAATAGAATTAAAATTGTTCTTAGAGGATAGAGTAGAGAACTCAGCCTAGTTTGACCAAATCACTACAAGCTGCTTTCCTCTTGGAGTCCATGTGGGGCCTCCTAAGCCAAAGGAAACTCTACTCCTCTCTTGTAAGATCCTCACATTTGATTATGAGTGCAACAGAGAGACAAGATTTTTTATCAGGTCTGTCCTTTTACTTGAGAAAAAAAAGGGTCCTATTGCAATGATGGATGCCTGTAGGTCAAAGGTTATACTGTATGTGAAGTGTAAGGAGTAGCGTACATCCTTATCAACATTTCTGCATTTCCCGCCTGTTGCTTCCTTGATTGTTTCTGAGCTTAAGCCCCTTAAGATATCGCTGTAAAGTTCATGGTCTCAGATTAATGCCTTTCTTAGTGAAGAATGTTGCTTTTGTTGCCTCCCTGTTCCTGCCGGCTGCACTGTTGCCGCTCTCTGTATTAGCACAGACTCTATACAATTCATAGAAAATGAAATACAGCCAGCTGGGTCAATAGCTCTCTTTATCACACTCAGTTTTACGCTACTTCATGCCTTCTTTTTTATTTAAGCTCAGAGAAAAAAACACTTTTTTGAATTTAGGATGTACCGCAGTTAGCCAAGAATGTAAGACACCTTTTATTTAAATAAAACAGCATTCACTGGATACTGCGGCTTCAGTAAACTGTTGCAATGCAAGAATGTACAGCGAGGTGTCCTAATATTGGGTTACAATGGACAAACTCAATCCAATTTTAGTGGGTCTATTCATGTTTTGCGTCAGGGAACGGCTTTAGGTTTAATGTTGAACATCATCAAACAAGCAGAAAAAACCTCCATCACACAGAAATGAAGCCAGTACCAAAGTGAAAAAAAAGCTGCAGTTCCACAAGGATCCACTAGAGGCTGCCTCCAAAAGACTGGGAATACCCATTAACATCCATATCAATAGTTTTCCAGCAAAATTAGACGTGTCTACGGCCTGGTACCAAATATATGCATAACAAGGGGTGTAGCCCAGTTCCCTACGATCACATGCACGTACGCTCACATCCTCACACATCCTCTCCATTGTAGATGCGTCCATGAAAGCGGCAAAGACACCCAGTGTGGGATGACGATTCAAAGTATTGTCTGTGATGGATCTTTGTAACTGGTGACCATCAATTATTAATTATTGAAAAAAAAAGGACTTTCCAATGACAAAAATGGCACCATGTGTTGTGCTATGCTCAGTATGAGTCAGCATTTCCAATCTGGTGACCACCATCATGGGCTTCAGAGCACCCATAACTTATAAGTGACGTGAACTTTTTCCATACAGTCTAAGTTCTTTATGATTTGATTGGACAAATGTCATTTCATAAGAGGTACATTGTTTTCTTCCTATCCCAACAGTCCCAGAGTCTGGTACTAACTTCCTAGTACTAAATTAAACTCAAACAAAAAGTAACGTATTGTGTTTGAGAGGTCAAACGTTAATTTTCTATGACCAGTTATTAACAACCCTCAAAAACAACTTTTACTGTTGTACAACCATCATCCCGCGTATCCAGACCTGATGATACTTGGTTTGCGTGGCTCAACTGTGGTCAGACTAAATCACTCTGGTTTTGTTTTTCTATGTTCTGTTTTAATTAGCTGACCCATAAAAACTAACCGCTTCCTAACACTGACAACACTCGATGTAAAAAGCAGCCAAAACCAACACAGCAGCACAGCCGAGAAGACAGGATGATGACAAGACCAAAACATACGAAAAATGCAGACAAAACACACCAACGTCTCGATTATAAATACAGATGGAGAGGAATAAAGTCAACATTTGTAGAGGTAGCTGGAACTAAGAAGCTAATGAGAACTTTGGCCTCAACTAGTCTGCTTAACTTCAGAGGCTAAAAACACAAGGATCATGGGAGGATTTATGGTATCTCAGAGCTCCAAAAATGGGATGAAATGGAAAAATAATCCCAGCATAAATGCAGATGAGTACATAAGACATCCATGATAGGAATCTGGAAAATGCCTTTCCCCAATGAAAGTAAATAGCAAACAGGACATAAAACACTCAAAAGAGAAGGGAACAGATTTACTCTGTGATGTGGAAACACAGCTGTACATTCCACATTTCCCCTGGTGTATTATTCACTACGACATCCTATGATCCCGACGGATAAATAACACACTGAAAATAAATTATTTGTTCTTTGTTTGCAGATGTGTAACAAGAAACGTCATTACCTCAAATGTTCAATTTCGTGTCCCTCACTGAAAGGACGTCATTTTTGTTGTTTCAAGATCCAGACCCCCACAGATCAACCACGTTTCATCTAGTGATGAAGATGACAACTGCCTGTTTGAGATGGTTTCTCAGTTTTCACACAAGAGATGACAGACTGAAGCATAAAAGATGTTTGTGTGAGACCCCCTGTCTGTGTTTGAGGTATCAAATGAACAGATCACAGACTACTGCAGGTCAAGATGGGTGTTTGATCCAGGATTGGTGGTGACACTAACTCAAACTGTTGGGGGGTATCACACAGTTGAGACCGAACACAGAGATGGCTCTTAAAATACCAAAGATATGGCTCTTCAGGCTGCTAAAGTCAACAGAAACCAAATCCCTCTGCATGGAAAACAAATGACCAGAACTGGCTGACCTGTGGGCTGTTCAGCAGAGCTCATCCTTAATAAAGGTTGTGACCCGCAGCATTTCAACTTTGACCTCTGCAAAGAGACATGCTAAATGCTTCTATTGAATACGCACTCCTGCTGTCTTCACCCCCCATCATTCAGAAGATGTGTTTTACAAACATTATGACACATTCAACCTCTGGAGTCAAGAGGAAGACGGAAAAGAAAAGCCGGTGGACAATACAGGGAAGAGGTCCAGATGACATTAAAAATCCAAAGATTTTCTTGAGGTTTTCTGATTTCTTTGTAAAAACACTAAAGACTTGGACTCAGGCTCCAGCAATCACTGTGCTTACATGTGGATTGCATTAGTTAACGGTTAAAATACATGTAAACACATCAGTCAAACTGATTTCACATTAAATTGAATTTCTCGTGGTCAGACCAAGATACATACATCGTGTTGTTGGGTTTTGATTTTCTTTTCTATATTTATTCCTCCCTTGGGCTAAAACTGGTCTTTGCGCTCTGCACATGCTTCATAGTTCACACAGTGGTCTTCAACCCCGACACTGAACATTTGCAATGCGCGAAAGCTGGGTAATAAAAAAAAAACCTTGTTGGATGTTGGGACCTAAATAAGACAGAATTGTAAAGTTGACAATGTTTTCATCAGTCTTTGTACTACCGATACCCATTTTTAACGCGTTTGTAGATTGTTTTGGTATGTGAAAGGTCAACCAGGAACAGCCTAATAGTGACAAGCTGAGGTACCATGGCAGAGGAGGACATACTTCGACCGATAAACTTGTTCTTTCCAGGTGCTTGTACACTAGCACAAGGACAGTAGTCCAATCAAATTACCTACTTGAGCTTTAACTGCAGCTTGACATAAACGTGCATGTAAATAGTGACTGTCTGGTTAGCACATTTGGAGTATGGTCATCCAGCTGCAAGCTTACATCAGTCAACAGAATGAGTCAACCATTCCAATTCAAGATGTTTGATAAGCTTAAATTCTAATGAATAGAGAGTGGGATGGAGACATGGACCTGTAGTGATCTCACTGCATCAGGATGAATGTGCCAACCAAGAGAATGCGCATTAATGCTCGATTTCCAGCTCTATAACTCTGTAAAATCTTGAGACATGCCAACATGATCAGTCAGGGTCCATAAATGAAACATATTTTCTTCTGCACATCTAATAAGTTCCTGCACAGTCAGTAGTTCATACAGTGAACAGGTCAGAGTGTACTCTACTTTGCTTACTTGGATGTAACTCAGGCATGAACACTACTGCTCAATACTTAAAGGTTTGGTGGCTGAAACAAAGAGACAACAAACAAAATAGGTTGTGATGCTGTGAGGTAACAGCTGCCCTTTCTCAAATTAATGATGTGGAAGTTAAGGTAAAAGTGTAAACTCGTTGAACTGAGACACCTGTCCTCTTTCAACGACAAGCTCTGATAAGAGTTACTGAATGTGGAAAAAAACATGGGAATTAGCTGTGTGATATATCCGTACGCATATCTGCAGTATATCTCTATCTGTCAGGATGAGACTGATTCAGTGCCGAGCGTGTGATACTCCCTCGACCAGCTGAGATCCATCTCTGTGAGGGATTCACTGTTGGCATGCAAGCTACAGTACACCTTAAAGAAAAGGTCAGCACTCATAAATATCAAATATTAGCTGGACTGACATGAAGCTTTGGTAGATTTTGAAGTCTAGAAGTTTCACTTATGACCCTCCCTACAGTGCCAATATAACCACCATCTTTTAGTTTGTGCTCCTTGACAACAAATGGGCAACTTTGTTAAATAAAATAATAAATATGAATACTGTTACAGCCATGTATGGACCAGGAAATACTTTGTAAACTTATACTGAAACTTGTTGCTTAGCACCAAAGGAAACAGTTTTCATCCTAATATGTAGGACAGAAACTGTTGTTCACAGTTGTGTGAGCATTTGTAGGTCAGTGCTAAAATGATGTGGATTTAGGCAACTTGTTCCAGTGTTATCTTGAGGCAGTGACTGTGCTAATTACTCATAAAAACATCAGAGAGAGGTCAGTTTAACTGGTCACAGAAACAAGACTGATGAAAGAAGTTTGTGTTGGAACAGAGCTGGTCTATCCAACTGTGCAGACGACCTTTAAAAGGAGATGGGAAAGAGCACTGACGGCTTTGAATCTTGATATCTTAAAAAAACTGAGAAAAATACAGTTAGTTCCTTTTTCTTTTCCCCCTGACTTTGGTCATCTGGCACATACAGGTCAACCTTTAAGGAGCCAGTTGCTTGTCCAAGTAAAACCTACACTAATTCAGATATCTGAACCCTCTTTCTACCAGAATAAAGTATGAAGCATTTTGATTGAGGACGATCTTGCTCAGCGACTCAAAAAGAGGGAAGAAGCATGTCTAAATGAACTTTGTGACGTGAGTGGGAAGATATAAACACAAAACCACAAATGTCTGTTTGCGAGCGAGTGTACCAGATTTGGTGATCAAATCATGCTGGCCTTTGTTGCTGTCTGGCTGTGTGTGTGAGTCATGAGTGGGCTGGGAGAAACTGTTGTCCTCACAGTATAAGCTGAATAAAAATACACAGCGGGATACAAAATAATGACTTTCTTACCTTTCAGTTCACTTCTTGATTCATTTTTGATTCACTTCTTGTTCATTAATTAGAAAAAATCTCAAACTGTAATGGCTTGAAAAGTAGGCCAGCATGTCAAAAGAGAGTGTTTTCTTCTTGTGCGGCTTCCGTCGATAGTCCGACACAGAATTCAATCAAACAATCAGATTCCAGCTTTGAAACAAACACTTCCACAAAAAAGAAACACACACATACGCACAAAAATATACATACAGAAGCGGCGGAAGCAAAACATCAAACATGACCGTGTTTGTGTTGGCGTTGTTTTAGTAACTGAGGCATGTCTGGATGTAACACCAGATGTCCCACAGGCCTTCATTATGGTGATAAGGGGTATTCTCGTGCCGGCTTTAATGGATCTCACAGATATTTAGCTTGATATACAGTAGAGTTTGTCTGCACCATTGCCTCTTTACAGCTAAATTTGTTTCCTGACACACTACTGCCAACTTCCTGTCGAGGAGTTTTGATGGCTGCAGTCTCTGATAAATGTTCTCTGAGACAAGTACATTCACAGAAATGGAAATGAAAAGTAAAACATCCAAAGAGTGGGCAATGAATGAGTAAAAACTGAGCATGAGTCACAGATGTGTGGTGGGAAATGAGAGTTTACAATGTCTTCATGTCAACATAGGAACAGCTGTGAGACTAAACACATGAAGTTGTAGTTTCTAATGTTCATGCAGAGCAGCGCTGAAACCAAATCAACACTTTGGTCTGCTAAAAGCCACAGGGAGAGTTTTTTGGTGACTGTGGGATCCAAATTGGTCAAGCTGATACAGAACCCATATGGAATGACTGGATGGTAACATGCTGTCTCGATATTTCTCGACACAAGGATTAAAAGAGCAGGGAGAAAAAGCTCAACTGTGTTTTTTTTCTCCATTAATGTCATTCATGGGCGGTTAAAATAAACAAGATTTTCTTTTTGACTTTGATCAACAACGGCCCTCTGACACAGCAAAAAGTCACATCAACAATTTTAACCTTTGACGTAGTTCAAAAATGTCCCTTTGCACAACGGTTTTGAAATCTGTAATGACGTAATAACAGTTTTTCCTGAACTTTTTATTCAGTTCACTAGCACTCAAGTCCAGCTTTTCTTAACATCTTTATAAAACATCAATGGCCCAGCAGCAAGACTAGTGACAGTAAGTTTTGCTCTACAGACTTGCAAATAATGACTTTTTGTGCATAATTTACACTTATTCTTTTACATAATTTACAGAAATCTATGTATTCAATTCAGCCATTTGCAAAGTAGGGTGAAAACTTGAAGGTCTTATTCAAGTACACCAAGCAAATATAGAAATAGTTGGGTTTACATGGTGACAGGTAACAGCAATAGACTGTACTAAACATGGATGTAGTTTTCAGGGATGCCACACATTGGTCCAACAATGGTGGTTACCAAAGAGACAGAGTAGAGGAAGGCCTCGTAGTCGACAGCTACAATCTCTGTCTGTCAACCACATCAGCCATGCTTTGCCAAGCTATGCAAAACAAATAGCTTTTATATCTTAAAAACAAATTTGTAAGGAAAAAAAGCCCCAGCCTCCCAAAAAAAATAAATAAATAAAAACATAAAATAATTTTTTTGTGCTTGGCTGTAAAATGTTCATCTCTGCAATAAATTAAGAGATAAAGGCATTTTGATGATGCCAATCAGTGAGGTCTCTTCAACTTTCAGAGTCTGCCTCAAGTGTGCACTCACAGAAGAGCAGTTTTCAGCACTCCTGCATTGCTTCAAGCATTAACACTGAAGGTCCACTTTCGGTGGTTTCATTTTCACCCTGTTTAGTCTGGCTCTTTAGTGCCATCATCTCCTCAGTCCATCTGTATTTAGACGGGTATATTTAAAAACTGAGATAACGGAGGGAGACTAGGGAAAGGGCTAAAAGGACAGGGTCACTGTTGAGAGCAGGACATGACTTTGAAAGAGAACATGAACCAGAGCAGAGGGACCTGGAAGAAGCAGGGCAGAGCAGTGACTCCCACTGTGCTCATCTGGCCGGGCTCCAGTGTAAACATGGCTCCAGTTTCAGACCTGGACCTGACACAGCTGGACCTTCACTTTCCTGAACTGGCCTCAGGTCACGCAGACTCTCAACTCCCATTTCCCAGTGGACCACACTTCTAATCAATGCTTCCTGCTGCAATCTGAACTAAACAGACGTGGGATTAGACCCTCTCTGTTTGAGAGCTGAAAGTCAAAGCTGTCAGGTAATGTTATGTTGAGAGATCTGCAGCTCAGGCCACGAATCAGATGATCGATCACATCCAGATGGGAGGATCCTTTAGTTCCCACCTGTCAGACCCGAGACGCCTCAGAGCACACAGTACAGGGTGAAACACATAAACATTATACTTTATATTTAGATATTCATAATTCTAACAGAAGCTCATTAATAGGAATAAGTCTCTAAGATAGACGCTAAGGATGCTTTAATTCTATCTTTCATTATAGTTCGACTGAAGTTCGGAAGTTCATTCATTGTGGACGTAGTGTCTGGAAAACCCCTGTATACTGTATATATATCTTCACCCCTGTCCTTTGCCTTGACTTCATCACACAGTGATTAATGTGGGGACACAGGGGTCCCATCAGGCTGTGCTGAAAGAATTCCAAGACCTCGGTCCTCCCGGTCCTCCCAGGCTTCAGTCTCTCCATCCCTCACTTCCTTTTATAGCCTCATTCCTGCTTCTAGTCTCCATCACCACTGTCTTCTGTCCCCTCACTCTCTCTCCATCTTGTCTGTCCTGCCTCTCTTTCTCTTTTCTTATCTCCGCTTGCCTCCTTCTCTTTTCGGTCATGTTCCTTATTATCCTGCCTCCTCCCCTGTGTGTGTCCTCCTCCTCCTACACGTGTGTCGTCTGTGTCTCCTCAGCTGAGGTAGGTTTTCTCAGTGAGCTCACATGGAAGGATTGTTTCAGCTGTGTTTACTCTGAGACAAAACATACCTTCACAAACTCACTCTGGGCTGTACAATGTTTTGATTAGCGCAACAGGTGCCCACATGCTGATTGAATGTCTTTGACTTTAATTAATCGCCATTATTTTCTGGTGACTCAGTGACGTTCAGAGAGGAACTAGTCATATCCTGCAGTTTGTAGACTCTCAGTGATGTCCCACATCAAGCAGCAGACACATGGCTGATCTCACTGATAGCACCACATTTTTTCCTCTTGGACTGCAGACACGCACCATCCATTTCCACTCCAGCTGTGGTTTAATTGATTAGACTGAATTATTTCTTGTCATGGGAAGAATGTTAACAAAGTTAAATGCACACTTTGTAATACCAGGACCTTGTCCAATTTCCCTGATTCTCCCTCCATCTCTCTCATCCCGTGTCATTTTTCATTCTTTTTCAGAAGTTGCCAACATCCGCCACTGGCTTGGCACCAGTTCGGTTCACACAGTTAATACCTCGGCAAGAATTAGATGGCCAGGAAATTTGGTACTGAAAGCCATGGGACCCAGAAGATGAATCTCGATTACAGCACTGTGATTTTCTCAGTGTGAAAAATACAGATGGAATCAACGAATTTGGCGATGAAAATGGAGCCAACTGTTTAACCCGGTTACTCTCTCCCTCATAAAATCAAATCAGTGAAAGCAGGATGTGAAAATACTGGAGACTTTGTGGGTCTTTGTGCAGAATCAGATATGTCAGAGCAGGAAAATGGCCCCCATCAGAACCCACCCACTCCATGGGTTTAAGCAGCATATGGAGGCATTTTAATGCTATAATTCAAGCTACAAAAGGAGGGACTGTTCATTTTCATGTAAAACACATATGTGAGGCTATATATTTTAGAAAACGGTGGACTGACATTTTCATGAAGCAGTTTATTTTACTTTATTTATACCTAAGGGAAAATTCAATACAATAGACACTGTTTTTTTTTTTAATAACTTAGAAGAAGATTGTTTCTGGGCCTTTAACTTTACAAAAGGACTGGACTGGTCTAAACTTTAAACCTAGGACAGGAATAGAGTTTTCCTGTTATGACTTGACAAAATGAGCAATTTAGTGGTATCACATGAAGAACTAAAGAAGCATGAGAGCACTTTTCCCCTGTTATGGGACTTTTTGTGAATTACGTTGTTTTATATGTATTATTAGAGGGAAGAGGTGGCAAATTAATTAAGTTGTTACGGCCCATAAGAGGCAAATATAACGGAAGTATAAATAAGGACGAGCCTTCAGCATGTGAGCTACAACAAAACGGCCATTAACAGAGCCTGCAAACCCAAGGTAATACAAGAAGGAGCAAACAACACTCCTGCAAAGCCTCCAGTCATTCAGCAAAGCTAAGAATTGCAGCAGCCGAGTCTGAATCTGGAAAAACACATTCATGATTCATTGTACAATCCAATGCTGTTTGTCTTGCTTTGTTTCTTTTTCAAACAAATACACAAGCATGAAAAGAACTTCTTATATTTCATATCTAGATTTATTGAATGCCTTTTCATTTTTTCTGTTACTAAGAAATTTACATTTACAGAAGAGTTAGAAAGAAATAAAGAGACGTTTGTGTTTGTTTTTGTCTGTACACATACTGTGTTGTGTACATTTCTGGGCCACATTTCTGAGTAAAAAGACTGGTAGTGTGTGACTGCTGTCTGTCACACATGACTGGGGAAGAAAATGAAGCATGAACAGAGATTATCCACAATCAAACTGCTGGTATTCTTGGCTCCCTGCTTCTTTGGAAATTGAACTTTCCTTTTTCTACATATTTTCACATCATTATAACGTCTAGATTATAAAATAACTATGTTTTTATTAACATCAGTATGCCACCAAAAAATAAACATAGTCTAACCAAATATCATTTCACCATCTCTAATTGTAGTTAATTGAACGCATGAGAGTGTGTATACATTTACGTGTGCGCCAACATAAGCAGAGGTCCACCTGATCTGGGACAGAGATGTTCAACAGTAACATAATCAGATTAAAGGTATCAGATTGGAATGTAATATAAAATCTGGTTTTCCAAGAGAAGTATAGACATTTGAATGAATGAGATCAGGTAATCAGATCCTGTTTTTTTATGCAGATAAAACCTCCAGTTGTGCTAAAACCTTGGATTAGGAGTACTTTGATCTTGATCCAAGCAGTGGGCTTGACTTACGTTAAATTACTGGAGCATAAAGTGACAAGGCAGATAAGGTAGACAACTCAACTGTGAAAAGATAAGGATTGTCTTTCAAAAAAATATCTCATCAAATTGCAGATGATATCAAACCTAGAATATGTCTTTAAAAACAGCTGACAGGATCAGTAATATTGCTTGATTTTTGGCGCCCCCTGTGGACAAACTATAAAGCGTCTTACATCAGCCCTAAAACATATTAGTTCATTGGAAATCCATAATTTGGTAATCTGTCACAGTCTGTATCTGGAAGAGGATCCCATCAATCTTTCTTTAAAAACTAGGACAGGAGAGCTGTCAATCAGGTGGTTTAGTCAGGTGCCCTGTGAACAATCCTGATTTGGTAGATGTAATTTCCCTGGTCTCTCCTCATTTTTTGTCTTCTCCAGATGCCTATCAATAAAGACAAAAAGCTCCTGAACAAGTCTAAAGAAAGACAAACCAGAACAAAAGTAAGATGGATAACCTGATCCCATTTAGAAAAAGATGAATTTCTGATCCTGATCCTTCTTTCTCTGATTAAGTTTCATCACTCTTGAGTCTTTAGATTTAGTTTTAGTAAATCAGTTCTTATTTGTCATTGGATGATACCTCTTACACAAAGAGTAGTATTCATACCACCTTAAATTGTCTCAGATATAACAGAGCATTCGTGACGTATATATCCCCCTCTATGTTACACATTTTGCCTTATGTTCACCATAAATCACACTGAGTTTACACAGTGGAAATGCTACCCAGTAAACAGCCTGCAGAGCAGTCCAACTATGTGAGGTCCTGCAGGGTTGTAAAGAAACTCTGACACATTTAACTCCACCCAGTTTCCTTTTCCTGTTTAGAGAGCTCCTCTGGATAATCTATTTTCTATTCACACAATTCTGCACTCAGGATGTTTCCCATAAAAACCCGACTTCTCTGAGCCCACAGATAAACACAGCCCACACTCTGTCCACGTGCAATAAAGAAAATTAAACCCACACTTGCACATTCTGAGAGCGAATCTTCCAGCTAATTCAGGACTTCTTTCAGCAGCTTACAGGATGCTCAGAACAAATCTCGTGCAGACCTTTATAAACCTTTATCAAAACTCTCTTTCAACAGCGTTCTTAACTGCACATGCATGCTTGTTTAAGGAGGTCATTTTTACAGCAATGGAGGCAAACGGCCAAGCTCACCAGGCCTCTTCCTCACCGCAACAATGCTGAACCACAGAGACTAATCAAATAATCAGCACCAACAAAGTCAGAAAACAGCCATTCTTGAGGGAACAATAGTTAAGAAAACAAAAGACACACACACTGTAAATCCATTTGTGTGTGTGTGTGCGTGCATGCATACACGTGCCAACCTTTTTCCACATTTGCTGCACACAACTGCACAAGGTCAGAGGTGTCTATCTCTAAAGTGAGGACAACGCCTCAGACAAAAATGCATGCCACTCTCACGTCAGTCCAACACACAGCAGTGACAGGGAAACCCCACACATGGACTTCTCATCCGTGGCTGCAACAGCTTCCTGCAGCACAGCACAATGGGCTCTTCCCCTGATTGTTACATCCAGGCACTCTCTATATCACAGGCGTTATTTTGGCAGGAGATGCGCTGACCGTTTTTCCATCCTTATCACAGGCAGACATCTTCCTCTTGCTGCGAACGCACGCCTTCCTCCCCCATAAAACAATCACATCGGAGAGGTCAGTCACGTGCCGGCTTTCCATTGGGGGTGACCCCAAACTTTCCCCAGTGAGCTGCATGCCTGCGTATCCAACATCAACTGCTTTTCCATTATTTGTATGTTATTCCTATTCTCTCATGCATATTTATAAAATACACAGCTTGACATAGTTTAGCCACAAGGTTGCGATGCCAAAAAGTCACATGCATACACAACATTTATCACAATCATCCACTTAGATGGAAAGAGGGTAATTGCTAAAGCAGATGTTGTAGCTGGGGTTCCAGGTACAGTGGGGATCTGTAGCCAACGTTTCAGGCCAAATTCCCACAACTTCAGACCCTCTCTTCCAGCATCGTCCCCCTCATTGCATCGTGCTGAGGCACATCTTGAAATATATTCCCAAACACTCGAGAATCAAAGCCTCTCACAGGCTCCCATACAAAACATCCTGTTAACATTACTGCCTCAAGAGCCTTCCTTCCTCCCCCCAACGGACATAGACAAACGCTATATGTGTGCAGGGTTTGTGAGTGTGTGTGGAGAGTAGATGTACAAGCAACCAAGCAAAAAATCACAATTTTGCTCTAATGAACCAAATAGTCCAATTTGAATACTCAATTAGGAATTAACAATCAAAATACAGAAGGCATCCTCTGCAAAGTAGAAACTTAAAGTCAAGTGGAGGTGACTAGCGAAAGTGAAAGGAAAAAAAAATCATAGTCAAAACATCTAATATTTATATTCATGGTCTAGTTGCTGGGAGCCTCCATCAACAGCTTTGCTGTAGAGCATGCATACCATTGTGATGGGTCTCATATAGAAGAACACATAAAACAGATTATACGTGAGTTATGTGACAATGCAGGCTGGATTTAGTGAAATGGAGTAAGCTAAAGACATCAAACTGCAAAAATCTGCTCTGTAATTAGGTCATCATCATGTGTGTAATGAAAATGGAAGAACACTTGTGGGTTGCTGGTTTGATTGAAAAGACCACTCATGTAAGACAAGTGATCGGAGGATGGTGCGAGTTTCTGTGACTTTGTCAAAGGAAATGGGTCTGTGCTTCACAGTTAACAACGCTACCATAGGCCGTGCTAAACTGCATTGCCTGGAGCCAGTGGCAAAGCAAAAATAGAGAATACTAGAAAGAGCTACACAGCTGCACAGAAACCGTACATTGCTGAATGAAGTGGACCATATACCTGTGCGACTTATATTCCAGATTTTACAGTAGAGCCTAATTCCTTTTTTTGCTAATGATCCAGATGAACTTAAGGAACAGTGAGGCCTTTAGGTGGGAGGCCATGTCAACATCTTCGTCAGACGACCCCGCCATCGTTGAAAACCATTTTACCGCTTATGCTAAAATCAGGGAAATTCTGTCTGACAAATTGTCTATTTTATAAAGCAAAAAGTGTAAAGTCCACCCAGGTCCTATGATTATTTTTCAGCTGTGTCAATCAGGAGAGGGGCCAGAGTTTGAACTTTCTCTTGATGCTCTTTTTTTTCCCACACATAACATCATCTATTTCTTGATCATACTCCATTACTGATTTCCATGTTTTCACAACCGAGTACAACACAAGTAAAAAAAGAGAGAAGAGTGGAAATTTTAAAATATGTGCCACCGTCTCCATCTCCACCCCACCTTCCAGCGTAGCAGTTTGCAACAAAACATTTGTCTTCTGACGTAATTTGACAACTCACAATACTATACAAGCATAACATGCCCAATGGTTTCAATCATAGAGGCTCTTGCAACTCACCGTGATATCACAGTGAGTCACATCCCACCCTGTGGAATTCCTTATGTTTACACAAGAGGAAAAATGTTAAAATTGTGAAATTAACCAATTAAAGTTGCATGCAAAATATCTTGAGATTTATGTTTTCAAAAAAGGGGGAAGGACAAAAATGTAACACAGAGACTGATGGTGGGAAAAGTTGTGGAAAACAGAGGAAAGGGTCTGGTTCGAATAATAGACCGAGTCCCACGGGTTGAATTTGGAATTGATATTAAACAGAAACATATTCGAAGCACAAGGTTAAGGTTGAGAAACTGGGTTGGATGGGAACCTTCAGAGTGACGCTCTGTTGGTGATTGTTTTGTTCAGTCTATAAACTAGTATAATGAACTCTTCTAACGCCTCATTACCTACAACATTTGGCTGATTCTCTATTGTCCTTTTAACAGCTTCTTTGGACAACATGGTTGGAGATTTCAGCTGAAGTCAGATGCTTTAATACGTCAGACCCAGAAACTAAAGCTCTTTTGTTTTGAAGTCGGCCTATTTGTATAATCAATGTGAGCTGTTTCTTAATTTGACTATAAACTTGCCTGCCCAAAGCGCATGGACGGTGCCAAAACTAAAATAAAACTGCTGTCTTCCAGCATCATCCATTTCAAGCTGAGCTGCACAATAAACAGAGGAGCTCTGCTGTGTCACACGCTTTTAATCGAGGCCTGAGCAAATCTGATAAAAACAAGGGACAAAGGTTCTTTTTATCCGATCCAAGAAAGTAACTTTTCATCTGAAAGCCTTAGGTATGATATTAAATGCCTTGAACATCTGACATCCCGAACAAGCTGCAATGAAGAAAAACATACTCCTGTGCAGTAAACATGCAGAGAAACACAGGACAGACATGGACTCAGAGTCGTGTGTCTATCAAAACTATATTTTTATGCTTTTAAAAAAACAGAGAGAGGATTGGTAGTAAAACAAGTTTTATTGGCGGTCACTTGGGCCCATTTAAATGTTCTTTTTGTAGAAAAAATGTCCCTTATATGATATCTGAGTAGACATAAAGTTTCTACAGACCTTTGGGCCGACTAAAAGAACAATAGATGAAGTAAGGTTAGAATCATGCTCAGGGATTTAAAGACATCTGCAGTGATCTTTAACCTTTTTTTAAGTTGTTGTTTTTAGGTTTAAATTTGACTGGGGGGCAAAACGTCACCGCTCTGCTTTAGCTACTTACCGCACAGAGTTACAGCCTTAAGCCTTTAATAGTCAGTGATTCAAAAACACATGATAAGAAAGGCCTAAATTAGGCCGTTTTCTTGAGGGAATTATCTGCTTAAGAAGAAAATCCCTCTTTGTGTCTCTTTCCACAGCTTCCTGACTAAGCTGCAGGAGCGGGTTGGCAACAGAAGAATAAACTCCATTTAAAAATAAGATAGCAACTTGATTTGTCTTTAAATACTGTTAAATTCTATTTTTTAGCTGCAATTGATCTTTAACCCTTTCACGTATAACGGTCACTACAGTGGACAAATCTTCAAAGGTCATTTTCTATTATAAAAATAGAGGTTTGATGTTACAAATGCATGTTAGCCACTACAGTAGACCCTGGAAAATGAGTCCAACACTGGTGCCATCTGGCCATGTGTTGCAACTGCAGAAAAAACACGTCAACATTCAAGATGGCTGCCTCTGCTGAGAACAGACCCTCCACCTCTGGGATTTCCACTGCTTCCTTTTATAAAAGCAGAGTCCTGCAGGTAAAAAAAATATTTTGGGATAAAGTAACATCTAATAATTATTATAGTTGCAAAAAATTCCATGCATTGCTTTTATGTTCTGAGGAAATTGGAATTTTCCATTTGTCCACTACGGTGGACAGCATGCATGACTTATACTATTTCTACTACAATACATGCAAATGGTGTAACTCCTTATCTCTGCAAAATGCTTGATTTCAAGCTTACCTTTTCAGTTAAAACCAACCATTTTATGTTATTAAAAGGTAACCTGTATTGTATGTATCAAAAAATTAATGTTGTGCATGTATTTTATATTTTGTGCATGCATAGTATATATTGTATTTTGTGCAGCCTTTGTGCAAGTTTTGCGATGTTTGTAAAACATTTTTTGCAAAAATATATTTTGTGCACGCATTGTAACACACACACACACACACACACACACACACACACACACACACACACACACACACTACAAACAGTGCATGCACAAAATATTATAAAAACAATGGAAAAAATATATATACATATATAAGATAAATAGAAAGAAAGATTGATTGGTTGTGCAATATTTTTCACATTATGTTATTTATTATATGCAGGGTTCACACACAGAGAGGGACCAGAGGAAGTACAGAAATGTAGAGGAACTGCCATCGTCCAGCGATGCAATATCACTGTGTGCCTTCTTTTCAAATGTGAACTAATGTAGTACAGGGCATCGACAACTGAATGTGTTTGGATAGTCACTAAGTCACTATTTCTTTTGTTTATTATTGTAATTATTATTTTCATGAATGATCCAATCTATGGCATTTGTTTTTGCTTTGAGTGTGCTGGCTGAAGTTGTAGCACCTGGCCTGAAGCCTAATTAGGCTCATGGTTTCAGTTCGTTTGACACAGATGACAGTTGTTGTTGCTGTTGTTTGACACAAGCCATGTTTTGTAATGTGCATTTAAACAGAATTTAAATGTTTTAAAATGTGAATCTAATTGTTTTGACTCCTTTTTGGGGTGGGGTTCTATTATTTGTATTAATACAATTCATTTTCTGTAATGTCGACCAAATGCATGTTGTCCGCTGTAGTGGACATGTCACTAAAAACTTAGCAGAAACAGGTAAAAAAAAAATTCCAACTGCAATATTATTTATATGCCTTATATTGAATAAAAACACATAGTAAGAATTTTTTAACTCAATATATCATAATTCATGCATGAAAGGGTTAAAATGTCATGTGGATTTAAACTCCCGGCTAATGATTGCTTTGATCGTATTGTCTCAGAAACAGGATAATTCCCCCTAATTGATGCTCAAGGTAAAAATCAGTTCGGACTCTTGTCGCGTCTGCTTTCAGTTGGCATTACTTAAGACACTCAGTCTTATCTAGGGCTGGGCGATAAAACGATAACAATATATGTCGAAAATTAAGTTCCCTCAATATCAATATAAAACATGGTCAATATCCTTTTCGATAGTCGGCATTCTGACATGTTTTTGTTGACTATACAAGTAGCCAATGAAAAGGGGGAGTTGCTCCAGGTCAGCTTTGTGCTGAACCAATCATGTGCTGAATTAGAACCAAGTAGCCAACAACTGTGTAGTAGCAGGCTGCAGCTACACGCAACCATAGAACATTAACATGTGAAGCCAACAGCACTGTCAGTGAGAAAAAAAGAAAATGAGTGCTACCCCTGGTAGAAATGCAGATGAAGGCTCAACCGATGACGATATCATCGACAACACTGAAAATGTCTGTGGTGTGGAGGTCTTTTGTTTTTTTGTGGTCGGACATGAAGCAGAGTGATGTGCACTGCAAATTATGTCGAGTACATGCTCTCGCAAAGTTGGGGAATACCTTAAAGCTTGTTCACCACCTGGAGCAGTGCCACATGGCAGAGCATGGGCAATGCAAAAGGGGCCTGTGCAGCCGAAACAGCCGACCATTCAGTCCGCATTCTCTAGTGCAACGCCTTACGACAAAACGTCGAAGAGACTGAAAGAGCTCACAGATGTAATAGCCTATTGTATTGCAAAAGACATGCTACCAACAAGCACTGTTATATTTCATTTTTTTATATCTTGATATATATCAATATTGACTGATATGAAAAAAACATATTGTGATAAACTTTTTCCCATATCGCCCAGCCCTAGTCTTAACTAACTTGTGTGCTGTTGTAACATGAGCACACCATAGCAATTCTGTGGTCAGTAAAGATTTACTTAGGGGGTTCCTGCAGACGCCATCACAACACCATCAATCATGGGTTAAGTTAAACTTAGTATAATGAAGCCTTGCATGGGACCCTACTATTTTTTCAGTTGATATGCAAAAAAAAAAAATGTCCTCACTTCAACTAGAAACTTCCACCATGACTCACTTCACAGTCAACCCCTTCTTAGCTTTGCTGCTATGTAGCTGTATGCACAGAGAGCCAGAGACCCTCCTACTCATGTGGAGAAACACCCCAAAGCAGACACTCCCACGGTCTGCATGTGCCTGCCGAGTAGCCATGAGAGCAGCGAACCAAGCCTGGAGACATTTTCGGTCACATATTCTACTCTCAGTGACACAGAGTGCAGTTTGCCTGCATTTAAGCAACAAGTAAGAGGTAAACACACTTACCGCGTTCACTCCAGAGGCGAGGATGGCAATGGAGAGACACAGGAGCAGCAGCCTGTAGTCAATGACAATTGTGACAGCGTTGTTGAAATCACTGATAGCTTAATGAATCAGTGTTGTAGTGATGTTAAGCAGTGAAATAAGCTCATTTCCCTCTCACCTCAGAGTCTGCAGTGTTCTGCTGTGTTGTGCTGGCATGGTCCGACTCAAGCGTACCGCAAAACTTCAGTTCCACTTCCACTTGCAAACTTTTAGCAACACTTTAAGACCATGACTGTCCGACCTTAGGAACACCAATACCGACAATGATCGATAATCATTCACATGAGTCGACATGTTTCATGCATTTGCTAATTTCAAAAGAAGCACAGTTGAATTATTTGCACCATTTCTACCAGGAAACGTGAACTCTGACAGCGTGGGCTACTCACTGTTCACTATAACCACCAAGAAGCAATAAGAGCGAGTTTTTAAATAAGTTTCCTTTAGTATTCCCTCATTATATTGATTAAGTTGCCTCTAATACTTACCGTAACCTCGGGTCAGCTCTGGGAAGAAGGACAGAGTTGTCACGAGGTAGGAGATGCGCGCGGACTCCCGACCTGCAAAAGTTTCGGAGCAAACACCTGTGGCACCAAAACCTCCTGAAATATTCTCACAAAAACAGCAAACTGAGTGGAGTAGTCCCTCTCCTTACTGAGAAATCTCAAAGTGTTTGTAACATCAGGGTTGAGCCCGTTTGCATGGGTGAGGGTGGTCGTTTTGGGGAGGGGGGTGTGGTGCAGAAGAAACAAGACTAACTTGCATTGATGAGAACCTCACATCGTCTCGGACAAAGATGCAGCCAAACGTGCTGCCCGAGCTCTGCTGATAAAACCGTGAATTAGCCTGAAGATAAACGACAAAAAGCGGCTAACAGGTGGTTGTTAGCAGGCACTCTGCACTGTTGCGCCTCAAGTCTCCAAGCGCAGCGCCAAGATGCTGCTACCGTGCGGCACCCTGTTCCTGCTGGCGGCTCTCTACTGCAGCGTAGACCTGACAGCGGCTGAGGTAAGCAGATGAAGCTCTTTCTATCTTAAAATGTGAAGTTTAACCGTTTTTGGTCTTTAAAATGGAGTTAATGTGCGCGTAAAGGATGATCTGTTTGGACTGGAACTCGGCAACATTACGCACAACTAAGGCTACAGCCCAGATGAACAGTTTTAACTTAATTTAATCAAAACATTACTCCATAATATTACTTTATTGGGTGACAGACATTCTGTGTGTTTAAATGTAACAGAAGTGGCGTTTCCCTAACCAGATTTATCAGTTTTAACAATTTGTGCAGTCTCTATTATGAGTTATGTTGTGTGTTTTCTCATCTAGACAGCTCTCCTTCACAGCACTTCTGAATAGTCTCAGTTGAGTCTGCTCTCAGTTCTGCGTCCCACACTTCTGCAAGAGAGAGAGAGAGAGAGAAAGAGAGAGGAAGGGAGGGAGGGTGGGGCACAGTGCCCACTGTAGCTTCAGTTTCTAAATGTGTGTGTTTGCTTGTGGTATGGCGAGATAACTCATTTGCTTATCACTGATATGTTTAGGTTATCAAATAAACTGCAAGTCATCTGATAGATTTAGGTATTTGAGTAAATTTCTACTGCAAGCATCAAGATTGGAGTGGACAAAACTTGTACTCTCTTATGATCCCATGATCTGCTTCCACTGATAACCAGAGGAGATGATGTTTAAAACTGTTTATATGACTGTTCTTTTCCAGTCATCAGATTATCTGACTTCCCTGTTAGCCTGTGTTCTTCTTGGTATGTAGACTATTGAATAAGAAGCTCTCATTTTCCAGAAAGTAACATCACAGACTGGAACTCAGTGTATTATTGTAAGGTCATGCAACAAGACCTAGATTTACTATATAGTGATGCTCTAGTGGTTTTGTCAAGCCAAGTTTTCAGTCAGTAAACTTTTATCAGGCTGCGTTTATGCCAGCTAGACTTGGTGCCTCCACAATATGAATTTACAACTTGAACAGTTCCAGCTACACAAGTAGGTAATGTTTAAATTTGTGATATAGTAAACATCAGAAGTTGTGTTGCGTTCCCTTTTCATTTTACTGCTTGCTGGATTATACCCAAAAAAGTGGTCTTGTTCTGCTGAGGGGCTCGTCACGTGTTTTATTTTGAAAGGTGGGCGGAGAGTCCTCTTCCTCAAGAGAGCAGAAATCCAGGTGAGGGGGAGGAAACATAAGTGTATTGTATCAAGTGTGGAGATGAAGGAGATCAGGCCACTATTGCACAATAGAGCAATGTGTGATCTTCCAGAGAAAATGAACACCTCACAAGGGAGCCTGGAGTCATCATGTGGAGGGTTTCTTCAGCTTTGGGGTTAGCTTTAGGGGTCTTCTTCCAGCTGTGATATCTTTTTAGGATACTTGTTTCAAGTTTATGCCCCAGATAATGTTGAGTGCTGGCATTCAGTTTTATTTGTTCAAATCCTCAAAGTATCAGAGCAGTACAAAAAGATTTTTGGATGTCTGTTTGTCCCTAGATGTTTTAAACCATGATTTTATTCACTCAAAAAGAGCTTTGATTCATAGAGCTGCGTGGGATAAAAGTAATGATGTCAAGAGACAACATATCAGGTTAAACGAAAAAGCAAAAGCAACTTTCATCCACCGCCTGGACATCTGGAAACTAAAGTGTTGGGGTGAAGAGGTGTCTATCTGGTTGAACATCTTGTTACCGATCAAATCACACCAATAAAATCAGAGTAGCTCAATATTCAGGATGTGAGACTGTCACATCCCCTGGAGGTCCACAAAAGGAAGTTTTTTGATCCTGTTTGTGGGTTTAATCCATCCGGAGGTTCTCAGGGAACAGACAGAGGCTGAGAAAAATGACCCACATACCAAGTTAATATGAGGATGTAGTCAGATAGTTATTTTTAACTTTTGCTTTTGTAACCTGCACCTTCTTAAATATGAATCTTATGAAGAGAAATCAACATTTGGCTTATATTCGGAGGTCATTTTAGTGTATTTATCTCCTTTTTGGCTCCACACACTCCAGGGCATGACATTGACTGAGTATCAGAGCCTCCTGTTTAGGCTCCTTCATAATCAGCGGGGCCAAACTGAGGCCAGGAGTGAAAATACAGTATAAACAATTCACTCTCAGGCTCATAAGGGCAGGGGCGCGTGCAAATGTGATAACACAGAGGTCAGGCTGACTAAACAAAGGCAATATTGAAGAGATAGAGTAAAATTTGCCTTTATTCTCCATGCGCCATGTACAGATGTAGCAATGAGTTAATGTCAAGATATTCAGACTTTTGTTCCAAACTTGCTGCTTGGTTTTCTGCACAGTTTGTATTTTATGAACAGAATCAAGTTTCTCTCCCTTGGCAGTCATTTTATTTGATCAAGATGACTCATTTGTAATTCCTGGAGGAAAAGAAGAAGAAGGAGGAGGAGGAGGAGGAGGAAAAGGAGGGAGGGCAGATTAGCGGATTCCTGTAGTGAGAGTTGGTGTGTGGGATGTTGGATGGAGAAATCTGGAAAGGTGTTAGCTGGTGGGAAAGATGAGATTCTCTGTGCTGCCAGGCTTTTTTCTCTTTCCTTGGCCAGGATGTCCCAGGACAGGGTGAACCCCAAGGAGGATGAACAGATATGTAGGAGGCTGCTCTGAGAGCTGTTAATCCCATACAGCCCAAGGAATGTGTGTAAATTGTCTGCTGAAAGCCGAGAGTCATTATCAACACTTGATCTGTATGTCATGCTGCCCAAAGTGCAGACAGGGCAGCTTGTAGTTTGGTCTAGGCCTGATCCTCCTTCCCATTGCCCCCCACAAAGACAACAGCTGATCCTGTTACCGTGACGGGCCACCAACCAAGCATTGCACCCTGGGAAGGCCCAACCTGCCTGACCCTCGTGTCCTTAGTGTCATAAAAATGCCTACATTTGGAAGAGTTGTGATAGTGTTTGTGTCCCTGTATTTTGACAGGCGTTGCCGAGGTGGCAAAAGTAATACTTCTCTGACCTTGATACTCAAGGAGTGTGACAGGTATGCCCCACTTTCCACCCCCTGTGTGAGTGTGTTTCTCTGTGTGTGTTCCCTGTTGTTGCCAAGTGAGGGGCGGATTAAACAGTGGTTAAGCACGGTAAAACCCTTTTGTATTCACTGTGGTCCAAACATCAACCTGAAGTCAAATCATCTATATTTGTAACAGATGTATTTTCACACAGAAACCACCTATTTGGTCCTGGACAGATTACAACACGTTTTTTCTTCTGCTGATGGGACTCCAATACCCCACAATTAGCTGAGCAGAGTCCCTCTCAAGTGCTGGAGTAACAAAAAGTATTATTCATCATTACTTTTTAGTGTTGAACCTTGTATGGAATGTGTATTGTATGATTGCTAAAATGGCTATCATATGCAGACTGACTCCTGATAATCTGATAGAGTTTTCAGGAGAACCTTATTTCAACATGAAAATGCTCTTACTTCAAGTTTTACTGCATTTAGTGATTTTGATTTAAACTGGAAGATAAATGCTGGATTCGAAACAGCCTATCAGGTGCAGTATACAGTATAATCCACTTACTTCATCCTGCATTTGAAGGTAGAGCACGCAGTATGACCCCGTTCATTTTTTCTTTTTTTTTTAACTTGTGTTTTTGAGCATTTTTGTTGGCTAGGAAAACTGAAGAAAGACAGGAAATGTGGGGAGGAGAGAGTGGGGGAAGACACGCAGTAAAGGGTCGTGGCATAGGGTCAAACCAGTAACTTCTAGGCAAGGACTACAGCCTCAGTTTAGGGGTGCTCTTAGAGCGCTTGGCCATTGTCACTTGACTATTCTGTTAGATCTGTTTGGCAGGATGCTTGGCCAGGCGTTGCTGGTTTTCAGTTTTGGACAGTGGAAAGAAGCACCCAGCCTATTGTTGCAGTGTAGCGTCCTCTTGTGGTTTAGAGAAAGTTGGAAAATTATTAATATAGAGTTTAATGATAACGTCCACAACTGACTAGTTACGTAGGGCTCCCCTAGTGTTTATATGTTGTTCTAGATATATAACCATAACTTGTTTACTATCTTTATGGGCTATTGTGACAGTTGGGTATTTTGCAGACTATACACTACATTTTGGCCTTCAAACTTCTGGCTGATATCTCTACTCCTCGTGGTTCAAGTTACCCGTTAGGACTGGAAAATTAGAGATGTACTTACCAGCATTGCCACTATTGCCTGGATTGCAGGACAGAAGTTTGCTCCACTTTTCCTTATAAGGAAATAGTGAGGCCTGAACCATCTCCAATACAAGAAGCTCCTCAAGCTGTTTTTGCATCTGTGCCTCATCTCCCGGCCTAGGATGTAATCTGCTGTTTTTGCCACAGGGTCAACAAGCAAGGGTGAAATGTGCCAGACTCTTGTTCCACATATTGATCTGATGTTATGGGGTTTTGACAAAATCAGAATCAAGCATTTACCACAGCCGGTTATAACATTATCTAACAGCTGTAGACTCTACTTCTAACCTTAGATGGACTTAGTATGATTGTTCTCATTGCTGTATGTCCTATCTTAGTGCATTAATTTGTTTCTTACTTAAATATAAGCTGATTAACCAGAAACAAGTTTAACTAATGTGTGTGGCAGACCACAATATTATCCAACATCCTGGGTCAGCTAAAGCCTGTGCCCGGATAAAAGTTTTTTTTTTTTTCACTTAGTAACTACTTTTTTGTTGTGCTTTTGAATCCATACTGGCACAAAATGAATAATTAAGATACAGCCCTGAGAAGTGCAGTGGGAAAATAGTGACTGTTCACGCTTTGCCAGCTTTGCAAATGTCACTCTCTCTCTCCTACCAGCACACTGTTTCTATCTGCGATTACAAAGTTAGACATAAAATGGAAAACCACTTTACATTACATTTTAGGAAATCTTGGATTCTGCATCTGAATAACTTTTTTTTTCCCACACTCATGTGTTCCCACATTAACAGCCTGGAGATTAACTCATGTTCTCCTCTGGATCAGTTTTTCCTGGAGGTGTATTGTTTTGGTGAAAAGTTCAGTTAAGCTGTTTCACTGTGAAATCAGTGAGTCATAAATGTCATTTGCGGTTTGGATGGAAATGGTGTAACGGATACATCGTTCTGACAGGAGGGTGGGAGTTTGAGAGTGATGGAGGGATGTAGTGGCTGACTGCTACACGACGAGGAGATGGAGGTGAGGAGGTTAGGAGTCCACAGAGGTGGAGGAATGTGGGTTGGAGCCAGCGATGATACTCCATAGCAAATCTTTTAGTCTCACATGCTGGCCCTTGACCTACACTTCCCCCCTGCTACTGCCAAATGGTCAAACTGATGTAGTCCAGTAAAGACAGTGATGATGGCTATGCTAGATTTATGACTTATGTATTTTGTATCGGTCTAAAGAAGTCAAGTGTGTAAATGAGGCTTCCCTTCCTTCAGCTGTTTCCCTTAGTTACTTTTTGGCCTGTAAAGCTTCCGCCTCAGTGTACCACTTTGCATATAAAACAGGATAGATAAATTGTGTTAAGGAGTTTCCAGTTAGAATGAAAATATGTGACAACTTTGTTATGACTCTGTCAGACAGCACAGACAATATTCAGGTCTGCTGTTGGTGTGACAGCGCAATTACGAGTCTGAATGAGTCTCTCAGTGGTTTCAAAATAACACAAAATTTGTTCAGTTCCTCCAGGCTGTTGCATCTTATGACGAAGAGTCTGCTGCTACCACTAGTCATTTCTTTGACAGATAATTATAATTTTTCCTTGTATTTGTTGTTTGATTTCTGCACCTGAAACTGCATATAAATTACCAAGGGGGGTTTCCTTTGTAAACCTATGCTTTGAGATTTTGTCCTATCAAAGTATGAACTCTGTTGCTCTTTAATACAGCTTTGCATCATCTAATTACTGAATCAGATGAGTCTTTAAAGCCATCAGGCTATAGCCTCAACTCCTGACACCTATGGGCAGATGCAGGATTGCCCTCATGTGACAACAATACTTTCTCCTATTTTGTGAAACGTCAGAAGAAGACTTTTCCTCACAAGTCCTGGTGCTGAACCATCACTTGTTAAGAAAAAAAGTAATCAGGTTTTAGCCCCATTGTTGGAAATTCCCTTCAGACTAATGTATTCAAATTGATCTGCATCTGAAGGCTCATGATGACAGCTGGTAATGTCAGTTAATTGCAATGAAAGCTTATGACGAAATCAAGGTCAAGACTCCATCAGGAAGATGCTACTGTGTTAACATCTGTCTGTGTCAGCTGTTGGTGCATTTTGCCTCGAAGCGCCAGTTTGTTTGTACATCAACATTAAGATGAAACAACTTTGAGATTATTCGCTTGATAAAACCCAGAGATAAGAATGTCTTACCAAAGAGAGACACACACCTGATTTCTTCCTGAAACACACTTACAGAGAAGGTGAAAGTTAAAACAAGGACTAGGCTATTTATTGGATTTATGTGAGTATGTGAATGCAGATTGAGCTAGAATAAATATAGTAACAGCGCTGAAGAAAAAGAGCGACTTACAGTCAGACCACATGATATGATGGATGACACACAGGCACATGCTTCATATTTGTCCCATTAGATGTTTACTGATAAATGCTCTCACCAGATTGTGGAAATATGTGGTGTGTGGTGCTTCTCAACAAGTCAGAGCATCGGATTAACAAAAACATTTCTGATTTCTGTGTCAGGAAAACATGACTGAGGTGTCTGAGGTGGTCTCATCTGGTTTCTCACAGCCTGTGCTTTATACCTCCCACTGTAGACCCTTACTATCTCCTCATCTCAACTTGAGTTACTCTTGATTTTTACCAGACATGGTAATACTGGACTGTTATTGCTTCAAATTACGGAGGTGGGCTGATAGAAGTAGCAGATCATGAGTCAGATCCGACTGTAATTTAGAGTGCCTGTGTAGCTATACCTCAACTTTGAACCTTTTTCCTGAAGGAACAGATGCTTTATGCATCTCCTCTCCTGCAGCTCCTTCATGTTGCTGCTGGCGGTTATTCTGTGACAATGAGAATTGTTCATTCATGTAGCTGCTATTCTGCTCAAGTATCTCGCAAAAAAAAAAAAAAAAAGGCTTAATCTGATAACTCTGAGAAGGAAACAAGCGAGGCCCGGTCACATGCCTTTGTTCCCATAAGGAGGAGAGGAGATATGCTAGTCTTTCAATGCATAGCTGAGTCTGGGGGTAGATTAAGACATTTTTAGCTGATATGAGAGCAGATCTGTTGTCAGGTTTCGGCATCTCTGAGGCCTCAGGGCGGCAACATCCGACAGTCTCCATATGTTCAAATGGCAGTGACGTAATGGAGAAGTCAGAGATAAGGCTTAGCATGGAAGCAGGACAACAATAGAGACAAGCTTTGTCTATTAGATGTCTATCATCTGAAGTGTGGTATGATAATGAGGCTTAGGAGCTCCATTAGTTTGGTGCAGACTTGAATAAGGGCTTAGAGTTTCTTCTCTTTCGGATTAGCTGCTTCATTTATGTATCTTATAAAACCAGCTGTATCTCTGATGTCAGTGTTAATTTTACAACAAGGTAATTTCCTCTTTGGGGACCAACACTATCAGCATGTGTGCAGCATGCTCAAATTGAAAAGCCTTTGTTAAAAAGGGTGTGAAATAGAGCCTACATGCACACACTCTTCCTGCATTAGAATAACCCTGATGGGTGCATTGTGTCACTCTGTGATAGCGGGCTTCTTTGTATGGATTATAAACATCACTTCCAGATGTTTCCATGCAGCAGGTGTGCAGAAATGTGTATGTTTTTGTATTTCTTGGGTGTTAATGTTGGGCAGGACGGGTACTTCTGTTTCCTAGAGGATCTATCTGCTGCCACCAACAGCTCAAATGATCTCTTTATCTCAACATCTCCTTCATTAATTAAGCGTTAATTATTTATGCTCCTCAGACGATGCAGCATACTGACTTGAGATACAGAACATATGTTGTCGTAACTCCTGTGAGATTTTAAGCCCACCCTCAAAGAGAATTAGACTTTTTATCATGTGACTTTTCTTCTGGCCACATCTTCAGGGTGATATCTTTACATTCCAAAAGGCTGCTTTAAGCTGAAGTTATATCAGCCTCAGATGTACTTAACATTTAGTGCTTATCAGATTCAAGCGTCACAGAAAAATAAACTCAACTACTGAACATGCTCTGCAAGTTATCTCCCAAGTGTTTGTATGCAGTTTAAGTCATCCATGAGTATGGCATCCTAGACCAGCGATCATGGTGTTATACCTTTCTACTTAAAAGACTAAACTTTGTTTTCTTTTTCTTTAGGTCAAATATGAACTGCAGCTTTTTATTACAAATTTCTTATTCTGGATGTGGTCTAAGTAGGGCAGTGACATATTTATTTTGTCAGAACATTGTTACATGAAATTTGACCTTCCTGCTGATGCACAAGTTCAAAAGTAAAATACAAATATTTCTTTTGGAGATATTTAAAGCTGTAAAATGCAAGAAACAACAGGATGTAAAGGGGCATCCTGTTTTTTTCCTGCAATCTAGTGTACTGACATGCTATTCTTAGTTTTGTTTAACTTTAAAAGTGATGGTTACACTCTGAAAGTAAGAGTGATAGGACACAAAGCTGGACACATGTATTTGGTGCAAAAGTCACAGAGGTCACTCCTTGTCCTCACGTGCTGATGCTATTCCCAGATACCGGAGCACTTATGAGGGAGACGCAAGGCTGACCTAACCCCTTCATGTCTTTGTGAGCTAAAAGGCAAGGAAGAGGCCTTCCTCCTTTCTAAAAGAATGGCTTCCTAAACCCCACATCCTGTGGCACTGTGCTGCACATTCACTGAGGAGCCCCAGGCTGAGCTGAACAACTCTGAGCCCTGCAGCAGCTCACATGAACTGAACTGGCCCATTTTCAGAGAAAACAAACATCTCAACAAAGTCATTGTTGAGACTCCCCCAGCCCCTCTGTACCCTTTCTCTTTTCACCCACTCTGAATATTTTCTCACTCTGGCTGCCTAAAATATCAAAATTTTGTGCAGAGAAACTGAGCAAGCTCTAAATTATTATCAGGTTTTTATTCTTGGGACAAAGACGTTCAACTAAAGAAAAAAAAAAAGACATGCAGGGATAAATGGACCGATACCGTCTGAACAATATATATATATATATATATATATATATATATATATATATTCATATATATATATATATATATATAAAACACATAATATTACATTATATCTGCCATCGACTGACCTAATTAATTATTGGCGCATGCATTGTCTATGAAAGCTTGTGTAGACTGCGTTAGAGACACAGCACCCCCTGTGTTGAAGTATCAGAAAATCTCTATCCTTACCAAAGAGCCAGCTAGTGGGGGGCAAGACTGTAATCAGCTGTCCTTAGCTGGAGTGCTTGAGTATGTGTTTGTAGTTAGAGCCGGAAAGTCCCCTCTTGGGCCAAAAGATAAGTAGGACTCTTGCCTAATTTGTTAACAAGGTAACATTTCATTCACATGGACATCCTTTCAGACGCTGAGGACGAGCCACCTTATCAAGATGACCCTATATTGAAAGCTCTGTTTGAAAGTCTAAATCCCCCCTAATGGTCTGACCGGAGGTTACAGGTCAACAGGATGAGCATGTGAGGGTCATGTGACTGATTACCAGGTCAGGGACCTTTGTAATCAAAGGCAGGGATATTGTTTAGGATCATTTAGAAGCATTAAAGTGCCGGGGCTTTTACCTAATTACTGTTGAGTGAAGAGTGACCAGTTATGGTTTGTAATTAAATCTAAATAAGTTTGACTGTTTTGTTAAGAAAGTACAGCCTTTAACCAGTGGCTTTTTGGCTGTAGCATATCTTTACTTTTTCTATTTTGCATCCTTATTCCTCTGATTTAGATTTCTTTTTGTATTTTTTGCATCTCGTCTTTTCACTTCTTTCTACTACTTTTTTTATGTCTCTCCTCTTGTCATTAATTTTTTTTTTTACCTTTTTCTCTGTTCTCCGCTCTTCCTACTCCTTTCTTGTCATTTCTTTATCATTTTTAACCAAAGTATTTTTTCTTCTTAAAATATTCTGTGAGGAATCAGCCCAGAACTATTTAATGAAATCATGTCCAACAGCTTGAGCCACAACATCTACTCACACAAGCACGTTTCCTCCAAGCAAAGCCTGAGAAGTTGTCTAAATCAATTTTCCCATTTGTAAAGTTAATTTTGCACGTGAGAATTCCATGGTAGACTGTTGACATGGTTTTCCCTATGAAGAGGACTGTACAGTGTTCTTGTTTCATGCAGCATGTCCGCTGACATGTTAAAGAGTTTCTGCACTCTCAGGGGACGAGTGAGGTTTGGCTGCCCCGTTCCTGAGTGACAGTAAAGCTCTGAACATGATGGGAGTCTGGGTTAGCTAAGACTCTGACGTGACCTAGATGGCGCCTGTGATCGGGTGTGATGTTTCTTTTGGTACAAATATAGTTTTTCTCAACTTTGAGATCCCAGCTCTTAAAGCTGTTCCGCTCTCTTGGTCCCAAATTTGATGACAGGCAGCATTAACCTGGTCATGCTTGGTCATGCGTGCTGACTTGGGAGTGCTCTGTAAACCTTGGTCATTAGGCCAATGTGTGTGTGTGTGTGTGCATGTGTGTGTGTGTGTGTGTGTTTGCATAGGCACATTCCCATATGTTTCATTCGGGGTAAAAATTTGCTCAATCATTTTCAGTGTTTCATGGCAATTTTAGCATTTCCCATGGCATGACGATTCGACCTTTAAAAACACGCCATGTTTTGTTTGTGTGTGTGTGTGTGTGTGTGTGTGTGTGTGTGTGTGTGTGTGTGTGTGTGTGTGTGTGTGTGTGTGTGTGTGTGTGTGTGTGTGTGTGTGTGTGTGTGAACAGCCCTCTGTAGATCCATCTGCTTTTGGTTACAGAAGCCTTGAATGATTTTTGTGGTTTGATGAAAACCTGCTGCCTACAGCCAGAACAGGACATGTTTTACATCAGGTCAGTCTCAGTAAATATGCGCTGCAGGACTTCTTAAAATAAAGGAAACAGAAAACATAGCTCTGTTTTATTGCGGAACGTACATATAATTTGTCTTAAGGTATAGGACCCTGGACTATGGGCGGGAGGTCAGACTGAAGTAATCACTGCGTCTAATGACAAGTCAAAGAAGATTTGATCCATTTCAGACATTATGAGCGTTTTGACTTATAGGAAGAGTTTGACATTTTAACAAGAGTCAGACAAACAGCTCTTATGTGCTAATGAGGGACTAGCATGCTAAGCACCAAGACTGAAAAGTTATTTTTATACATTTATATTCAGCGAACTCATCATTAAAGAGTGAGGCAGGCAGGGTTGTGTCAAGGGGCTACCAGTGGGTGGCCCAGGCCCCAGGTGCCACCCCAAAAATTGCGTTAAAATAAACAGTTTGGCATGCTTAGCAGATTCCTATTGTATTTCAATTTCATTAATTATATTTCTGAGCTTGTAAATTGTGGGAAAGTTCTTCAGACACTCACTTAAAAAGACAGGAAATCAGTCCAGCAAAAATGACCTGAAAACTTTTCACACTGCCGGTCAAAACTACATTTATCTTCAAAAGAAACCTATCATGGGAATTGTAGTTATTCCTTTTGTCAGTCTGAGATTATTTGCTTCTATTTTAGTGATAAAACGTAGAGAACACTTGAAGGTTTTACTTTTCACACAGATTTGTGGTCGCAAAATGAACTTATAGTCTACAAAATACATCTAAGTTTAGCTGTTGGCATTCACTGAGCTGACCCATTAAACCTTGTTGGCATATGTTAGCTAGTGTTACATTAGCTGCTGTTTTAGTGTTACTTACAACTTGTGGTTCTAATTCTCTATGGTGGGTCTTTATCAGTGGATCAACCAAGTTTCAGTTACAGTTAGCATACAATACAGTTTGTGTCGGCCTCTGCAAACAGTTGTGTTATTGTACTGAAAACATACAAAACTTCCAGCGGTTTTCTGGCTAGGCTGGTCATCTTATGTCGTGTTATAGCTATAGGTTGTGCACGAGGTTGCATCAAACTACCCTTACTGGTCTAATGCAACAATTCAATAACACTATGGAGTTCCTTAGGGTTTGATTTAAGAGTATATTTTTCTGCCTTAAATGTAGGATGAAACCTTCAGGCACGTGTTAAAGTCACTGATAGAAAATATGGTCCAAACATTAAGCTCACATGTGTAGTTTATATAAAAAATGAATTTACTTTATATGATATGAGTCTTGGTATGAAAGCAATGCTCTTCCATATCATACAGCGCCCAGTGTGTGCACGTGCAGCACAGCCTCACTCAGACACACACTTGCACTGTTTACAGAGCAACTTGCACCAAGTTTCTTGTCTTCCAAGTATGGCAGTCTGACAGAAAAATTCCCCTCCTCCACTTGTATTCTCTCACCCCGGCCTCGCAGTACCAGAGAAGGATAGGAATGTTAGAGCAGCACAGTGCAACTCTGAAAAAATGTATCTATCCTCCTCCACTCATCTTTTAGTACTTAGCTTCTCTGCTGTTTCCTTGTGTGAAGCTCAAATGGACTGTGGGAACGGCATAGTTGTGGTCAGTGTCACCTGTGATCTTTTTGACCATGAGGAGAAACCACAAATAATCACCCAAACCACAAAAAAGCAGGAACGAGCCAACAGGGAAAAGAAACTTTCTCTGACTACTGAATCAGCTGAGTGTTAGCAGCAATGCTACTAGCTGAAATGAGTGTGTTGTCTTGTGTGTGTGTAGGACAGTATTTTTGTTTAGGAGTTTCCTCCTACATTTACAATAAGGTATTCCCTTCCCTGCTTTGCAATGTGCTCTAAAGCTGTCTCATTTAGTGCTGCATAATTAGCTCTGCCGCCGAAACAGATCCATCTGACATTTATGGAGTAAAACTATCCTGATTGTCTCCATATGGAATCCATGATCCACAGCTCAACCCCATAAGCATGTCTCAATACGGTGACGCACACAGGTTAAACCTCTTTGGGTGACTCTGCCATGTTAGTAAAGATGCACAGGAGCCTGTGAATCTCCTTCAAACACAGCAAAGAAAAAGAAGAGCTGTTATTGTTTCAGTGGGTCTCACTGAATCCACAAAAGAAACCCAGATGTTTGTGTGAAAGTTCATGGATACCTTCAATTTTACAATGTTGCACAATACAGCTGGGACACAGCGCCAAAGTTTCATCGTGTGCCTTTAAGAATAATTGCATCAGCCAAGTTGAAACCAACCCAAAACGCCCAAACCATACAACAAAATATTGTTAACACAAAAATAAGTGATGCAACAAAGTGGCTAAATTGTGGATCTCTCCCCACATTGTTTAAAAGCCAAATGGTAATATAGAAGTATTTTCATGCTTGACTCCAAAACAACTGAGTCAGAGGAGGAGTGACTGTCCAAACCTTGAGGATTTATTTGACTTTGGAGTTTTTATTGTTTCCGATTCATGTGAGAAAGACAGACTGAAAAACAACAATAAGATGCCCTTTGAAAAGACCCAGGAGAGTGGCTCAATGAGTCGCATGACAACCTGAATCCTGCAACATTTAAGCTATAGATTTTATTTTTTTTTATGACATTTTATTTTTACCATTAGATCCCATGCTAAACAATCTGGATTTTGCATTTCTTGATCAGCACCCCCTGTGTTCAGACACCAATCTGAGCCACTCAGTAACAAAAACAAGCGAGGACAACCATCCACTGTAGAGCAGGTGTTATTTATGATGGCCTGGTAACTTACTTAGAGTTTGCTCTTCTGGGGTTTCCCTTTTTGCTGTACATGTACCTATGAAAAGGCATTTGACCCATATCTCTTAGCGTTTCAGCATTATGTCTTTGCTTTGTTGTTAAGAATTGTAGTTTAATATGCCATAAGATACTCCACGCATCTTCCACTCACTCCACGTCCATTGCCTTGGTCCACCAACAAATATACCTCATCTTAAAGTTTGGGTCACTGGCACATTTTATGATCATCTTTTACACTGCTTGGTTGAACCATGTGCTTTTCTTTCCTTTTTTATGTATGAGCCATGTATTATTGAAGATAACTGGAAAGACTTTAATCACAATCTAGGTTAATGTATCACTAATTAGTAATGTGGAAGCACTTCAAATCACAGCTTTATAATGGCCAAATATTGCAAAGCTAAAAACTGTGAGAAAAGCAATTAACTGAAGCTCGAAAAAGTCAAGAAAGAAAAGTGTGTGCATTTGAGTGACTTATCTGGTTTCCTCTTTCATATCAGTGTGGAAGGAAGGCTCCTCTCTGGAGATAAACTCTGGGAATTTTCGGTCAAATCATTTTCCATGGCTGTAAAGATTTTCACAATATACAGACTCAGGAAAACTTTTGTTTTACTTTCTGAAAAAGCAATAATCTCAAGATTTTTCCCCCTGGTATGACTCTAGAAGGTTGTCAGCTTCACATATTTATAGCTTGACTTGTTGACAAAGTAGACCCAGACCACACTTTAAACTTTCTCATGGTTATGTTGTCTCTGAGTACATCTATATGTTACTGCTGCGAGTTTGTTGTTCAGTTTGGACATAGTATATGAAAAGAAGAGGCTGGATGTGAAATGACAAACTTCTCCCACACAGTTTCTTTCCTCAGGGGTGTTGTTAGATATTTCTGCAGAGGTTGGGGGGTTATGGCAGGAATGTGCCTGGAATGTAATGTAGTTTTCAGAAAAGATCCTATAGTCTGCATGACATTGGCCAGATGTTTGTGGGATCTTCACTTTACCTCTATATAGTAGGATAGACATACTGAAAAACCTGAACCTGTTCTTTCTGTACAGTCATTGTTCTACTGTGATGGGAACTTTTCTGCCACCGTGTGGTTTTAAGTGGTACTGCTGTGATATTAACTACAACAACTATATATGAAACAAATGTTAAAGGCAAAGAAAGATGAAAATCAAACTATTTTACTTATCAGCAGAAGAGATTTGGACATTTAGGAAAGCTGAAGAGGTTTGTGTGATATGATTGAAAGTTCCAGTAAAGAGAGAAATTTGTGAATTATCAGTTGCGATTTATAAAATTAAATCCTGCTTATTTTCTTGTATCAGGCTGTGCTTTTCTCAGCCAGGTTTTTCTTTTTTCTCTTGGATCCCTTACACAAGAGCTCCATACACTCACCCTTTGGTTTACATCAGTGTTGTTTGCATTAAAGTCAAAATCACCCCTTTCACATTAACATTAGTCATCACTTCCTCTCTCCTGAGTGCGTCTAAGTACTGAACTTGGTGTCCAATGATGTCAGACATATCGAGCAAGTGTTGTTGAAAGATCAGGGCCCTCTGGGATGAGGTCTGGACTGATGTAACCTCTGATACATAAGTCTGCACACTGGGATACATTCAACCCTGTGAAAGTGTCTCATTGCACACAGTTTTGTCCTCCTCCCTTGTTGGCATCTTTTGTGTCTATCTCAAATTCTGTCAAAGCAAACTGTCTGGTCTGGGTTTCCCTGCCAGCTCCAGCAGCAGTAAACAATCACAAACACGCTGTCATAAACACATGATTATGATAAGTCACTGTTTTTGCACGGCGCCCAGTTAACATAAACACTCTGCCACTGTACGTCATGATGATTTTTCACAGTTTGCAGATATTCAAACCTGCCGTCCTGCTTAAAGAATCACATAAACACTCATCCAGAGACACGTGAGACTGCAGAGGTTTACTGGATCTGATACAGGCTCTCTAAGGTCCAGTGACTCACCAGCTTCTGTATATCAACACTCATCACTGCAGACTCTCAGGCCTCAGCTCTGTCTGTTTGCTCTGTGCAGGATCAGGATGTTTGGACAGAGTGACATCATCGTTATCTCCTGATTTTCTCACACGTGGACACCGGGAACTGCCGGAGCAGTGTGTGCCACTTTGTAAAAAACCTTATTACATGTTTATGGAAAGCATTTGTTAACACTTGATTCATACTACATTGACATTGACATTGACTGTAACAGTAATTATCTTGTTAAACTGATTTTATGCAAGTGTAAGGGTGTCTTTCGATGATGGTTAAGACCCTGACTGTTTCTCTCATCTTGGAGATGGAACACAGAAATCAGGTCAGTCACCAATAATCTTCCTCTAGAGACTTAAATAGTCTTATCAACACTGCTTGAAGTTCATGGAAAATATTAAGGGAGGGAACTGTGGGTAACTCATGATATAATGTGAAAGGTTACAGCACCATACGATTCGATGCAACGTGATGCAATACAATACGATACAATATAATACAATATAATACAATACAATACAATATTATACAATATGATACAATATAATACAATACGATACAATATGATACAATATATTATGATACGATTAAATATGATACCGTGTGATACGATACAATAGGATATGATACGAAATGATATGATATATACAATACAATACAATATAATACAAAATGATGCGTACAATACAATAGGATTTGATACGATATGATATGATACAATACAATATGATACAATGTGATACGATGCGATACAATATGATACAATGGGATACAATACGATACAACATAATACAGTACGATACAATATGATACAATACAATACAATACAATACAATACGATACAATGTGATAAAATGTGATACAATACAATACGATATGATACGATAATCGGAGGAAAGTCAAGTTATGATATGTTTTGATATCTGATTTACTTAAGAATATGAAACACCATGAAAAAATGCACTATCAAAGTATTTAAAACAAGCATAAGGAGTGATGCAGCTATGATGTAGTGAGCCAAGAAAGGTACATTTCTCCCAAGGTATCATGTCAAATCTAATTTAATTCAAAGTATTGCCTAAAAATCTCAGTTCAGAGACCTGATGGCATCTAACCTGGACCCTTTAATTCAATTCAGAACAACATAATGAAAGCAGCAGGTGTGTCTTGTCTCTAAAGATGGTCAGACATGCAGTTTTAGAAGAAAAAAAGAATAGGAGGAGATTGAAGTGAAGGCTTTTACAGCTGCTGCTCCTGCGTTTTATCCACCCTCCTCTCAGTGATTTAAATCTATAGAAATGGCATTTATGTTAGAAATGTTCCCCTAGCTTGTGGTAAAACCAGATAATCAGCGCCCTCATCATCTGCTTAAGTCCTCTTAAGACCCCCATTTTCTGCCCAGATACCATTGCAGACGGATATCTGGTCTTGGGCTGCAAGGCTCATTAGCAAGATTCTCTTTTTGTACAGATGTCAGTTGGGTCTTTGTGTTTTATCTCCCATCTGGTGTTTGGGTTCATGCCAGTTCGTAACGGATGCGAGACGAAAACAAACGGGAGAAATCAAAGAAGCGCCGCTTTCATCTACCTGCAGATTGCTGCTCTGTGTTTGGAGGAGCAGCAGCAGACATCACAGGGTGGTGGCCTTTCATCACAGGCGAGTGTCTTCATCATCAGGTCTGTTTCAGGCTCGGGTTCACTGGTTGTGCCCCCCTGATCATGCAAGGGGTCTTTACTTGGTTTAATTATGCTTCAAAGGGAAAATCTAACAGAGCGTAACAGGTGAATGATAAAATACTTCAGCGATTTTTAACTTGAGAAGCTGTGATTTACTTGTGTGGTTTGCTTCCTCTTTGTGTTAGCGTGTCTTACTTCCTTGGTGGGACAAAAAAGTGTTAATCCAGCACCAGGAGCCCTTATTGCAGTGAGCCAGCAGGTTAGCCATAATAAAACACACATGTGCTCCCTTCTGAGAGTCAATATCCCTTTTTCCTTGTTAGTCTTGTGACACTAATCTGATCCGAGGCAGGTGTTCTTGAGGTTAACCTGAGCCGAAACAGGAATTAATCCTGTGAAAGAAAAATACATAAAGGGCCAGAGGTGGAGAAGTGATGTAAAGGTGTTTTAGAGGGGGGCGGAAGGAAATGATGTATAGCAGAAGGGCCACACGTGTTATATACAGCAAATAGTTGAGAACAAGGGTTTGGCAGGGTGGGGTCCTGACACCGGGGTCTATTTTCTATTGTTTCCCATGGATTAAGAGCCACAAACTGGGTCAGTTACCACGTATGTTGAAAATGGCGTGTGAAAAGACAGACAGAACAAGCTACAGAAAATGTAGAATTAAAAATGCCCATGTCTGAGATGTCAGTGGGAAAAGATTGCGATGAATGGTCATAAAGCCATTATTTGTTGTCTGTGTGTGTGTGAGAACAAGAAACAGACTGAGAGAAATATTTGTGGGTAGTGTAGCTGTTCACTCTCTGAACAGGCCAGTCCAAAAAAAACTGACAGGCTTTTGGCTGGACGCCTCGCACGTGAGTCTGGAAACAGCTGGACGGTGGAGCGAGGGAGGGAGGAGTAGAGGAGCAATAGAAGACAGAGCCAAGGCGGCGCAGGCCAGTTCCCAGGCTTTGGCCTCTAGAGACCCCAGAGCAGAGGAAACACAGGGGAGGGGGTCTAAATGGGCTGAGAACAGCTGCACCGATGTCCTTATGCCTGCATTGTAAAACAAAGTCCAAAGTGGCTTTTCATATAGCTTAAAGGACTGAAGCCTGTCTTTGTTGTAACCGAGTTAGTCAAAACTACAAAATCTGTCAGCTCCTCTCATATCATCTGAAGTCTACATCTCAATGGATGTCATTTTACTCTATTTTCATCACTACAGTATTAAAGCTAAGGCGCTCCATCAACACTAAAAGATTAGCAACAACTGCAGGTGATTCCCATCCAATTCATCTCACTCATGTAGTTAAGATGTAAAGTTAGAGGTTTCCCACCATAGTTTACATATTTATACAACAACATATGGTAACTATGGGTCGGACGAGTTAGTTGAAATGAGCCGTGCTGCTTGTAGAAAAGCAATGATACAGAATTCTCAGGTCCTGTTATTCTGTTAGATGTAGCAAAATCACTAGCATCTTTTGGTTCATCTTTTTTTTTATTGTTAAAGCTATCAAACAAAACAATATATGAGATAGCTAATTTGTTAGATAGCAGCTGAATGTATGGAAGAATAAATCAGTGCCAACAGTTTTGTCATGCAGGTTGATTACATTTGAATTCTGTGTTTAAAGCACAGATCTAGTCTCAGAGTTGTCCTCCAGTGATTTCTGAGGCAGAGTTGTGAAGCCTATCATTGGTAGTTGAAGTACCAGAAACCTGAACCGTTCTTTAGATTGGCCTAGAAATAATCAAAGAGGCAGAGATAAAGGGGGTCTATAGCTCCCTGGCTAATGGGTACAAAGCGCCCTGATCCATGCCTGTGAATCTGCCTGATTCTGCAAAATTGTTAGCCTTTTATCTTACATCCATGTGAGTTATAGAAGATTTCACTTCCTGTGCAGCATGTATGAATGAAGAAATGGGCTAATCAGACAAAATTTAAAAAAATCTCTATATACTAGTGTATGAATATCTGAATATGTCTGCTGTGAAATGGACATTGTAATGTGGATGTTGATGGAGTGTCCTGTGCTTTTTTTAGCCAGCCTCAAATGGTCACTTGAGAAACTTTGGTCTTCGCAGTTCTGCATTGACTTCATTTTTTAAACAAAGTTGGCTTAAAGCTCTTTGTCATCGTCCCCAATGTGTTTATAAGTTCAAGGATGCACACTTGAGATGCCTTTGAGAATGTAGAGAAGGTGGTCTCTTGATTCATCACTGACTTCTTCTTGGATTCCTTTAACATTTCTGAACCTATAAACGCTCATCTGTGGGATAGATCAGCAGGTGTACATGAAAACACTGCACAAGTCTGTCTGAAGCCCACTATGATGATTTACAGTGTCAGTGGGATATCTATCAGCCATCTGGCACAGGGACGTGGCCCCAACATGCTATAAAAGAACGAAGAGGTTGAAACACTTAACATGTGTGACGGATGACATCACATGACCCCTGCAGGTGTCTGTTGTACTGTCAACCAAATAAACATTTGTTTCCTTGTCCGACATGATGCTAGATGCTTTTTAAATGTTTTACCCTTTAAGTGATGGTTTACTCATCCTTATATTTCTCTTTTTCCTCAGGGTTGTGGGACATCGTGTGGAAAATGTGACTGCAGCGGTGTAAAAGGAGCAAAGGTGAGATTTTTATCAACACCTATTTGACGCAAAACTGCAAACCAGCCCTTATGTATTTCTCCAGTAATTTTACACACCTTCATTTATATGTGTTTCTGATGCAAAGTGCAGGTTGTGTAAGTTCATCACAGGCCAAAGCAAGGACAACAGCACATTATGTACTCTGTATAATGGGGTCAGCTCAGTGGGACAGACTTGAACTTGGTTTGGGTAAAAAAACAATGAATAGGACTCAGTCACAGCAGAGACCAGGACCAGAACAGAGATCAGTTTGAATTAGAGCATGTCCACATACACAGCTGGGTTAAGGCCTTATTCCCATCAGACAGGGGCTTTAGGGATACAGATGTACAAGTGGTGGAGACATAAGACATGAACTGGAAATCAGCCATTAAGCTGTCCGCGCTTTGGCACGAGTGTAAATCACTGACCAGAGCAGAAAGTTGGCAAAGCTTTTTCAACAAATCTTAAATGTGTTTCATTATAAGTAATGACATGAAAATAAAGACTATCTCGTTTTATAATTGAAAGTATTACCTCGGTGGACTTTTCTCAGAGAAACTTCCTTTCTTGTTCATGAAGGTCTAAAACTATTAACTGTGTAAAGAGTATTTTATTTTGAAAGGGATTTCTCCAGCAAAAAGTGGATTTTTTTTACCTTCTGTGAAGGGATTGCAGAAGACAAAGCATTTGCACCACACAGACAGTGTTTTTTTCTCTCAACTGTTCTCTTATCTTTGACTTTTTGTCATGAATTATGGGATGTTAAAAAAGGGAGACTATAACTTTGTATTATATTTCAAACATTTGGAGAAAAGTTGTAAATCAACGCTTTAATGTAGATTTATTTTTTTACTTCCACTCCTGCCGTGTGAGCGTACATGTGTATCATTGGCCCACTTCTATCAGACCACTGCAGAGTGTTATCTCTCCTCTAAGTGCAACAGTCTGGCCTTTTATGGCCCATTCTTGCAGCAACAGTAGCCAAACACTGAGCCTAGCCGACAACAACAGATGTACTGACTGTGTTCAGTGGATCCCGGCCAAATCCACTGTGGATTCAAGCCCCTCTGTGTTTGAAAAGTTGCTAAAAACCCCAAACAGCCTTCCGAAAAATCTCCTGTGAGTTTTATTTCGAATGATATCACTTCCTGACGTCGCACAATAGGAGTTGCCTTGGTAACTTGCTCTAGATTCCCATGACTCAAGACGCAGTGTTTCTCTTGACTGATGGCAGTCAGGTGTTTTGTGGTCTGGGACTGGAAATCATCCAAACAATGCTCAATATGGTTTCATTTAGTCTGCTGCTAAGCTGTACACACCACCCTAAGGCTTTGGCACGTTTTGGGAGATTTGAAGACATCTGGAGGAGGACTCCACTGTGTCAAACAATGCTGCCATCTGGTGGCAAGTGGTGCATAAAGCATGACTTTAGTTGCACATTTTTGGATCACTAAAAAAAATGCAAAAAAAAAACTTGGGATTTTTTTTTTTTTAAGAAACAGTTTCTCTGCTGCTTAGGTAATATTTAATTGAAACAACATTTTCACCCAAAAGTAATCTGAGTCTAAATTAGAATTTTTATTGAACAGATTTTTGATACAAGTTTGTGATTGGCTGTACGGTCCACAGGGGAGAGATTTAGGACACTGAAAGCCAAAGTTCTCAAGAGTGCTGTCCCTGGCATAGATCTTTAAAACTCAGCGGTCTATGTGTAGATGTCTTGATAGATGCTGACACTTTTACCTGGACTTTCATGCTTCAGGTGCCCTCGAACTGGTAGGCCAGCACCATACGTCTACTTGGTCTTCCCTTTAACAGCATGATAATTGGTAAAACTAGCTTTTCTTTGTCAATGTATCTCTCTACGGGGGAAAAGAAATATACCTTACTTTGTAGTTTTTAATTCATTGTAGAGACATTCAGTAAACATGCACACAATGTTCTTCAATAGTGCTGGATGTGACAGACTAAATATACATTATCCCCACATACTGGTATGGCATCGAGTGTGAGCATTCCCCACTGTTTCTGAGGGAATATCTTTGCAAACAGAGGAGAAAAACCTCTGTTTTTAAAAATACCTGCCTATGGTGGACTAGGCTTTACACTGACAATGAAAATACAAGGAAACACAGAAACACTGTCACAAGAAAACAAGACGAGCTGTCACATGAGGAAGTGTAGACCGACCTTTAATACACACAAGGATTGTAGGATTGTATCAAGACACAGGTAAAGCACATTGGGTAAACAGGATAGCATGGAACAGGTAGTCAAAGGACCTTGAATGTAGGTAGGTAATGAAAGATAATATCAGCAAGGTGAAGTGATACTAGTAAGGTGAGTAGTATTTTTAAGATAAAAGCATCCATGCTAAATTAAGATTAATACAAGTAGCCATGCTACTACTCTAATAAATACATTATATTTCAGTGTTAGACTCAGTCACTGACTTTGTTTTATGAACTTTTACTGCTGATTCATGTGATTTTTTCTTCAAATATCAATTTCGTCTCATCAAATCTTTGTCATAGTGAATATAACTGAAAGATTTCCATCCTTGTGTCATCGTCCTGTTCACAGGGTGAGCGTGGGTTTCCTGGTCTTCAAGGTAATATGGGATTCCCAGGGATGCAGGGACCTGAGGGGCCTCCAGGGTCAATGGGCTTTAAGGTAAGCGAACCCTCACACTGATAAAACATTCAATAACTTCCAATTAGTGGTTTCATCCAAGTCCAAAGCTGTGACGTTATAAACAAAACCTATCTCATAGCGATCATCTTAGAGCTTGGCACACAAAAACAATGATTGCTCTTTTTTACATTGTCATCTATGTCTTATAGGGAGATACAGGTGAACCCGGAACGACTGGGATAAAAGGAGTGCGGGTGAGTAAATAACTGCCATGTCATGATATATATGATATTATAAGTCAGTATGATATGAAAAGTATGAAACGACCTTTAACAGACTTCAACTCCAGAAATGATTGCTTGAGAGTTGGTATTATTGTGAGATGTTTATACTGACATATTTATGATCTTTCAGGGTCCTCCTGGTCTGCCAGGTTTCCCAGGCAACCCAGGGCTTCCAGTAAGTCTGATGTTTTTTTACATATTTAAGGTTACATTTTAAATACAGATAGTGTGTTCAGAGTGAGGTTGTTAAGACAGAGCAGAGCGGTCAGGTGCTAACAGCTGCTAAATGTCTCAAACTGTCTACCTGTGCAATCTTAGGGTATCAATGGAAATGACGGCCCACCAGGTGCACCAGGTATCCCAGGATGCAATGGCACTAAGGTAAGGCTCCTATTGATGTTTTTGTTTTCAGCAAAACACATTCTAATATTCTTCAATATGTGGTGTGTGTGTGTGTGTGTGTGTGTACTCTGAAACTTTGTGTGTGTGTGTGTTTCAGGGAGCCAAAGGAAGGGATGGCATTTCTGGTTTTCCAGGTGTTCAAGGACCTCCTGTAAGCAACAGTGTTTCACATGATACCACAACGCTTTAAAACTGTTTTTTGACTATCAAGATCGTAATACAGAACCAAGTAAAAGATGTTTGAAGCTGCAACATGATGAACCTTTTATGAAAGTATATTCTTCATGTGTTTGTGTTAACCTTGTTTTCTCTTTTTAGGGCCTCCCTGGAACTCCTGGAATGAAGGTCAGTCAAAATTTAAGACAACTTACTTAGCATTCAGTATGTGATGCTTAAATGGGATCAAACACTGACAGTAGCACTGACTGATATTGTTGCTGTCTTTGAGACAAACAACATCAATGGGAAACAGGATTGCACTGAAGAGAAGCAAAGGGTTGGCTAAAATTCACCAACAAATGCCAGCATAGTTAGTCAGGTGCATCTCTGACAAATGTACCTGTTATTATACCAACTGCAATAACAGTAATGTCGCCGCCTGCTGGCCTCTGATAAGAATACAGATTTAAGACTCTTCTACACTGGCTTCTCTCTGCAGACCTGGAGGCTCCACTCGCTTCATTATAAACAGACATGAATATACATTTATTGGTAGTATGATGCCATATGAGGTCTACCAAATCATTTCTCTATGTTTTTTTATGTGCCTCCTACAGGGTGACCCCGGTGGTGTGATCGGGATTGTTCCCCTCAAAGGAGACAGAGGCTTCCCTGGCACACCTGGATTACCTGTACGTTTTGTTTTATGTGTATGCATATGCATATGTGTGTTTGTGTATGTGTAGCAAAATGCAAACATATTTTACAAGTTTGGAAAGAGGCAAACTAAGAAAATGTCATCAGAATTATCATGAAACCTGCCACTCCTATGCATCTTTCTTTCTCAGGGATCAAATGGACTCCCTGGACCTACTGGACCACCAGGATCCCGAGGCTATCAAGGACCCAAAGTGAGTTATTTATAGTGATCAACTCCACTCACAGATAATAATCGACATGCTAGTCATTGTATAAAAAATATGATTTGTATTCGTAGGAACACATATTAGATCTGCTGTAATCAATTTGTTTCACTCGTGTCTGTTTACAGGGTGATCCTGGCCCCCCGGGACCCCCTGGAGAGAAGGTTGGAATAAAAATAGTCACATTAGAATTCGACAACTTTGATTTCACCCTGTCAAACATCCTATAACTTCATTGTTTCACCAACATGTCATTGATTTGTTTGTACATTTCCACAGGGTGACAGGCTGGCCTTTGTGAGCGAGAAAGGAGACAAGGTGAGAATTTTTGTTAAACTCCTAAGATCCTCCTAGACACTTGGTTTTACTTTACAATTTACACTTTAATGTAAACTAATGGGATTTTTTTGTCATCTCCCTGCAGGGTGACCGAGGCTTTCGTGGACCCCCTGGCCCACCTGGACCACCCTCACAAGGAGTGGAAGGAACCACCACAGTGCATGTCCCTGGACTACCGGTACTCACTAAGTCTCTAACACAGTAATAATAATGTTCCCAAGTACAGGTGTAAGAATACAATATGATAGAACCCGTGTTCATTTGTAAGAAAAATATTTGCAATATTTCCATTTCTAACAATGATGAATTTTGTATATTGAGCTCACAAATACATTTAAATTCATATGGGTGAGAGGTCAGTATTTATACTGTACACATATTTACATTTTAAAAATAAAATCATAAATAAGATCAGTTAAGTCAAGATAACGTACAGCTGATAAAGCGCGATGCTTTGAGGCAGATCTCTCAGGTCATACAACATAAACCTTTTAGTAAGAATAGTATTAATATTCAAACCAGTGTATGACAGAAAGGGTTTCAATGTTCTGTGGAACATGGAAACAGGCAGTGTATTTAACAAATAATCCACTTTATATGAAATAAAATATATGACCCTATGTTAATGTATGCTGTTGGGACCTTTTCTGTGCATAGTCTACCATATAAGGTTTGTATTTTGTAGACGTTCCTGTATTCGTTAGTGGTTGAGGTGTTAGAGTGATTTTTCTTGTTTTTTTTGTCCTCAAGGGGGACAGGGGACCTCAAGGAGACAAAGGAGAAAAAGTAAGTATTACAGTCTTTCACTATTACATTTCACTACTTTGCACTTTGTTTATAATCTTGATTTTTTTTTTGTCTGAATTCGAACATTATTTTCATCATTTCCTGTTTCCTTTTACAGGGCTACTGCGTACCATACCTAACTGGTATCAAAGGTGAAATGGGCCCACCTGGATCTGCCGTAAGTCTCTATGATACAGTATAATGGCTTGTTAAAGATGTAGTTTGATACTTTTTAGTATTTTTACAAACAAACTTTAATTTTTAATGTTAGGTGCCAAAGCTCATTGCTGACCAGGTTTTGAGTTGTGGGGTTAAAATGTACTGCAGTAATCCTCAGATGAGAGTGCAGGCTGCTCTGAAGGGCATATTAAAAAGATCACACAAGAATTAAATGAAGCACTTACCAAACAGACACATTCTGCTCAGGTCTATGAGAGATATTACTTTTAGCATTGCAATAGTGGAGGAGATTTCTGCAGTTCTGGATCAGTTCATTTTAAAGACACCAACCTCAAACATTTTTTTCATCTGTTAATCATGAATTAGCTATTCAACAAGCTTCAAATCTGTCAGAAAGATGAATGAAGCCTGAAATTGAGCATAACACCCTGTCTTTAAATAAAGAAGTTCAGAGGTGTCTTGGTAGAAATGTATGCACAACTTCATAAATACAGTGTAATGTTGCAGTATGTCTATAATACAAGTGTCAACTTAACTGTTTAACCCTATCGTTTGTATTTTAGGGCAAACCTGGCAAAGATGGAGATTATGGATCAAAGGTATCAATAACTTGCTGTATTGTCCGTCTATATTCCATCAGTGCTTCTTATATTACATGTTATCGACTATTTGTTGCTGAAGTATACACATATTTTTGTTAAAAGGGAGAAAAAGGCTTCCCAGGTTCACCGGGCTATCCTGGCTCTCAGGTAAATAATGTTCCCTTGATTTCCTTAGATCATCTTTGTCCTAAATAACATTATTTTTGAAGAGCAATAGTAATGGAGACTGAATTGCTTTTTTTACAGGGTGAAAAAGGAGAAAGAGGACCACCAGGCTATGTGAGTTAGCGCCCTCCACCTCTAGCTTTGACTTTCTTCATCACTGTGTATCTATCTCTTTCATCCATTTATAACTTTCCTCATCAGAAGGGTGATTTTAACAAAGCTACCAGCAGATGTCTCTGCATACAGAGGATCAAGCCTCAAATGAACAGGAGAATTCTTAGCAGTAATAGCTTGGCGAATAATTTCCATACGAGGGAGTTATGTGTCAGTAGAGGTCTTGGTAATACTTTAAGATGACAGCTGAACGATTTCAAAGATGTTACTGTTCATTTGGAAGGGAGGGTTTGTAAAAAGAACATGCTGAGTTGCATATATGTATACTTGTACTATGAAGGGAACTGTTTTTTTCTCCAAATAAGGGTCTAAGAGAGTAACACTAACTTTTTAAATGTTTATCTTTACCAGTTTATTCAGTTATTTAGAAATAGACCTTCCGTGTTCAACAGAAGTCTGACGAGGACCATAAAATGCTTTCGACCATGTTGGTGATCCATCTCTCACAAAGCCTACAGTTTCATGAAAAAGTAGAAAAGAAGATCTCAGTTTCTGGACAATCTTTTTAGATTTTCAACATTGTAATGATTTAATTTTAGGGAAGTGGTGCTCCCGGTTCCCCTGGTCCTCGTGGTCTCCCAGGGCAGCAAGGAGAAAAAGGTGAAGTAAGACCATGACATACCCAAAGCTTCTTCAGATGGATTCCCTCTACAACCGTGTTTTTCCTCCTAACTTGGTTTTGTGTAATCCACAGGCTTTCCTGGTCCTCAGGGAGAGGCAGGTCCACCAGGTAACGGAGCACAATTTTTCAGCACAGTACAGGCTGCAGGTGTGATGCGGACTTTGAAGTAACCAAACTGGCGCACTTGTTTTGTTCGTCAGGTCGGTACCTTGAGGGGCCTCGTGGAGAGCAGGGTCAGAAAGGAAGCCTGGGAGAAAAAGGAGACAGGGGCATAGAAGGAGAATCTCTTGTGGGACCACCAGGTCAGCCAGGATCCCCTGGAGCCCCTGGACTTCCTGGACAACCGAGTACGTCCTCTTAATCAGAACCACGGAAAATAATACAAATTATAAATTCATGAATCAACTAGGGACATTTCCATTTGGGACATTTGAATTGATATTTTAACAACTGCATGTGTATTTTTGTGTGTGTGTTCTTGTGTGTATGTGTGATGATATGACCAAACAGTTGACCCTAATGAATGCAACATTGAGAAAGGAGCTCCTGGCCCACCTGGACCTCCAGGTTTACAGGGAGAAGTGGGACAAAAAGGTAAGAAACTTTCAAATTAACCACTGAGCAAAATAAGTTAACCATTTTATGATATTGAATAACACTTCATGAATGCTCCTCCTTCAGGTGACAAAGGAGATACCTGTGTTCAGTGTGAGGGACACGGCCCACCTGGATCAGAAGGGCCCCAGGGTCCTAAAGGAGATCGAGGTAGGTGACCATTGATGGTGTCCACTGTGCTTGAAATTCTGATTCCACTTGAACTTTTCATTTCCCAAATCTAGACATTGCTGCTTGGTTAAGATCCAAAAACCACGTTAGCCTCTCAATATCTGTTTAACCTGATCATCATGTGAATCCCGTTTAACTGTTAACTGTAGTCAATGTCTACGATATTTCTGTACTGACTAACTACTGTTTGTTTTTAACCTTCAGGACCTCCTGGAACAGTAGGCAGCAAAGGAGAGAAGGGTCGATCTGGCTCTCCTGGAGCTCCTGGGAGACCTGTGAGTGAAATAATGTCTGAGATACTTGGGACAAGAAGACCTGTGTGAATATACAGTACATAATACACAGTTTTGGACTTTGTGCAGGGTTCTCATGGCACACCTGGGTTGATGGGAGCCCCTGGTGCTGTTGGTGACCCAGGGGACATGGCTCCTGGTCTGAAAGGGGACAAAGGTCTGCCTGGTGTTGCTGGCTCACCGGGACAGCCAGGACTGGATGGACAGCCAGGGAGGGATGGCTCCCCAGGTTTGCCTGGCCTCAAAGGAGAACCTGTAAGTGTGTGTCATTTGTTTGATGAGGGAAGTGTGATATCAGGGTATCCCAATTTGTGTGACTATTAAACTGATAATGGTTTCCATTGATGGTAGAATGAAAATGATAATCATATTATAATGAATAAATTTAACATAGAGAGGCGTTCAGCAGATAAAGAGTCTGGTGTTATATCAGAGGTTGGAGAAGACCAAAAGCAGAGATCATAAAAGAAGCAAATAATCTTTTTCCATCAGATCATTTTACCAAACATGTTTGTCTTATTTACCTCATAAAGGGAGATCAGTGTTGTACAGTTGTTTGTGTTAAACTCTTTTGGCCAATAAAATCTGTTATACAGGTTTAATTTTAACATTTTTTATGCATTAAAAAGTCAATTATTCCTGCATGCATCCTTCAGAATTCAAATACTTAATTTAATGTTACCAAAGAAAAGACACTTTTATGTCAATTTCAGGCCAAAGAAGGCATCAAGGGTGAGCGTGGATTTGATGGAGACCCTGGTCGTGCTGGGCTTCCAGGCGAGAGGGGTCCACCTGGACTGCCAGGCTTTGGTAGACCTGGAGATGCTGGAGAAAAGGGAAGCCAAGGCAGACCTGGCCTTCCTGGAACTCCGGGAGCACCAGGTACGACCAATATCTGTACACAGAGATCTGCAGATATCAAAAGTATCTGCTCATAAGGCAGTAAGGTCAAAAAGAAGTACAGTTATACTTGTTTTAGGTTTCAGATCTGAATGAAAACTGATGTTTGTTAACATCCAACTACCCACTTACAGGTGCTAAAGGGGAGCCAAGTGTGAGCAGTCCCGGACCTCGGGGAGAACCTGGAGCAAAGGGAGAATCTGGCAGACCTGGATTTCAAGGCAGGAAACATTTGTTTTAGGTTTTGCTGTAATGCAACAAAATCCTCAGAAAGTGGAGTAAATTTGTGAGCCTTAGCTCACCTTTCTTAGCTGAGATTAGGGTAGTGTTACAATCTGTGTCTACCTTGATTGATGTTTAGTTGGCACATGGTAACTGGTTACCATGCAACATGTTGTTGGCTTTAGGTGAAAGAGGTCTACCCGGAGATCAAGGGTTGCCAGGTTTCCCTGGTACAAAAGGTGACCAAGGATCTCCTGGTATTGGATTTCCTGGCCCAACTGGTCCCAAAGGTAAGACGGCCTGCGTTGACCCTGATCACTTTTCCATGCCTAGCTAACAGAGGTTCTGTGGATAGCACAAATTCAGAAAATGAAATAAATATAAAATATTATAAAATGTTTGTAGGTGTCGGTGGAATTCCAGGAACTAAGGGATCACCAGGAGAACCAGGAAGACCTGGGCAGGATGGTTCGACTGGAAAACCTGGATTACCTGGACTTAAAGTTTGTACTTCTTTGCAAATGTGTTTGAAATAAAAATAGATATGTGTGTATATCTCTCTACACATGGTGAGGATTTCTCACAAAAGGCTTGAAATGATCAGTTTTTGATAATGGGACACAAGTGTTTCAAGCACAAAGGGAACATTGTTTGGGAACATTACAAACCGCGCTCCAGCAAACAGACCTGTTGACTTTGCATGCACCCTAAAATGGTGAATCTGTAAAATCATGATTTCCAGAGCCTAAATTCAAGAATTATTCCTTTTCTTTGCAGGGTGAACCAGGACGAGGTCTTCCAGGCCAAAAAGGTTTTCAGGGTGAACCAGGAGTCACTGGCTTCCCAGGAGAGAAGGGAGAAATTGGACTTCCTGGTGTTCCTGGAAGAGAAGGCCGAACAGGACCTCCTGGTGCTCAGGGAATAAAAGGTACAGTCCAAAACTTTTGTAACTGTAGTGCGCAGTGAGGATCAAACTAGTTGCTCCTTGCATAATCCTCATCACAAGTAAATCATTGGTTTTCTTTTGTTTTTCAATCAGGTGAAGTGGGACCCCCAGGGCCTCCTGGACTAAGTGGCTCACCAGGTGCTCCAGGAAAAGGCTCCCCTGGACTTCCAGGACCACAAGGACCAGCTGGAGAGTCCGGCCCAACTGGTTAGTTCAGATTTAGCATTCAAGCACAGACCCACTTTTTAATGGTAGAAATCTGACGTAAGTGATGCACAATCTGAAAAGCTCTTTACTCACTGTAATCTGACAAGTTTGTATGCATTCATGTTGAGCAGGACAGCCAGGTGTCAAGGGTGACAAGGGTTACCCAGGTCCACCTGGTCTGGACATGCCAGGGCCTCAGGGAGAGAAGGGAGCCTCAGGATTCCCTGGAGTGCCAGGAAGTACAGGACTTCCTGGGCCACCAGGCTTACCAGGACGGGACGGACTCATTGGAAACCAAGGTGAGATTACAGAACAGCTAATACATTTAGGAGGAAACATAAACTGAAGGAGGCGCTCTCTACTGTCTTGTCGGTGGTCTTTTGTTTGTTCAGTGTTGTTTTTTTATTATTGAGTTTAAATATGGAGGCAGCAGTGATCACTCCTCAAGCTTGAATTTTCAGCATTCACCTTCAATGTCCTACAGAAGAGGCAACAATGAATCTCAGATCATTTTGTCCTCCTGCTGCTTTGTAATTGTTTCTTATTTTTTTATGTCAGGTCCAAAAGGTGAAATGGGGGTTATTGGAACACCAGGAGTACCGGGATTTCCAGGACCACCTGGGATACCTGGATCTCCTGGTCCAAGAGGTAATAAGAACCAAATCATGAAAGAGATTCATAGATTTAGACCCTTCACAGACTTTTATAGTAACCAATAAATCAAAATTCCCTCTCCATCCTCAGGTGATATCGGTAGAATTGGACCACAAGGTGGCATTGGAGAGCCTGGAGCTAAGGGTGAAAGGGGAGAACAAGGTCTTCAGGGTCCTGCTGGAAACATGACTGACATTCAGATGGAGCAAATGAAGGGGGAGAAGGGAGACAGTGGAGACAGAGGTTTGAAATAACACACCATTCTTTGTACAGTTAGAGTTTATTTACCCAAATAGTGTAAAATTTCTTAACCTGTTTTTTTCAAACTTTGGTTAGGTGACCCTGGATATACTGGACAGAAGGGCCACCGTGGACTTCCTGGAGACCCTGGTATGCCAGGAAAAGATGGAGAACCTGGATTACCTGGACAACCTGGTAACCACCCTGACATTAAATTTATTGAAAGTTTTTGTTCTTATCCTTGTGTTGTTTATCTGATTCAAAGTATTTCACCATGAATTTCCTTCAGTAATCTAAAAATCCCAAAAAGAGAGCACAAGAATAAAACAATTTAATTTGTAATGTTTGATTTGTCTAAGGTGAGAAGGGAGATTCTGGTTTAGCAGGAGATCCAGGCAGTATGGGACCTCCAGGACAGAAAGGTGGTTCGGGAGAGATGGGAATCCCTGGTAAGAAATGCACATACTATGACAAAATCATGTTCTATAAGTAAGTTTAATTTAGTCCTGTAAGGACAGAGATGTCAGAAAAATATTAATATATATATATATATAATATAAATGTTTTTAAAAAATTGAATTTGTAAACCTGGCAGGTGCCTTTCATCCGTTTAACACGCTTGTGTATATTTACACAGGTCCTAGTGGTCCAAAGGGTAGTAAAGGAGACTTTGGCACACCAGGACATCCTGGATTCAGAGGCACAGATGGGCAGAAAGGAGAAAAGGGAGTAGCTGGTGAGCCAGGTATTGGCATCCCAGGGACTCCAGGAGAAAAGGTAACTCACTAGCTACAACAACTGTAATGTAATATGATGATCTCAAAGATCTGTGAACTCAGAGATTTGTAAAGTGGCTCCATTAGCTTGTGTTCTTATCTTAAGTGCACTGAAAGTTTGCAGCTTCAGCAGGGCCTAGATGCCCAACTATCTCCTCTTAAAAATAACAGCAGTTACTTTCTGATGAGGACAGACCTAAATCACTTGTGTCATTGCTTTGTGCAAATCTGCGCAATGATGTTATTCAGCTGACATGAGGTCGATCAGTTGTAAGGAAACCATAACAAAACATCAGGTTTTTGGTAAAATTGTCAAAGAGGGAGCCTCTGTGTAAGCTACTCACAGCTACCTGAAGAAGATGAACTGGCACTAGTCCTGTGGATGTAATGAACAAAGAAAGGACAGCATTACTATTACAGGATAATCTGGAGAGGCAGATTTAGCTCTGGTCTTTGTTGTGTTGGCCGATCCTCTCAATGATATATCCTCAGTCTTTACTAAGCATACTTCCTCTCATTTTTATTCTGACAGGGTCTGGCTGGGCAGCCTGGATTCCCAGGATCTCCAGGGGAGAAGGGTCAGAGGGGTCATGAGGGTATGCCTGGAAAGCCAGGACTGGAAGGTCCCAAAGGAGACAAAGGAAGCGCTGGGTTTCCAGGTCAGATATCAGTATCTGTGATGATGTGTTCTTTCCATTCTCTGTATTTCGATATTTTATTTATATATGTTTGTGTGTGTGTGAGTAGGTCAATCAGGCAGACCAGGTGAGAAGGGTACAGTTGGGCTGCCAGGGTCTCCAGGAGAATCCGGTCGTGATGGTCGACCTGGTGAGTTACAGACTTATTTAATCAGATAGAAAAGTTTCCACATGTTCAGCAGAGAAGATGATTTATTGATTTCAAAGTTCAACATCTAAGTCACCTTTAACATTATTAGTCCTGTTTGAAAAAGTTTCTGTGCCTTTGTCATACAGGCAGTGTAAAAAATGAGCTTTAGACATCTTCCCATACAGTCATTAAATGTGTATATATGTGTTTTTCTTACAGGCGAAGGCGGCTTGCAGGGACCTCCTGGTCCTTCTGGAGAAAAGGGGGAACCTGGAGTGGACGGTATTCCTGGATCCTCTGGAGAAAGAGGCGACCCGGGTAAGTATCAGAGGAGACAACACAACAATGAAATGCTGTTACAGTCGTTTCACAGCTGAGGAAAGGAAACAAAGGTTGTGCGATTCTCTGATATATTGTATATATGCGTGCTAAAATAATAAAACTGAATCAGTGTTTCATTAAAATGAAACTCACACCTAAATAACTGGGTAAGCTATAACACAAGCTATACAGCCTCAAGTAACAATGCATCAAATTGTATGTTATCACATGGAATCCTGTCATACTGTTTCCTGTTGTATCTAATCACACTGTCTCAAATAGTATAGTGTCACATTATGCATCCTTTTGTATTATATTTTATCATAACAAACACAGTGTGCTACATTGTCTCATACCTCATCAAATTATACTTTTTCAAACAGTATTGCATTATATTGAATGGTATTATATCATACTGCATTGTGTATAATTGTATCGTGACTTGACGAATAGCAAAATATGAATGGGTGATGTACGGATTCGTATCATATAGCGTTGCAGTGTTAGAACACCATCAAACATCCATCAGTTAAGATAGCAGTAACTTTTCCATGACTACTAACTACTACATAACTAATCATAAACCCAAGAAACCAATCAGTCCTATCATTTCAGATAATATGATCCCTCCTTTTGACAGGTCTACCTGGTCGAGGTTTCCCTGGACCCCCTGGTACTCTTGGAGGCAAAGGTCAGACCTCTTCTGTTCTTGAATTGTAATCGTTGAATCATTGAAGTCAAACAGACTTTTAACACTTGGTCTTATCATTGCCTCTGCAGGTGACAAAGGCAGTCCTGGTTTCCCTGGGACTCCAGGTCATCCAGGTGTCTCTGGTATTAAAGGCGACAAGGGATTTCCTGGCTTACCGGGACCCCAGGGTGAGGCAGGGGAGAAAGGGCTCCCGGGTATGTCTCTAGAAGGTCCCAAAGGAGAGAGGGGAGAAACAGGGCAGTCCGGAGACCAAGGTAAACAAACACCTAACATCTGTCTTCTCAATGTTTCATAATGGACTCATTTCTTAAAAATCACAGTTGAAAAGTGCTTTCATGTAGGATCATGTGATTTGTCAAACAGGATCCCCAGGAGCACCAGGACTCCCTGGTGTGCCAGGCAGAGATGGTCTGAAGGGAGAGAGAGGAAACCAGGGTAATCCCGGTTTCCAAGGAGAGACAGGACAGAAGGGTGACCCAGGAGTTCCTGGACTTCCTGTACGTCATAAATCTGCTTTCCATGTCTAAGGGTCCTGTTTGAATGATATAAAGCATACCTTGAATATTCATGGGTGTGTTTTCGGTGCAACATAAATCAGACCAATTCGATGGGTCTGTTTTCATTCCCTTTACAAATAAGATAGGCATGTTGTTACTTACATGGCTGATTTCAGCCTTTCTGCTTAAACACAGAAAACACAATCAGATCACAAACACTGTTTAAGTTCTGTTGATGCTCAGATTGAAGTTACATGTCCGCTGAAACAGTTCCTCTGCTCAGCAGAAATGATGAGGAACTTTTACAATGAACAATGTCCTGTGTACCTAAGGCTGTAATACTTTTAATTTAGAAAAGCTCTGCACACTGATTTTAGGCTTTAGACCAGGTTTTTGTTGGTCTTAGGTGCAAATGCTTTCTATTTATTCAACCTGGGTGCTGGGTGTAATGACACTTGTGCTGCACCCCAAAACACTCCTGGTTAGGGTGTGATGAAGCTCTTAGACTTTTTCACTTTTTAAAACATAGTATAGGTTTTAAGGTAACTGAAAATGTCCGTGTTTTTGTGTGTCTTCATTTTGTACAGGGACAACAAGGCCTTCCAGGTATCGATGGACAGAAGGGTGAGAAAGGACTGCAGGGTGTCCCTGGCTTTCCAGGTGGGTGCTGTTGTACAGAGTAAGACTGTGTGTGTGTTTATGTGTGCAAGCATGTGTGAGAGACGTGATGTGTATGTACTTACAAACGATTAACTGAAATACTTCATTCTTTAATCCAAACTTTAGGTACAAAGGGTGACGGTGGTGACGTCGGTTTCAAAGGAGAATATGGAGACCGAGGATTCCCAGGAGAAAAGGGTAACTAGTCATCTTGTGTCAACAATTTAAACAATCTTATCAATAAAAATAGAAACACCAGGCCTCATTCAGAAAAACCTTCCTTCTCTAAAGAAGTGCTCTGAAGAAGTCTAAAGAAGTCAAAAGTACATTTATGGTTCAGTTCTTAGGCGGCAGAATTGTTGACACCTGTGTTTTTAAAATATTTTAAAGTATTTGTAAAATATTTGTACACATTAGAATAACACAGAACTGAACAGGGAACTGAGGGATGTCAGGAATAATACTTCACTCTAGATTTCAAAATCAGAGAAAATCTTACATCCACAATCCTCTATAAATAGCCTTATGCTAAACTGATAAGTGTTGTCTCTTAAAAACCTCTAATACTGAGGCATTGATTTAGCTCCGTGATAGATGGGCTGTAGTCCTTGTCACACTGATCATGAGATCGATTCCCAGTCACTGCATAATTCAGTGCAGGCCACTTCCCGCTGTCTTCCCCACATTTCCTGTTTTTCTTGAGCTGTCCCTTCAAAAAGAATGACCAAAAGCTCTAAAAATTATTCTCAAAAATGTGTTTCAGGTAATGTTGGCCCCCCAGGCCCCCCTGGCCCCGCCACCCACGTCAAAGGTGACATAGGATTCCCAGGGATTCAAGGTCCACCAGGGCCTCGGGGTTTGCAAGGCCACGTTGGACAGAAAGGGCAGCAAGGTGACAATTTGCTTCAAAAAAGCCGCTTATGACTAACAATTTCTGGTCTTCAGTCGACTCTTGCTTCATCATTTGTGTTAAATCCCTCAGGTTTGACAGGTGTCTCAGGACCAAAAGGTGAAGATGGACTTCCTGGATATCATGGTCAGGCTGGAGCTAAAGGAGATCCTGGCCTGCCAGGGCCACAGGGTGAGATGCTGACAGGGATGAAGGATGATGATAGGAGCTTTTTTATTGTTGATGTTACATCTTATTAATGACCTTGTGTCTTCAGGACCCAGAGGATACCCTGGACCCCCAGGGCCTGATGGCGTCCCAGGTCAAGTGGGCCCTCCTGGCCCCTCCTCCATGGATCACGGGTTCCTAGTAACCCGTCACAGTCAATCAGTGGATGTCCCATATTGTCCTGAAGGAACGTCGCTTATTTACGATGGCTACTCCTTGCTCTATGTACAAGGAAATGCACGGGCTCATGGACAGGACTTGGGTAAGGAAAACTGTGAAAAACATCTTAATGATAAAAAGAAAGTTGATTAGTGAATTAATCCATGTTTACTTGAAATCTGTGTTTCAGGTACGGCAGGCAGCTGTCTAAGGAAGTTCAGCCCGATGCCCTTCCTGTTCTGTAACATCAACAACGTGTGCAACTTTGCTTCCCGTAATGACTACTCTTACTGGCTCACCACGCCTGAACCCATGCCCATGAGCATGGCACCTTTCACTGGTGAAAGCATCAAACCCTTCATTAGCAGGTGTGTAGCATATCAACCTGAGCACAGATACACAATAAAGAAGAAATTGGTAGCAAAACTCATTAGCATCAAAAACACACAAGTTTACAGGAGTAAGGTAAATCCTTTTCATTCAGGAACTTGCAGACTGGTATCTTTATTCACCAATTTGAGCCACATGTTATACTTTCATCAGTGTTAAATGAAATTAGGCCAAAAAGTCAGTCAACAGAGCAAAGACTATTTTCATTTAGCTTGAGCAGCACTTTTTTAAGGTACCTAACTGCTACATATATGATGTAAATACTGTGCTTCTTTCATATGTTTGTGTACGTGTGTGTTTGTGTGTTTAGGTGTGCTGTTTGCGAAGCCCCAGCCATGGTGATCGCAGTTCACAGTCAGACCATCACAATCCCTCCTTGCCCTCGAGGCTGGGACTCCCTGTGGATCGGCTACTCCTTTGTCATGGTAAGACAAACCAATTCACCTCATATTTTTACCTGTTTTGGTTCAGCGCTCTCTTAAGATAAGATAAGATGAGATGTTCCTTTAATAGTCCCACAGGGGAGAAATGACATATAAAGTACAGACATATAAAGATAAATTAAAGGATAAAGAAACTTAGTGTTAAGTTAAGAAAAAAGAAAAAGATATGTATGGACAGGACTTGGAGAACTTGTTTCATCTCTGTGGGCTGTTTTACTTTGTATTCGTGCAGCACACTAGTTCTGGTGCTGAGGGTTCGGGCCAGGCTCTGGCCTCTCCTGGTTCCTGTCTGGAGGAGTTCCGCAGCGCCCCATTCATTGAGTGTCACGGTCGTGGAACCTGCAACTACTATGCCAACTCCTACAGCTTTTGGCTCGCCACCATTGAAGACAGCGAGATGTTCACGTAAGTTAAAATCAGACACGCACCACACATGTACTGTCACATAACTTCAGCTTCTCACTGATTTTTTTTTTGTGTTCTTTATCTCTCTCCTCATTTCAGGAAACCTGTGCCGACGACGCTTAAAGCAGGAAGTCTTAGAACACACATAAGCCGCTGTCAAGTTTGCATGAAGAGGACATAAACCCAAACACCAGAGTGCCTTTTTTGTCTAACCGGAGAGCAATGCAACACGCGCTGATGTCCTGGACTTGTCTTTGATTCCTGTTCCTAAAGGATGGTGCTATTTCCCTGCATGTTTGAGAGGAAAGGGACAAAGATCCGGTTTGAATAGAGGTTTAACACTACGAACCAGAACACGGAGACCAAGCGGCCTTTTGCTCCATGCAGAACACTTTACTAACATGATCACAGAATGTCTCTAAGGAATGGCGCCCAGTTTACCACTGCACTGAATACACAGCCCCATAAACTGGTAAACTGGTGTTCATTGTGAAAGGGTTGTTTGTGTAGGTCAGGTGCTATTTGGTGTTACTTATCTGCCATATTCCTCTTTGTTTTTCTTCGTTTTACTTTTTTTTTTTCTCTCTCTGCAGCAGCGATCAAAGATATAGCCTCATGATAATCATGATTGACACACCTTTTACTTCTTTATACAAACTAATGTCAAGAATGGGGACTTACCACTCGCTACAAATGCATGTCGGTTTTGCTAAATCACCATTATGTTGCAGACACGTATACTTAAGCAACCACACTGTTGTACATATAATGCATTCCTCTCTAACATACTTCTACATACTCTCCTCAGGTTATTATTGTGTGTTATTCAGTCCATTTTTTATTTATGAGATTTATGAGGATACGTGGGGCTGTAGTGTTTCCAAGATTCCATGATTGAAAAAAAGTGTTTCAATGTCTGACCATGACCGCCTTAGTAACATGCAATACAGTACAGCACTGAAAAAGCTATAGCAGGTGTGTGCCTGAGTGTGTAAATATAAATGAATCGATTTTAGCTGTGTGGATGTGGTGTGTGTTTTGTAATGTCTGCATAAATATTGTGGTGCACAACAAAAAGAAAAGGACTTCAAATCACTCTCCACATACTTCTCATCCGTCAGAGCATTGCTTATAACAGCTGTGTGTTTAAGGACTTAGTCGTATCACATGAAGTGTCTGATCTCTTGATCCCAAAACGATGCACATGTATATAAACTTACACATAACCTGTACTTTGCTATTATGCTCTTATACTTGACTCTTTCCATTTGTGAATGGCTTTTGATTCCCTGTTGTGTTCATGCAAAATTCATGTTTCATAAAAAGTAAAGGGCTATTCCATCACTTTTTAAATTATACCGTTTTAACACAGATGTTTCAGAAAAACATGAATTTGTTGAAGTAAATCTAAGCTCTGAAAGGTTTTATGATGCATTAATTCAATCTGAACACCAGTGAAAGGAAGATCTCCCAGATTTCCTGTCCTTTTTAGTGTTTTTTTGTATCCCACTGACTGTAACTTGTTTGTGTTCGTCCATATGCTCGGTTATGATAATATGCTCCATGAAGTATTTACAGGATTAGCAGTGTTGCAATCAAAAACCAACTTGACCACAGTGGAGGTAATCTGATCTCATTACCAAATAGAATCCACATTTTATGTTTTACAGACCCTTTTCTGTGTAATTCCTACAATAAAATGATTTGTAGAACATTCCCTTTTTTTTTTTTTTTTTTTTTTTAACCAGAGGTGTTTTTATTCACTCTGCATTTTGACTGCGTGGCCACAAGAGGGCAGCACCTGCACACTTCATCTTTGAGCTCTTGTGGCCTCATGATCTCAAAACTCTCCATTCAGTTGACACAGACGCTCTGAGTGTTATTTCTTTTTTTTTTTAAACCTCTGTTTAAACATTGTTTTTCATTTCTCGAGCAAGAGGCAGCGAGCTGACCTCGACTCTATCTTGAACCCTTATTTAAGTGCAACCTCTGCACTGACACTTCCACAGGGCTCTGCAGCCGATACCTCAGCACTTCTGCCGGGACTGTGGCCAACAAACCCGTTCACCCCCCCTGAAAACACAAACAGATCGATACGCTCCGCAGAGAACCAGATAACCCCTCCTTTCATCTCCACTCTCGTCTTTCATCTATTACCGGAATCCTATCCCTTGTTTCCTCTCTTGTCGCTAGATGGACAAACTGAGGCCTCGACCCCCGGCTATCTTCATAAACATGTCTAACAAGGCCTTGAACTTTGACCGGTGAGTGCTGGGTCACTGGTGGGAGTCACACTGAATGGTCATCCAACACTGAAAGGCTAAACAGTCAAATGGCAGGTATGACTGAGTGCAAAGGCCTAATGACCACAATCAAGATTATTCACTTTTAGGATCAGATGTCTGCTCTCAGGGCAGAGGCACTTCTTGTAGAGAAGTTGCTTAAAATAGTCCCTGTGCTTTTTTAGAGAACAACATTTTTTCTGTATCTTTGTTGTGCAAGAGAGCGAAGATTTGTTGGACGATTAAAAAAAAAAAAAACAGTATGAGAAAACAGAAATGTAGGCAAGAGTTTTAATATTAAAACAGACTAAGAGACACCAGAGGTGACGAAACCATGAAAAAGAAGAAGAAAGAGAGAGAGAGGGATGTTTTTCTGAGAGGAAGAAGAAAGAATTAAGCAGGGAATCTGTTTACAATTATTAACATGTCGGTCTGTGTTGTGGATTCAAAGGTGATAAGAGAAGGTTTTGCGTAGTTTGAAGGATCCTCCTGTCAAGACTAAAAAGGATGCTTAAGTACTCGGTGTTACACAAAAAGTGACAAACACTCTTTTTTTAATCTTTTATCACAGGAATAGAAAACCACAAGTCAATTAATCAATCCAAGTGTTACCAAGTCAATACACAAGTCTAGTTAGTACTCTCTTTTTTCAAACATTGCTTAAGGATCTTGAGAGGAACTTTTGGTTTGATCAATCTGGCGCCCCCTGTGGACAAAAGAGTCTGTGTAGCTTCAGTAGTATCCTCAGTAGTGCTCCAGTGACCCAGTAAATGTCTAACAATGTAGGATTATTATGCATATGGTTTAACTCTTTTTTCTTAACATAGCAGTGAAGTATTGACACACTGACATAGATGTTACATCTCTAACCATCCCGTCATTTTCTCACTGTGAAACTTCTTAACATCACCACTTCCAGGGGAGTGCCTTATGCCAACTCTACCTTTTTGGCAGAAACTCTAACTGAACACACGTAATAAGACTTTATTTGAAAAATAAACAATCTTAGCTCTGATCATATTACTTAAAAAGGCATCAGTAAAAGAGTGAGATCATTTGAAAAACAACTGAAAACTCCTCATGGTGCACTCTCTGTGAGCAGATTCAACACAGTCCTCAAGGATAAAGCAACACGCTGCTACGGTGTCAAAGGATTACATTTTTTAAAAAACAGGCAAAAACCCTGAGCAGAAACAGACTTGTTTGTGGACGGCCATCTGCCATAACAGTAAAGACAAGATAGTGATAGAGGGAGCGGTTGAAAGAGAAAGGTGAAACGAGACAGACACAACAATAACAACAGCAGATAAAACAGATGTATAACCACAACACCAAAACTTAAAATAGGTGTAACTTTACTAATCACAGTACAGTAATGGTAAAATTAATTTGACTGTTGATGACGTATCATAACAGTTAATGTCAATATGTTTTATCATCAGCTTACATATAATAAAACATATTGACATTAACTGTTGATAATATTGGAATGATTGACAGCATTTACGGAAAACAGGTGGGGTCAAGCAGCAATAAGGATTTTAATAACAATTATATAACAACCATTAATAATTATTATGATCATGACACAAGTCTGACTGATTGTTGTGGGTCAAAAGTTAAGCAGTTTCTACTCAAGTTCAGAAAAAAAACATAAATTTAATAAAAACTCAGGGGATATAATTTTCTAACCAGGTTGCAAAAACATAAAAAAATCAGTACAATTCACATGCAAATGCACACACAACTTTAAAAGCTATGTGGTTAGGGGGTCAGCACTCAGCCTTGCTCAGGGGCTTTGGAGTTAAAACTTTAACCCTTTTTAAGTGTTTAATCCTATTGCTTGTTTGCTAACACTGCTGGATTGAGACCTGATTTGAGACTTTCAATCACCTTTCAGGACCTGGGATTACGCCGGAGCAAGTGCAAGCGTGTGTCCATGTTATTGTTTATGAAGGGAGTGACTTGCCTTCTGACAAGTCATGGTTACTATAGGAATTTGTGATATTTTATGTCCTCAAATTAAGATTTAGGAAACAAACAGAGTTTAATTTGAGACCAAATTTACCCTTGCCGTAATTTATTTTGGAATACTTTATTTTGGAGTTTTATGTTATCCAAAAACAGTAAAACTCATTCCCACAGGCAAAATAGTATAAATAACAAAGACAAACAAATAAATTATTGAAATTTAGCAGGATTTATTCATGTGAGTCAAACTGATTGGGCGAATGTGTCATAGTTCTTGTAGCTTAATTCACTCTGTTTCCAAGAATGTTGTTTACGTTAGAGCGCGGGAATGCATCAGGAGGTTAGTATGAGTTTGACCTTTCCTCTGAGTGGATTAAGCACAGAGGCCACAACCTACAGCATAGCCCCTTGACCTCAGGTTAGCTTGCCAGATTAGCTTGCAACACGACATGCAACACAAAAACCCAACAGAAACTAAATATGGAAATTACCTACAAACACTCACACGCAACGGTTAAAGAGGGAGGATGCATGGCAGGGTTTTTTCGCGGCAGTCTGGGGATTACACAGACAACTACAACCAGTAGTAAACACAGGAGGAGATTAAGTGAAAGGCTTTCCTTTCTTACACACACACAGGATAAACACGACTCACTTTCAACTGTTGCTTACCACTGTCTGTTGGTCAATGTCAATCTTTCAATATAGACAGGGTTTATTACCTCCTCAAGGTTCAAAGGTATCAGGCCTTTATACGAAGCAGGCTTGTATTAGACACAGGCCTCTGTAGCAAATTCTATACATATGAGAGTTAAACGAAGAGCTCATTATCCTAGTTTGTCGTCCAAGTTGATTAACTTAACAATCACAAATCAGCAGGCTTGGTGTAAGCAGGAAAAACAACAACAGTGGAGAGCGAAAGGTGGTGGGTTGTAATTCGACATACTGCCATTGGGTATGCTTGGGTTTTTATTTCATTTGTTACAATCTTACATTTTAAGCTCATTGTGAATGGCACTATGAGGAATTTAGAGGGTAAAGTAAATGATTGCCAGAGATCAAATTTATTCATTTTGGACACAAGTACTTGTATTATGATCGTTTCTAATTCCCCTCTTATGTAAGGCTTATAAAGCTTTGAGTTGATGGATGATATCAGTGAAAAATTACTTCTACTTTTCTGTCAATAATTCACCATCACAGCTAATCAGTCTCTTCTGTTTATTTTGTTGGTGAGTTTTAAAACAGTGCTGCCATTGATGCACTCATAAGCTCCAAATGTGTTAATGCACAGCTGCTTCTCCATCCAATTAGGGAGTCAGTAATTATACTCCTGATTTAATGCTAGCAAATCATTTTAAACATTAAACTGTGATGATAATTGGTTTTCTGTTATTTGCATTATCACTCTGCTGGTAGGAGCTAGATCATAACAAAAAAGCATAAAAGCTTTAGGTGTTAACTTCCTTCTTTATCCCTCAATGATGATTCATCTTTCTGCAGCTCCTTCTTTATTATCGCTGACTGACATCAGTCCCTTTATGGTTTCCCCACCAGCAGATTTATGAGAAGACAACTATGAGTTGAGGCCTCTACCTGTGTGGGTTCATACAGGACTCATACATGTCTTCTTTTACAAGTAAGTTAGCAGGTTCACATGGACTCACATCACCTTAACCGCCACCAAAATAACTCTATCAAGTGTCTTCAAGATCTTTGCTGCAGCCTTCAGGGATATTTCATTCAGTATAAAGCAGGATTGAGAATAAACAAGTTGTGAATGGGTACGAGCGTCATCGTGAGCCGCTATTTTTGGAAATCTTTATACTGCAGAAATAGTCAGACATTAAGTGGCCTTGAACACAGTGCTGCAGTACAACTTATTCATAAATCTGCTAGTTTGGATAGAAACACTCAAGTTTCTGTGGTTTAAAGCTTCGACACCATGAAGATGAGTTTTTAAAAGACTGTCAAACATTTAAGGAATGAAGCCCATTTAACAACCCCTGAGACAAATATTTGACCTTAATATAAAGCTGTTTTTATCTTCCATGTCATTTGACAACAAGACAGTTAAACACCTGAAATAAATAAATAATACAAAGATTCTGTTTCGATTTTTTTTTTGATAAGCATGTTAGTGACTTGGTTAAGAAACTTACAGTTAAATGTTTTCTCCAAATAGTTTCACTGTTGTGAAATTGTAACTTCAGTTGATAGGATGAAGAAAGTTGCAAAGATCATTCTGTCTGAGAACTTTTTGTTTGTGTTGATTTTGGTGCACCTGCTGACAAATAGATGTCTTTATTTCATTGCTGTTCTTGTTTTGTCCCGGTAGTTTTTTCAACAAATAAAAAAAATACATCCTCTCTTCTAGCAGAAGAATTAACTCACTATGAATATTTGACAGGAAAGTGGTTTACAAAGGCAGTTTTGGATACATGCAGGCCACTACTTAGTC